CTCCTAACTTATCTCCAACGCTATGGCCTGTTGTTGGTCGATGTTTGTAGCCGCTGCTCTGACGGTGGTCAACAGCGGTCCTAGACTCGGCGAGACAAATGTTTATAGCGCACATAATTCACCCTCGGAACTTTATGTTTATTACACATCGCCACGACGTGTTAGATTTTACCAAGTTATAGCGTCTTTGCGCTTTTTACACTCATTTTATATTAAACTGCGTCTAATCGTCTTATTATCACAATGTAATCAAACTACAATAAAATATCCGCATGCTCATACGTAATATAAAAATGAATTGTAAATCTGTTGGAAAGCGTATAACTCTACAACGCCTATACCAATTTGGCCAATTCTTTTTCAAAATGTTCGTTAAAGTCCAAGGATGGTTTTTACGACGAGAAAAATTCGAATAATTGCCGGGAAAACCCTAAAGACAGTAAGAATTTTTTATAAGATAAAAGTTGGCATTGAGATTCAATTATAGTTATATTTAAATAGTTGAAACCGAGATGGCGCGCTGAAGTGCATTATTAGCAATTCTTTATATAATTAATTTCTTTAAAATAAAATTGCGAATCTTATTGATAGAATTGACACATACTATGTCTAAAACAAGAGAGTAAAAATGAATTACATCTTTTAAAACACTACCGGGTCGAAGTCGCGGGCAAAAGCTAGTTTTTTATAAATATTCTGGGAAACTGCGCTATAGAAATAAAATTTGAAAAATCGCAGTCGCCTTTGCAACTTTTTGTGGTTTTGCGCCGCGACGCGCTCAATGAGCTCGCACATCTCCAAACCCGTCCACGTCCGAGTCGCAATCGCATTTTCAACTCTCCGGATGGCTCACCCACATTCTATACATCCCTTTCGCCCGCTTGAGTGCATGCATCTCTCTTGCGATTTTCTCTCGCCGACGTGCCCGCCGTCAACGTGAAAATTGTCCAGATAGTTTCGCCCCTTAAGGAGCAAATAACACTATCCATACAAAGAAGCTTATATAATATCGAAAACGCTTTTTAGCAATAACTCCGGTACGACTTGCATCGCATGATGACGGCACGTCCGAACCGAACGGCGAAACAAAATCGAATAAAATAATCAAACCGGATCGTCCTATCAATGACTCGCCTGCCGGCAGACTTTCGGACATCCGAGAGTGCAACAATAATACCGAATGGACCTCTTTCCTTCGACGAGCTGAAAACGTTTTTGGCCTCAATCGCGCAGAAATTCAATTCGATTGTCTTGTACTCGTAGGCTACATTAATGTTAAGATTTAAATTTGGTTACGTGCCCCTGCGTGAAAGCACCAAGCACCGTGTTTCTGATTGAATGCTCGCGCATAATAGCTGCCCGAACAAACATAAATTCCGTCCAATTTCTCCCATAGAATTTTCCATTTTGTTCCCGTATTTTTTTGCGCACTTTTATTCGAATCGCATGCTGTACGCGAACGCGGCTCCACGGTTCGTTCGGGCTTTGTGTGAGTGTGTGTACGCGTTTACCTTTTATTTATGATTTTTTTGTGCGCGCAAAAATACGCACGCAAGTACATACTAGCGATGTGAATGAAAAAAAAAGCCGAAACAATTGCATACACATGAGCCGCATGAGTGCAATACAGGTTAAAGTGTAATGAACAAAGTGCTATTCAATACATTATACGCGCTTGACTCTTTCGGCTCGCTCGTGAAAATTGCAAAATTTCACGATTATTTTAAACGCAAACAAAAGCTTTAATATGAACAATATTTAAACCATGCTATAAAAGCTTAGTTTATCGAACACATTTTTTGTTGTTATTTCAATTAGAGAGTCGCAACTAAATAGGTTGGTGCTTTGGAAATCAATATGCACCGAAATCGTGCTTGACACGCGTATGTGCGTATGGTGAATTTAATTTTAAAACTGGCAAATACATAAAATTGCAATTACGCCCGCCTCCCGTTTTTGTATACACTCATCAATCATTTAATTACCGAACCGAGTGAATAATGAATTTATTTCCATTGCGCCCCTCGAATTTGTTACAAACGTCAAATTGCATTTCGATTTTTGCCTGCACTACCGGTGCATCTCTACAAATCTACTCACACCATTTGGTTTGTGATGCGAACGAAAACAAATGGTGGATGCAAATGCGCGAGGGAGGCAGGCGTTTTGGTTTGGTTTGGCAGGAATGCGAGAGATGGTGATCTACCCGACAGCAGAAAGTTCAATTCAATACACGATTCTATACCCGCATTTGGGCATTTTAGCGGCTGATGTTTTGTGTTTCAGTAATAAACTCTGTTTCTATAATAAAATGGAATTATTTGTAATAAAAATTAGAACAATTTTATTATAAATCTAGCTTTTGCCCGCGACTTGGCCCCGGTAGTGTTTAATAAAAATATAATTCGTTTTTACTCTCTTGTTCTAGACATAATATGCGTTAATTCTATGAATAAAATTTGCAATTTTAATGAAGAAATTAATTATATAAAGAATTGCTAATAACGCACTTCAGTGCGCCATCTTGGATTCAACTATTTAACTATAACTAGGATTGAATCTCAATGTTAACTTTTATTCTATAGAAAAAAGCTATTTTTAGGGTTTTCCCGGCAGTTATTCGAATTTTTCTCGTCGTAAGAACCATCTTTGAACTATAACGAACATTTAAAAAAAAGAATTGGGCAAATTGGTTTAGGCGTTGTTGAGTTATGCGCCTACCAACAGATTTTGCGATTTATTTTTATATTATAGATTAATTAAATGTGTACTAAACGAAGAAATAATTTTAAATAAAGACTAGAATTGCAGGTTATGTTGCGCGTAAAATACTACTACTTAAAAGGCAATTAACTAGACTCGTGGTTTTGTCCGTGGAGAATAGAGATTCGTTTGTTTTTGGTTTCGATTAAAATTCAACCGTCGTACTCATATTAAAAGCGCATTCGTGCAAACATTTTTCTCATTTGAAAATGCCAAGCACACTTAAAACGAAAATAATCGGAGTCTATCTGCACACGACGTTTTTCCAAATAACTGTTATCTCTGAAATAGCTACTGTTTTTTGTTCGTAGTTTTTATACCAACAGATACCAATTAATAATCATAATGAAATCACAAAAGAAGCAAACCTTTCCTTCAACTAATGAATGAAGTATCAAAAGGTAGCGATGAAATGCATAGATTACGAAGCAATTAAACCGTCTGTAAATTAAGTGTCGAAAATGTTACTTAAAAGGTGTGCGCCGACGAAATAATATTAATACATTAATGAATCGTGTGATTAAAATGTTAATGCCGTGGTCGCGATGTGCTCGGCCCCGAAACGAGCGCGACGATTTACTGTAGCGCCCATTGAAATGATTACGCTATTATGTTTCGGTATCTTGCTTTCGCGATGTAATGCCGTTGGTCACTGAGCGTTAACCCGATCAGATATAATTTACACATGGATATTGTTATTATATCACCATCGGCAAGCAGGCGGGCACATCGCGTTGTGGAATATTTATGCGTTATTAGTGTCTAAATGGCTTAATGTCTTAATAAAATATGCATATACATGCAGCCCCTTGGGGCTCCTTCGAGCACCTGCTTCCAGGTCCCCATGGCGCATGGCTTCATGATCGCTGTCGGCATCCGCCGAAAGAACGATTTAATCTGCCACGTTGATTCTTATCCCAAAAATTCCGGGACAGTTGTGAAATAAGTTCACAACAAATTTGATTAATGCCAAATTTACTCTACTGCTACTATTTCCAACTTATTTTATGTTTTAATTATTATATATTTGAATTTAGGTGGATTCAAATTTAAACTAGTGATATGGTTTGTAGATTCAAGTCTAGTATAGTTAAAAGCACGTTTTTAAACCAAACTAAATTAAATCATTACTTTACTTTAATAATATACTCGTGGCGCCACACTTTGGTGGGTAGTAAGAACATCTGCAGAAGTTAATCAAGAACGTAGTTCAAAACGAGCCTAGCGCTACCATCTGTATTTTGCGCTCAATACTAGTTGATATAAAGTATCAATCAGCACCATTCTTAAATCACTACAAATGTGGTGAAGTCTTATTTTCGAAAAAGTACTTCTATCTCATAGAACACACCCCCAATAATTACTAAAAACTTCCCTTCATTGAAAATGTAATTTAAAAGATAAACAGCAGATTACAAAAAATATTAAGTTTTTTATACTAAAACCTTTTCTACATTTCAACAAAGGCAATCTTGTGCATCTTGTGATGTATCAACAATTTTTATTATAACCAGTTTCAAATCTTAATGAACAATTATATCAACAATAACAAAAGTTAAAGTTTAAAGAAAATTGTAATAAATAATTAATGTTTGTGTTCAGACCTTAAAACATTGATTGCATAATACACATATTTTGTTTCTGATATACTCGTAATAGGTCAAACGTTGTGTTCTCATATACAGAATGTTAAATTTCAAATATTTTCATAATTTCTTTAAATAATTTAATTATAATTAACATATCAAGATATCAAATATTGTAAACTTCTACTCTTATGCAAGAATTAATTTACTGTAATTGTTGCAATTAATACCAGACTACTGAATATTTCCACTAATTGTTAATGGAATGTTTTCACGCGTACGTTACACTGTATAATATGTAATATAAGGAACGATAAAGATATAAATATTTATAAAGCCAAAATGTTTTAGGATTCCTTGTCATTTCAACTCACAGTTTGTATTGTACGAGTACTAAGATGTTGTGCATGCCGTTAAATTTTATAGTTTTTGTTCAATCTTAATACAAATTATACAAGCAAATGTGGTGGTTGAAATTGGCAATGGTAAAATTTTAGGTGAAACTTTATTTGATTTGGACAATGAAAAATTCTATAGTTTTCAATCCATACCATATGCTGAACCACCAATTAATGAGTTAAGGTTTAAGGTGCCTTTAATTGTTTCAAATAATGTATGTGAATTATTTATCATGTATTATTACAGGCACCTCGAAGAGCTAAATCATGGAATGGAATCTTAAATGGAACTATACCTGCCCCAATATGCCCACAGTTTCATTATGAAGATCTTGTGGGTCAGGAAGATTGCCTCTATCTGAATGTGTACACCAAATCAGTAAGATATTAATTTATAAGGGAATATTTAAATAGTTGTGTATTGTACTTAATTTTATAATATTTAGATTGATAAAAAAAGTAAGCGACCAGTAATGGTTTATATTCATGGCGGAGGTTATTATGTTGGCTCAGGAAATTCATTGTCATATGGTCCCGAATTCCTTATGACTGAAGACATTGTTCTGGTGACTGTTGATTACCGTTTGGGGTATCTGGGCGCGCTAAGCTTTGAAGATCAAACTCAAGGTGTTCCTGGCAATGCTCATTTAAAGGATCAAGTAATGGCCCTCCAGTGGATACAAGAAAATATTGAACATTTTGGTGGAGATCCACATTTGGTTACTATATTTGGTGAAAGCGTTGGTGGCGCTAGTGTGCACATGTTAATGTTATCACCGATGTCTAAAGGACTTGTTCATCGAGTCATTGCTCAAAGCGGATGCGCTTTAAACACTTGGAATCGTGGAAATCTTGGGACGGGTAATAAAATTGCGGAGATTTTTAAAATTGATGAGAAGTCCACAGCTGATATTATCAAAAAACTACAACAAATTCCAATGAAGGAGTTTGTAACAAAAATACAATCTCCTGGAGAATTGGTAACTCAGCATAAAATAATGTGTTAAATTTATTTTTAATTTTTTTTTATTTAGGGCGTGAGAGTTGATGTTCCTATAGACTATTCACCAGTGATTGAAACACAAACCAACGAACCAGCATTCATTCCAAAACCAATCATAGAAATGATTTCAGAAGCGAGCAACAATGTCCCGCTAATGTTAGGTTACAACAACAATGATACGTTAATTTTTCAAGTTCAAAAACGCCTTTACACTGGAACTGCTTTTATATTTGACAATCTCAACGAAACTATTCCCGCTGATCTTGACTTATCCCATGATGAAAGACTAAATTTACTTGCATCAATCAAAGATACTTTCTTCAAAAACGGACAAATTGATCTGACGACCAACATCGGAGCTATTTCAGAGTATGGCTTAGGACCTTGGTTTGTCACTGGATACTTACAATCGATTCAAAAACATCTTGCCGCTAATCATAACGTATACTTCTATGTATTATCATCGGACACCACTTTAAATTTCTTCAAACGCATGCATCCAGTCACAGGTACATATCCAGGAGCAAGTCATATGGACGAGTTGGGTTATTTATTCAGAACGCCTTACGCGCCATGTTTCAAGCGTGATTCTTTAGAAGAGAAAAGTTTTCGACAAGCTGTTAAAGTCTGGACAAATTTCGCACGTTATGGAAAACCTGCATCCGAAGAAGATACCTTTAAATCTATCAAAATAACTGATTTAAATGACATTGTTTACATAAATATTATTAATGATAAAGTGGTGAATAGTAATGAGCCACATAAAAAAGTATGGGACTTTTGGCGCAATGTTTATAAAACACATAAACGAGTTTCAAATTGAGGTCTATAAAGTAATTAATAAAATATAATCTTGAGTTAAAAGTACAATTAAAAGTTTCAAAAGTCATACGCACAATATGTTTATTTTGAGTGTTTATAAATAATTTATGCAAATATATGCATATGAACAATCGCATTGTTTATGTTTTAAACATTGGTGCGCAATACATGTTAGAGTCATAATTTCATTTGTCATGCATACAATACAAATATATGCACAAGTTTTCTTGTTTAATTTATATACAGTGACTTCAATTGATACTCCAAAAGAAGTTATAGTGAAAACTGCAAATGGATACATTTCGGGTTTGGAACTACAGGATTACAACAATAATTTGTATTATGCTTTTCAATCAGTGCCATATGCGCAACCACCTATTGGAGATTTACGTTTTCTTCCTCCTAAAGAATCACTACCATGGGTAGGAGTAAAGGATGGTACACGCGAATCACCCCAATGTGTTCAACCCGCTGGACCTACATTTGTTGGACAGGAAGATTGTCTATACTTGAATGTCTACACAAATGCAGTAAGATTTAATACAATATAGATATATCATTACATAATTGGAAATATTACATAATTTTAGTTAAATAATTCACATTTGCAACCTGTGGTAGTCTATATTCACCCTGGTGGATTCTTTAGATCATCCGGGATATTTTCCAACGCCAATCCAAAACTTCTCATCACAGAAAACATTGTAATTGTCACTATAAACTATCGTCTATCAGCGTTTGGTTTTTTAACGCTTGGAAACTCAACTTTAATTACACCTAACAACGGATTTCGAGATCAAGTAATGGTTTTAAAGTGGATCCAAAATAACATCATGCAATTTGGTGGAAATCCCTATTCGGTGACGATAAGTGGAGTGAGTGCAGGTGGATTGTCAGCGCATTATCATCTATACTCGCCGCTATCAAAAGGACTTTTTCATAAAATCATTTCACGGAGTAATACTGTACTGGCTCCATTAGAACCACTAAAATGGAACACCGCCATTGAATTAGCCGAAGAACTTGATATCAATACAGAGAATTTTACTAGTATGATACAAAATTTACGTAACATTTCCGTTGAGGATTTATATAAAGCTCAAGAACGCAAACATTGGTTTGATTTTTATTTGGATAAACCAATGTATTCGGGGTTGTACATTGAAAAGCCAAGTAATTTGAGTTTTATAAGTGATTCCTTATTGAGTGCTACTAAATCAGGCAATTTTAATCGTGTTCCAATGATGTTGAGCAATACAAACATGGAAGGCATGGTTTTTAATTCGTCCGCAATTCCGAATTTGTGGCAGATGACAAATATATCTATTCATGTGCCATCATTGTTTGGTGTGAATCATAGTTTGATGGTTGATGAAGTCGAAAACTATTATTTTAATAATAATAGTTTTAAATATCCGTATTATGAATTTTGGGGTGACATTTGGTATAAGCACGCAGCATATCGTACACTACAATTCGCGAGTAAATATCAGAAGATTTACATGATGAATTTTGGATTGGACACAAACCTGAATGTTTTTAAATTAACTCATAGTACTATAGCAAATGTGGATGGTGCATGTCATACCGATGACGATACTTATATTTACAATAAACTACTGAGTCCTCAGATAGTTCCAAATAGTTTAGAAGAGACTTGGATGAAAAGGATGATTCGATTGCAAGCAAATTTCATTAAGTACTCCAATCCTACGCCATTCTCTGATAATTTATTGATGAATGTTAAGTGGAAACCATATCGTAAAGCCAGTGCTAATGTTTTAATGCTAAATAATACAAATATGTGGATAGGCAAAGAATATAATAAGAATTTTGGTTTTTGGGAGAGAATGTATCAGAAATATGCGCCAGGAAAATGATAAAAATACATTAAACGTACATTACTTAAATGAAATTTAAATGATTATAATATAAACTACGGATTACGTATTCTACGAAGAAAATAAATATAATACAAAAGATAAAAAGTGAGAATTGTATATTAAATATTGACTGCTGTACAATTTATTAACGATTGGGGTTAATACTGTAAAACGGGTTGTAGGCTTTAGTATGTGCATCTAGGGTGTACCTTTACTTGTAGAGGGCGGTAAAATAAGTTCTATGCCCAAAACCTGAAAAGTTCATTATATATGGGCCTGAAAATCAATGATGGTTATCGCTTCTCGGCTCCGGCTAAGATCAAAGTGTAGTATCTGTTCTTATCAGCTTAATATCTGATACGACCCGCATGCGGGTCCAGTATATTAAACTGATTTTTGGACATGGATGAGAGTTAGGGGCTTGCTCCACTCACATCACGGGTTGGCCCGGTATTGCAGTACCTCCGGGATCGGCCCACATTTAAGATTATTTAAGAATAAACCTTGTAATATATCTTTAAGAGCTACCTCAGCTCGACATCAGCTACGTCAACACCGATCCAACTCTCGTTCTCTTCTTTGTTTTAGCAATCGCTTTCGAGTTCCGAGTGAATTCCGGTGATTTATCGCTTTGCCACCATTTTCGAGAAATATTTGTATTTTTACGAGTTTGTAGGCGATCTTGGCAGCTTAGTTAGTACCTTCAGCGCGGCCCCGAAAGATGCGGAATTAAATTCTCCGCCGGATTGTATTTGTTAGCGGTCGAAGTGACTAGTTTCAGGGCACCGTGAGAAGGTAGCGGTGGATTTGACCTGATAGAGGTAGTTTCCGACGGAAAATAATATGAATTAATTAATATTTAGACCGCTTCTTTTTAACTAAAATGATATATGAATTTAATTTCAAGAGTAAATTACTAAAAGAGTAAAATTTGAATGTTTTGATGCTTTTTTGTAGTTTTTAAAGAGATTTGATGCAATTTTAAAGAAAATACGTGATTTTATGACGAATATATTCTTTCATTGATTATTTATGCAGTGTATAATTTATTTATTGCTAAATTGATGAATATTTACATTAAAATTGCAATATTTAGTTCATTTATTTTGAATTATTACATTCTAGCGACATCTACATGAAGAGCTTTCAGTTATGTGCTATCGCCAAAACGATATTGTAAGGGTATAGCGTACAGTAAGTGTTTACTTAACTTTACTTAGCTTATACTCACCCTCTCGTACTACCATTGTATTTCAATAATTTCAGTTATGTGTTAAAATTGCTATTCGTTTAGATAGGGTGGTGCATGCGCAGTTGCGTGTACATATGACACACGGGCCCTGCCATTTAATTGCGTGACCATACACTGACTCATAGCCAATCACTTACTGCCTCATATGCACGCCACACTTTTTGACACACTTTGTATTTTCTTGAGGTACTCAAAAGTAACCTCAGATGGCGCAATAATGCATGTTTAAGCTAAGAATATTCCTGCGAGTGAAAGTCGACGTGCCCAGTTGTTGTGTAGCCGGCTCACAACTCTTACTTCATGCGATAAGTAATAATACTTGAATGGATATTCGTGTTTCGTGTTGTAAATTCGTTATATCGCGTTATATTTGCTGAAATTTAGTGTTAATAGACGGGTTTTAGTCGCTAAATATTTATCACGTGTGTAATCTTCGGAATTTAATGTTTGGTGTGTTTAATACAGTTTCGCATGTATCTGGGATCGGTTGCCGACGGACGCCACTCGGCCATATTGTGTGATTGTAAATAATATTTTGGAGTTGTGCGAACCATTTTTGTCTTCAGCAGAACACGACGGGCGGTTGTTCTACCTGGTAAATATTAATATTTAAATAATTATGGCAAATAAGACATTTTTTAGGCAAAGTTTGGGTTCCTCCGGAACTCGGATTCATTTCAAAATTGTCCGAAATTATATCACTAATGTTTTGTTTCTTGTTTATTTCAGAATCTACTCGCATTTGATTTATAGTGTTCGATACAATGGTGAGTGAAATTTTTCATTGTTGCTAGTATCTATTTTGCGATTTTACGGTTTTCCAGCAATTAGAGAATGAAATATCTTAAACTTCTTTTCGTGAAAATTTCGGTCAAGCATTCCGCAGAAAATTTGAAAATGGAAATTCAAACATTTTTATTACGGATGTTCAGCTTTGAACATCGCTCTGAACACTTCATCATATTAAGTTTAATCTATGACTCATAGCTTTTCCGTAATTTGACTAAATGTGAACTTCCATTTTCCGGAGAAATATTAAATTTGAAAATTTAAAGTTTTTATTTGGAATTATGCCATAAAAAGTCCTCCTGAGCATTTTATTTAAGTAAAATTTTACGCTTGAACTAATAGTTTTCCCGCAAATTGATAAAATGTAAACACACATTTTCCACAGAGAAATTAAATTTGTAAATTTAAAGTTTTTATTTCGGAAGTCGTTATAGAAGGTCTTTCTGAGCATTTTGTTTTAATAAAATTTTACTCTTGGATTCATAGTTTTCCTGTAATTTGATCAAATGTAAACACTTTTTCCACAGAAAATTTGAATTTGTGAATTTAAAGTTTATATTTTGGATGTTGCTATAGATTCTATAGTATAGAAGGTCCTCCTGAATATTTTATTTTAGTAAAATTGTATTCTTGAACTCATAGTTTTTCCGCAATTTAATTAAATGTGATCTTACATTTGCCACAGAAAAATTAAATTTGTAAATTTAATGTTTTTATATCGGAAGTTGTTATAGAAAGTCCTCCTGAGTATTTTATTTTAGTAAAATTTTACTCTGGGCCTCATAGTTTTCCTGTAATTTGATCAAAGGTGTGGTCACATTTTCTACCGAAAATTTAAATTTGTAAATTTAAAGTTTTTATTTCGCATGTTGCTAGAGAAAGACCTCCCCTAAATTTGTAAATTTAAAGTTTTTATTTCGCATGTTGCTATAAAAAGACCTCCTCAGTATTTTATTTTAATAAAATTTTACTCTTGATCCTATAGTTTTCCCGCAATTTGGTAAACTGTAAACACATTTTTCACAGAAAAATTAAATTTGGAAATTTGAAGTTTTTATTTTGTATGTTTCTGTAGGAAGTGCTCATGAGCATTTTATTTTTGTGATATTTTACACTAAGACCTATAGTTTTTCCTTAATTTGACCAAATGTGAACTTACATTTTCCACAGAAAATTTTAATTTCTAAAATTAAAGTTTTTATTTTGGATGTTGCTATGGAAAGGCCTCCTCAGTATTTTATTTTAGTAAAATTTTACTCTTGAACTCATAGTTTTCCCGCAATTTGATTAAATGTGATCTTACATTTTCCACAAAAAAATTAAATTTGATCATTTTAAGTTTTTACTTTGGATGTTGCTATAAACCGTTCTCCTGATCATTTTATTTTAGTAAAATTTTACTGTTGGACTCATAGTTTACCCGTAATTTGGTCAAATGATATAATACTTTTCAGCAGAAAACTTTCAGTTGAAATTTATAATTTATATAATTTTTCTACTGAAGTTGCAACAAAACGTTTTTACGAACCTTTTATTTTAGTATAAATTGTGTTTAAAATTCAATTCAAATTCTTCATTGCTAAAATATGAACCTATATAGTACAGCAATACATGTTCAAATTAAATATCACTTAAATATTTGATGTAAAATCGGTCAATCTTTTAGCATAAGAAATCATAATTTCATGTTTTGAATTTTATTCTTTTATTAATTTTATTAATCTAAATTCTGGGACTACTATCTGTTTCATTTATAGATGGCACAAGGATATACTAAAAATCATAAAATCGAGTTATACGACTTATTTTTATATTTATCGACAAACGTTGCCACGAGAATAATTTTGTATACAGTGCTGTTATCAGCGATTCGATATAAACAAATTTTTATCGCATGTGTCCCGCGCGCCGTCTTCTCACGCCGCATCAACTTGCTGCATGCAGCATATTCTAGTTTAGTTTAAATCGCAGGTATCGTGTCTATTACAAACCGCGTTGGTAGTCTTATCATCAATTGTTGCGACCTAGTTTGCTTTGATGAAGCACATCTTGCAATATTTTAATACTTTGTCTTTTAGAGAATTTCTCCTAGATTAATATTTTTCAATCCTTTCCTTTCTACCGCCTTTAGTCTACGAGATATTCGCAATTGAAAGAATTGAGTAAAAAAAATTGCACTTTTTTTGGCCCTTTTACCCCACAAAAATCTTTCACCTTGAGAAATTAGAATTATATCACTCAAATTTTAATTTTTGATCAGTTTTAATAATTTTAATTGCGGGACTACTATCTGTAGCATTCAGAGATGTCACTTGCCTGAACGATAAATCATAAAATAGAATTGTATTCTTTATTTCTATATTTATCAGCAAACGTTGGCATTCGATACGAGAATTGTGTTTGTTTTGAACACAATTTGCACTTTCTTATCGAATGATATTTGATCTTAACTGCCTCAAAATGGCCGCCCAAGTTACGCCTTTTCTTGCAATTTTCCAAACACGCGGTGGAAAACAGGCCCTATCTCGAGAACCCTTTGTCATATTTTAATTTTTTCTTTATTTTATGATACGGCAAGAGTGCAATTTTAAAATGCACTCTTGAATTCCCGCAAACTTCGCCCGTTACTGCCTCAAAATGGCCGCCAAAGTTACGCCTAATCTTGCAATTTTCAAAACACGCGGTGGAAAACAGGCCATATCTCGGAAATCATTAGCCATATTTAAGTTATTTTTCGATTTTATTGAACGGCAAGAGTGCATTTTTAAAATGCACTCTTGAATTCCCGCGAAATTTGATCGTAACAGCCTCAAAATGGCCGCCAAAATTACGCTTTTCTTGCAATTTTCCAAACACGCGGTGGAAAACAGGCCATATCTCGGAAACCCTTTGTCAAATTTTAATTTTTTCTTTATTTTATGCTACGGCAAGAGTGCATTTTTAAAATGCACCATTAAATTCCCGCAAAATTCGATCGTAACTGTCTCAAAATGGCCGCCAAAGTTACGCCTTTTCTTGCAATTTTCCAAACACGCGGTTGAAAACAGGCCATATCTCGGGAACCCTTTGTCATATTTTAATTTTTTCTTCATTTTATGATATGGCAAGAGTGCATTTTTAAAATGCACCCTTGAATTCCTGCGATATTCAATCGTAACGGCTTCAAAATGGCCGCCAAAGTTACGCTTTTTCTTGCAATTTTCCAAACACGCTGGGAAAAACAGGCCATATCTCGGGAACCCTTTGTCATATTTTAATTTTTTCTTTATTTTATGATACGTCAAGAGTGCTTTTTTAAAATGCATCCTTGAATTACCGCGAAATTCGATTATAACTGCCTCGAAATGGCCGCCAAAGTTACGCCTAATCTTACAATTTTCCAAACACGCGGTGGAAAACAGGCCATATCTCGGAAACCCTTAGCCATATTTAAGTTATTTTTTAATTTTATGCTACGGCAAGAGTGCATTTTTAAAATGCATCCTTGAATTCACGCGAAATTCGATTGTAACTGCCTCAAAATGGCCGCCAAAGTTACCCGTTTTCTTGCAATTTTCCAAACACACGGTGGAAAACCGGCCATATCTCGGGAACCCTTTGTCATATTTTAATTTTTTCTTTGTTTTGTAATACGGCAAGAGCGCATTTTTACAATGCATCCCTGAACCCACCCAATTTTGGTCGTATTGACCTCAAAATAACCGCCAAAGATTCACCTTTTCTTGCTTTTCTTAAAACACGCCGTGGAGAGCAGGCCATATCTCGGGAACCTTTTATGAAGATGCAGTTTTGTACCCTTGCGAAATTTTGCCCTACGTGATCGCCAAACACATTTTTCTTTTATTTATTAGAATATTCGATGGCAGCAACCATGTGACAATATGAACATCTAACGTAAACATCTGTAATATTAACATGATTTAATTGCAAAAATTGGAACTGTGGCACGTGGTTGTAAGATTTCAATTTGCGTATATGACAGTACTTATGGCATGTCTTTAAATTTATATTTTAATATATTCGCATATATTTAGTACTGCCGTACTAAATACTACGAACGTAGTACTAACCGTATAGTTTCAATATGCATATGTGAAAATATCTATGCTATTGCCTTAATAGATCCAAGCAATTTTCGTCGTTTGTTGTGAAACTTTTCATGCGATTTGGTAAGCGGAATTTCATATTTATTGATGCATTGTTTTAACTCTCGTTCTCTTCTCTGTTTTAGTTATCGCCTTCGAGTTCCGATGACCGAGTCACGAGATAAATTAGAATGCGAATTTGATTCGCTTCGTTGGTCGACTCCCAATTTAAAATAAAATAAATAATGGCACCCCTTCCCACACTTTCCCTCGATAATGTAATTTATTTCGCAGATTTTTCTCATCTTCATCAATAGTCTTAGTGTTGCAACGCGTGAAATACTGGTATGGTATCATTTGGGGTTTGTGTTGTACTGCACACATGCTCGTAATACGTATGTCCTTTTAGTCATTGCGCACAAACTTGAGCGCGTCCTTTTTAAATGTTGTCTAGCTTTAGCTCGCAAAGGGGACGTCTCTGGAGGTGTTAAATTAAATTCTCCGTGAGGTTGTATTAAATTGTTGCGGGAGTGACACATTAGTAAATTCGAAAATGTGGTATTTTCACATGCAGAGTGAAATCGTTTGAGTTTTTCGGTATAAAAATTAAATTAAAGTGTCCGTCGGGTTGTATTTGGCCAAGCCAAGGCATTTTACTTCCTGATTGTATGAACTCCAATAAATGACAATTTAATATTATACTTATAAGCTTATTTATTTTTGTATCCCATTTGTCGTTTTCAGAAATCGTTTAAAAATAATATTGGGTTTAAATTTGTGTGCGTGGCGAAAAACAAGTATTGTTTTCTTACAAACATAGATGAAAGTGCAACATTTATACCTGAAACCAATATGGTAAGATAAGAGAGCTCGGTGGCTCAGGTGCATGTACCTGTACTTGCAAATTAGAGGTTCATGGTTCGAATCCCAGTAGAGCAAGGATGTTTTCTTAAATATGAAAATAAATCCGAGTAATGTGGGTTGTCTATGCATCAAAGTTGAAATTCAAATGCAGTTCCGGGCAACAACGAAGTACGAGAAGACGGCAGTTCAGAGAAACAACTTGGGAATAATAAGAATAAAGATGATGTGGTAGGAGTACAGAATAGCAGCAGTAGAGCGAGCAGCAGGAGAAGCAAGAAGAGAAGAGAGTACAGGAAGAAAAGTGAATAATAATTAAGGGTGGCGGAATTTTTAAATTCTGCGCAGCCCACTGCTTCGATGTGTCCATTGCTCCCGGCCCATCCTACAGCTACGATGTCTCTACGCTTCATCCCCAGGATTCTCAGGCATATCAACAATTTTTATGGTGGGGGATCATCCCCAGAGAGGGGAAACTCCTTATAAAGACAATCCTTATATGGTTTTGTAAAATATTTCTAAGTTTAAAGCCGCCTCAAGAGAGGTGACTGAAATGAAAAGAAGAAATGAAAGAAGGAGCACACAAATCACAACAGGATACCTTAACAACTTTTATAGTGGGGATCATCCCCTGAGAGAGGAAACTCTCTTAAAGACGTGTTCCTGAAATGATAGAAGGGGTACACAAATCAAAGAAGTCCATATATCTTACTATTTATTAATTAACAATAGAATACAAGTTTATTTTTTACAAGTCAACAGAATACATGTTGCCATATTGAAACAGGACTTACGACCTGCATAGTCGCGCACATACCGGCAAGTACTACTTCATAAAGTTCTGGCGGAAAAATTAAATTAGTAAATAGCCAATCTTCTAGATGAATGAAAATGGACACATATACGAGGGTATACAGGGTGTTCCAAAAGGAAAATTTAAAGTGCAAACAAAAACTCTCAACACAACAAACGCCGCTCACTCAACGATCAGGGAAACTAATATACAGGGTGTTGCAGGAAGAAAATTCAAAGTGCAAAGGGGAAAATACCAAAAACAACAGGTAAAGCAAAATTTTCCCGGACACAGAGGAAAACATACATACAGGGTGTTCTAGAAAGAAAATCCCATCAATCAAAACAGAGAACACTCAAAACTCACAACTAAAGGTGGTTTCCTACGGGTTGTTAGAAAAACTAATATAATGGGTGTCAAAAAAAAATTTTAGAAACTACAAAGGGAGTCAATATTCACAATAAAGAAAGGGGAATTTTACAAGTTTAAAACAATATTTTATTACTTTCATTTATGTATACGTAATCCATTGTATAGTTTAAAAATATTTATTTATTAAAGTTCATAAATTTATGAAGATGCCCTCAGGGCGAAACATGTCAAACTCATTATATAAAATTGTATAATCCAGTAAAAATCACGTATTTTAATATAAAATCAGATATTTTACCCGAAAATCATCGGGAAAATTGAGCAAAAAGGTGCTACAAAAATAATACACTTAAATTTTAATATTTTCTATCCTGTAATATATTCTAACAACTGAAAATTAGCGCAGGGATTAACGGACACTTATTTCTCACTTAAGGAGACTCTAACCGCCACAACTAATCAAACAAAACAGCCACATATGTTTGTTACGAATATTTTGCTGTTGACGAAAAGAATACACGACGATTAATTGAAGTCTGAAAACGCGTAGCGGGTAGTGAGACGCATTCGCGGACCACGCGGTGAAACGACTGCCGTGTGCACGACTTGTAGCAAGGCAGCTACACAGCGATAACACGCGTCAGTCGGACAAAGTTGTTTATATACTCGTACAAACGTACTTATAAACACGTAGTTGAGAAGACGAAACTAAAATTCACAATATTGATATAGCACATATACACGGAATCTACTTTTACTTTCAATATTTCTCGGCCTAAGAAAAGAATATATTTACTTTGGGATGTAATAAGATTGACAAAAACAGGAATTTAATTTACCATTACAAATAAATAATTTATTGTTCTCGTAAAAGTTTACTGTATACCTTAGATATTTAAGTAATTGGTGTTCACAATATCGCGGCTACTTTAAATATTCACTTAAACGGGCAAAAAGGGGGTACTGCGTCATGTATTTTTTTAAGTATTTTTGATAACGAATATCATTTAAACTAAAAACGTTAGCGACCAACGGATTGAAGATTATAAACTTTTGGAAAATTCTCTATCAGATAAAAGTATAAAATAAATAAATTTCCTGGGTTAAAACGACCACCGTGAACACGAGTCACTTCTACCGCTACCTTCGTGCGGTGCCCTGAACACGAGTCACTTCAACCGCTACCTTCGTACGGCGCCCTGAACACGAGTCTCTTCTACCGCTACCTTCGTACGGTGCCCTAAACACGAGTCATTTCTACCGCTACCTTCCTACGGTGCCCTGAATATGAGTCTCTTCTACTGCTTCCTTCATACGGTGCTCTGAACACGCGTCACTTCTACCGCAACTTTCGTACAGTGCCCTGAACACAAGTCATTTCTACCGCTACCTTCGTACGGTGCCCTGTACACGAGTCACTTCTATCGCTACCTTCGTACGGTGCTCTGAACCCGAGTCACTTCTACTTTCAATATAACTCGCGTTACGGAATTTGCTTAAGGGTACATTTTAAAAATGTACTCTTGCGGTATCCAATATATATATATATAGTTACTATATATAAAATGCACTCTTGCCGTATCATAAAATATATATATATTTATGTATCATAAAATAAATAAAAAATTAAAAATATTGTAGCGGCCATTTTGAGACTGTTACGCCTGAATTTCGCGGGTGTTCAGGGGTGCATTGTAAAAATGCACTCTTATCCTATCATAAAATTAAGAAAAAACTAGAATATGACAAATGGTTCCCGAGATATGGCCTGTTTTCCACCGCGTGTTTTGAAAATTAACAATAGAAGGAGTAACTTTGGCGGCCATTTTGAGGCAGTTGCGATCAAATTTTGCGGGAATTCAGGGGTGCATTTTAAAAATACACTCTTGCGCTATAAATTAAAAAAAAATTAAAATATGACAAAGGGTTCCCGAGATATGGCCTGTTTTCCAGTGTGTGATTTGAAAAACGCGAAAAAGAGGCAAACTTTGTCGTTTCCTTCGTTTTCTATATTACCCGCAATTAAAATAAACAAGGCACTCATAATTTGCGAGCTAATGCAACACGCAGATCATAAAACATTTGACCGAAAAATACAACTTAATAAAAACTTGCCAATGCAGTGCTAAGTTGTTTACTCAAGTACGAAAGGACCTCCTAATGACGGGAAACATCATGGCAACGATATGCATTTGGAATGTAAACATCAAACGCAAACATATAAAAATTACGCACAAATTAATCAATAACAAAACACTGCAGATGCATGTTACAACAAAATAGTCAATTGATGACCGAATACAATGCAATTTTAGAAAATAAGAGTCCGATAAAAGGATACGTCCCGCAATTAAAATATATAAACTAATAAAAAATTAAAATTCGAGTGGTGATATGTCTAATTTCAAATGGTGAAAGATTTTCGTGGGGTAAACGGGCAAAAAAACGTGACTAAAAGTGCTAAAAAGTGCAATTTTTATTAAAAATAATAATCTACGAGAAATTCTTTATAAGGCAAAGTATTAAAATATTGCAAGATGTGCTTCAGCAAAGCAAACAAGGTCGCAACAATTCATGATAAAACTACCTACGCGATTTGCAATAGACACGATACCTGAGATCGAAACTAGAATATGCTGCATGTAGATGCATTGATGCGGCATGAGAAGACAGCGCGCGGGACACATGCGATAAAAAGTTTTTATATCGAATCGCCGATAACAGCATTGTATACAAAATTATTCTCGTGGCCACGTTTGTCGACAAATATAAAAATAAGTCGTATAACTCAATTTTATGCATTTTAGTACATCCTAGTGCCATCTATGAATGCAACAGATAGTAGTCCCAGGATTTAGATTAATAAAATTAATAAATGAATAAAATTCAAAACATGAAATTATTATTTCTTATGCTAAAAGATTTGTCGATTTGACATCAAATATTTAAGTGATATTTAATTTGAACATGTATTGCTATACTATATAGGATTATATTTAAGCAATGAACAATTCCAACTGAATTCTAATTTATACTAAAATAAAAGGCTCGTAAAAACGTTATGTTGCAACTTCAGTTGAAAAAATTGTAAATTTCAACTGAAAGTTTTCTGCTGAAAAGTATTATATGATTTTTCCAAATAACGGAAAAACTATAAGTCCAAGAGTAAAATTTTACTAAAATAAAATGATCAGGAGAACGGTTTATAGCAACATCCAAAATAAAAACTTCAAATTTACAAATTTAAATTTTCAATGGAAAATGTGAGTTCACATTTAATCAAATTCTGGGAAAACTTTGAGTTCAAGAGTAAAATTTTACTAAAATAAAATACGCAGGAGGGCTTTCTATAGCAACATCCGACATAAAAACTTTAAATTTTAAAATTTAAATTTTCTGTGGAAATTATGTGTTTACATTTTCTCAAATGGCGGGAAAACTATTAGTTCAAGAGTAAAATTTTACTAAAATAAAACGCTCAGGAAGACTTTTCATGGCAACATTCCAAATAAAAACTTCAAATTTTCAAATTTAATTTTATCCGGAAAATGTAAGTTCACATTTTGTCAAATTACGGAAAAGTATGAGTCCTAGAGTAAAATTTTAAAGTGTTCAGAGCGATGTTCATAGCTGAATCCGTAATATAAAAGCTTGAATTTCCATTTTCAAATTTTCTGCGGAATGCTTGACCGAAATTTCCGCGAAAAGAAGTTTAAGATATTTCATTCTCTAATTGCAGGAAAACCGTAAAATCGCAAAATAGATACTAGCAACGATGAATAATTTCACTCACCAGTGTATCGAACACTGTAAATCAAATGCGAGTAGATACTGGAATAAACAAGAAACAAAACATTAGTTATACACTTTTGGACAATGTTGAAATCCTTGAACCATGAACTTTGCCTTAAAAATTGTCTTATTTGCCATAATTATTTAAATAATAATATATACCAGGGAGAACAGCCGCCCGTCGTGTTCTGCTGAAGACAAAAATGGTTCGCACAACTCCAAAATATTATTTACAATCACACAGCATGGCCGGCTGGTGTCCGACGGCAATCGATCCCAGATACACGCGAAACTATAATAAACACACAAAACATTGAATTCCGAAGATTACACACGCGATAAATATTTAGCGACTAAAACCCGTCTATTAACACTAAATTTCAGAAAATATAACGCGATATAACGAATTTACAAGACGAAACACGAATATCCATTCAAGTATTATCACTTATCACACGAAGTAAGAGTTGTGAGCCGGCTACACAACTGGGGACGCCGACTTTCACTTGCAGGAATATTTTTAGCTAAAACATGCATTATTGCGCCATCTGAGGTTACTTTTGAGTACCTCAAGAAAATATAAAGTGTATCAAAAATGTGGCGTGCATATGAGGAAGTGATTGGCTATGAGTCAGTATATCATCGTGTATCGTGTATTATCGTGTATGGTCACGCAATTCAATGGCAGTGGCCGTGGGTCACACGTACACGCAACTGCGCATGCACCACCCTATCTAAACGAATAGCGATTTTAACACCTAACTGAATGCTTTTAATGTAGATGTCACTAGAATGTTTTAATTCAAAATAAATGAACTAAATTTTGCAATTTTAATGCAAATATTCATCAATTTAGCAATAAATATACATTATACACTGAATATTTACCATAAAATCACATATTTTCTTTAAAATTGTTTCAAATTTCTTCAAAAACTACAAAAAAGCATAAAAACATTCAAATTTTACTTCATTAGTAATTTACTCTTGAAATGAAATACTTATATCATTTTAGTTAATAAAAATCGTCTAAATATTCTTTAATTCATATTATTTTCCGTCGGAAACTACCTCTATCAGGTCAAATCCACCGCTACATTCATATGGTGTCCTGAATCAAGTCACTTCTACAGATACCTCCATACGGTGCCATGAATCAAGTCACTTCTACCGCCACCTTCATACGGTGCCCTGAATCAAGTCACTTCTACCGCTAACAAATACAACCCGACGGAGAATTTAAGTCCGCATCTTTCGAGGCTGCGCTGAAGGTACTGAGTCGCCAAGATCGCATACAAACCCGTAAAAATACAAATATTTCTCGAAAAAAAGGTGACAAAGCGATAAATCATCTTTTTATGCAACTTTTAACGGGTTGCAGGTCGAATTCCTGCAACAGGCAAGTACAACCAACCGGAGAATTTAATTCTGCACCTCTAGCTGTCCCGCTAAAGTTTGTGCGCCGTGTGTATGTATTACGAACACGAGTGTATAAAATAAGCAAGTTATGATACCTTACCAGTATTTTATGCGTTGCAACACTTCGACAAGGGCTGACGATGAAAATAATCTGCGAAATTAATTACATTGTTAAGGAGAAGTGCGGGAACGGGTGTCATTATTTATTTTATTTTTAATCGGAAGTCGACCGACGAAGCGAATCAAATTCGCATTCAAATTTAGCTCATGACTGCGATCGGAACTCAAAAGCGATTGCTAAAACAAAGAAGAGAACGAGAGTTAGAACACTTCAGTGTAAAGTTAAATATGACGGAACAAGCCGGCGGAAAATTCAACGCCGCTGTCAAAAAAGGTCAACTTCAGATTCGCAGCAGCTGGAAGAACCCATCGCAGCCGGTCTGGAGCAGGAAAAGCAACCGTTACACACAAAGTTAACAAATAATTGTATATTAAATAAAATCGAACGTTCCAATTGCGGGAGTAATAATGGCATGAAATTGGTGTCAAAAGTAACAATAGAATGTCAATATTTTTTAATATGTTCTCAAACGACCATATTTATTCTACGAAAGCTTTTCGCTTTTATTTCATATCGTTTGACATATAATAATATAAACAGCGCAAACAACCGCGCATATTTCAGTTTACATCGAAGCGTAGCCATGGTTACGATTAAATTGACGGTGACGACGCATGAACTTGTTGAATATGTATATCGTGTACATAAACTACGTAATACTTTTTACAAGTTCTTTCACTATGAATAAATGCAACACTATATTTCAGTCCGATTACGCTTGGCCTCTGTGCCCACAATAAATACGTTCATAAATTGGTTTAGTTCGCTTTTCAGCTGCTAAGTATTCGCTTCTACATATTGTTTTATTGCATGCTATTGTAGTATCGTTCATTACTAATGGAATATTAATATATTCATTGGGGACACTGCGGTATGCACATGTGAATTGAAAGGGAATTAAAATATACGAAATAATCAACTCATATATATTTTACAGTACTGACGTGTCTTGTTATCATGTTTTATTAAAACAGCATAACATGTTATGAGAGAATTTTACAATTATTTGTTTGTTTGCGAAATATTGCAACCAGTAATTATTATACTATAAAGATAAAACAACATGTACTTCATCAAAAAAACTTAATGAAAATTGACGAATTCAAGTAGGTGTTTGCATTAAACCATTAAGAAACGTGGTGTCACGAAAATCAATTGTATTCTGTTCATATCAACAATAACAAGCTAATAAAACACTTCATCGCTTATAATTTTAATTACCACTTAGTGAAAATGCTAGTTAAAATGTGGTCATGAGTAAATTAATAAGAATATTTGAGAAATCAATTAAAAATACGAGTATGATGTTCAGTACTTGCTGCAACCCTTATAAAATACATTTGTTATTTTTTCATTAACTAGACAAATCTACTTCAAAACGCCACTAAATTTGTTAAAACACTAAAGTAACTTGGTTAATTTATTAAGGTAATCACTTTAAAGAACTTGCAGATAAAAGTAAGTTCATAATAGTTGCATATTTTGAAAGAATTCACTATTACCACATTAGTGTCAAACTTCCGCATTCAATATTAGTCAACTTCATCATTATTAAACGATTTCAAGTAATATACCATTGTTTGTGGGTTACAAAAATACTTGTTTTATAATATGAATATAAAAATACTACAATGTCGAATATATTATTAATGCTTTAACAAAATAGTAAGTTTGAAACAATGTTAATAACTTGGAAAAGTTTAAATACTCTAGTGTTGATAGTGCAGAATGTGTCGTTCTAGATTTACCTGCACTGTGTGCACTTTCAACGCACCAGCCGTCGCCGCTAAGCGCCAGGTGGGAAAATTAAAAAAATAGTGGGAAACTACATGCGCGTCCTGCGCAAGGTCCTGCGGAAACAAGTCGCGGCGTCGCGCGTTGTAACAATGCTAAACCGACTGCCAAAGTGATCGCTTTCTTTCTAGTTTTGAAGGGACGATTCTAACTCGCGTGTGTCGTGTGTCGATTAGTGATAACCAGTAACTAGTGATTAAAATCTACACATAGAATAAACTTTTATCGCATAAATAAATATACACTAGTTTCTTTAAAAAATCGTTGAAAATGCAATAATTACAATAACGACAAAGTAAGTAAGCACATATTTTTCAAACTTGTTTTGCAATACCAAATAAAATATATTTCTCCAAGTGGAAACTGTGCGCATGTTTTGAATATTAACGTCCGTCATCATTCGATTTGATCACAAATAACAGCTAATATGAAACTTTGACCAAGGATAATAGCATTCGATGAACACGTACGATGTATGACAAATGCTCATTTCAATTAACCATAACGCACACGCGGCGCGAGCAAATTGAAGAAATCTATGTTTATGAGGCCGATCTGTTGGAATCCTACATTAATTTTAGGCGATTCAAATGTCCGCGCATTTACTACTCAATATAAATTGTTCGGCCGTCTGTAGTAAGCATTTGCATAGATATAGATTTTAAAGTGCATGCAGGAATGCCAGTATTCGCTCAAGGTTTAAAACGCTGAAAAACATAATGATTTCACAAACGTTTCACGCCACGGAATTTCATGACATAACAAAACATGATTTATTATTTTAGAAGTTAACATATCCGGAGAATTCATGGGATCATTAGATAGAATAGTTAATAATCAAAACAAGGATATTTACATCTATTTTATTTTTAATTTAGCAGATAAATGCATTATCCCCGATTTTCATTATTACAGTTTTGATGCCAAAACATGATAATTACAGTTAATATAATTACATTATAACAAATTAAAAATTTCAAAAAAAATCAAAGTACTAATCCATTCTATTTAAGTAAAATTAAAAAAATACTTCAAATGTTCGGTTTAATATGTAATATTTGAAAGTGACACATACATTTTGGAATTTCTGAGATATTTAATTTCCAATGATTCATAATCGATTAATGATGAAGCGAGATTTTAAGATTGTAATTCCCTACTTAACATTGATAACAAGATGATATTATCAAATAAGTTACCAAAACACTTAAAAATGTTTTAATACATAATTTATGTCCCCATAAAATTGTAACTCCCAAAATGTTTATGACAAAAACACCTTTGAAAATCCAATAGAAGATATAGACGATCCTCAAATGCCCCGATAAGATTACAGCATTACGATATCCAATTATTGACACTGTCGAACACTAGTCAAACAAAATATAACATTTGTTGTGCGACTCTGCACTTCAGTCTATATAGTAATTGCAACCAGTCTCGACAAGTGATCAAAACTTTTTACACTCTTAATTTTAGTTATTTAATCACGTCGGTGCTAAACAAACACGATGGAGGAGGAATTCCCGGTGAAATGCTACAAGAACTCGTATGACATTGGCAAATTTCTCACCTATCATCCTGGAGGATTCAATTACCTACAGAACTATGAGAACAAAAATGTGGAACGTCGTATGAGAGAGACCAATCATTCTACTACTGCCTACTACCTGCTTAGGGAATATGAAATCGATGGCAGGGACGTTGACCAACACGAAGACAATGAAGATTTGGAGGTAATTAGTACATTGTTTTCAAAATTGCTCAGTGTAGTGTAAATCAAATTAATAGAAATGATTAAACACTCTAAAACAATTACAATGCTTACAATTGAAATGACGTAATGATTAAATAGACACGATTTAAAACAGACGTGTAGTAGATATCAATTGTTAACAAAATCAATGGAACTATGCAGGTGCACACGGGTCTGTAATCCGGCCTTCTGAAATGACATATTGCTGAATAAATAATTAAATACATAATTTTGATCAATCAATTACATGCAGTAACATGTGAATAAATTCGCACAAAAGTATAATTCATTCTGCCATTTTTAAAACTTATTTTTTAGCATTTAGTGGATTGGAACAAGCCAATGCTAAGCCAAATAGGAAAATTGGGCACAAAATATAACCAGTGGGTGACGCTACCTGTAGACCGCGAACTGCGGCTGTTTGGAAATCCGCTAATTGAAAACCTCACGAAAACACCATGGTTTCTTGTTCCTATAATCTGGTTACCGGTAATTGTAGTTTTTTTACATATTGGTTGGCAAGATTACACAAAAAGTACACGTAAGGCAGAAAGATTACTGTTTGATTAATCGAAAACCAAATATTGCCATATTTTTGTAGGCCAACCAATCCACACCTCCATTTTGAGCGCCATTGGCCTAACTGCTTTCGGTGTAGTGATTTGGACTCTTCTGGAGTACACGATACACAGATGGGTGTTTCATAAAATGCCATCAGGGCACTCCAAAGCACAAATTGTGTTTCATTTCATCACACATGGATTACATCACAAGGTGAGTTAATATTTTTAAAACGCCATTATCATTATTCAAACATGGGGAGCATAAAATTGTGGAGGCTTGCCACACGAAACGCACGTATCGATTGTGGAAGGACACTGATAAGAGCATTAATAATGATTTATCTACATGCGTTTCATTTTTTTTAACACGCTCGATTCTGTTTACTACTAAATTTCGGTTGTTTTCTTTTTTACGTAACAAAAAAATAAAACATACAAAATGCGGGTGTTTTGTACCAGTTAAGTTAATAAATTACTTTGGCTATCTCAAAAATCTATTCTAATGAGAGATAATGAGGATTTAATACAGTTTGCTACAACATTTTACAATAATCATGTTCTTTTTTCCAAGAAAATTCTGTTCTATAATTATTTGAATAAAATCATATTTGTGTTTGCACGTGCCAGTCCGGAAACGACGTTGTTTAACGCAAACAAACAAAAAACTCATGATACAAACTGTATTTGTCTCCAAGTTGTGGTACCTGGACGCACTTGTTTTCAGTACATTGCTCGTAACTTTATTTATCGATTGAAATAATCGTTTCTGTAGTGTCTGTCACATGTCCAGTGCTAGTAAATACAAACATGTCCGTCTGCCCAGAGCCCCGGACGCAAATTGTCCAATTTATTACAATAAAAAGCGACGGGCAGCAATCAATAGAAGTCACGATTATCGTTTACGAATTGAAAGGGTTGTGGACAGTGTAGGCTTCAAAATTTCACCACTGCACAATAAGAAATCGATTCAGTAATAAATATTTTCAACCGAATACTTGGACTTCCCTCATTGATTTGTTCAATTAACTTAATGTTACTTGATTTGTTGTTCCTAGTTCGTGTGTAAATTATATGTTTTATATCGGTTTGTTTGTATTTCACACTAGTTTAATAGAAGTAGATTAATCCACGCATTTCCTTAATTATTAATTAAGTAATTGAAAACATCAGCGCACCCGTGTCCTAGATTTTTTCACGCTCATTCCTATTTCCCCAACTTGCCCGGACCCGTTACCATTATCATTTTCACCAAGTCGGCTACTATTTATGAATGCTACCTTAATTAAAGCTCGTTATAACACGATTTTTGTTTTTAGGTGCCTTTTGATCACAAACGCCTGGTATTTCCACCATTTCCGGCCGCAATTGTTGGCTCTATTCTTTTAGCGATCTACTCAAAAATATTCCCGGGCTCAGTCTTGTTTTTAGTCGCAGGAGGAACTGCTCTTGGTAAATATTCGAATGTTATTCAAATGATACTATGTTTGCTAAGTCAATCCTTCAAACTCTAAATCATGTATTTATTTTGACTCGTTTGTAGGATATGTGACTTACGATATGATCCACTTCTATTTGCACTACGGTTCGCCCAAAGAAAATACGTTCCTGTACAACATGAAGCGATATCACAATCAGCACCATTTCGTTCACCAAGATACAGGTAAATTGTTTATTTTTAGCCGCATATCGCCACTTCAAATACGCCTGCCATACGTGCGGATTTTTATCAGTTGAAGTGCGTGATGTAATTAGCTAGATTGTATAAATGCGGGCATTCAAAACAAGCTTATTTGTGTATAATATAATTAATCGTAACATTTCTAGGTTTTGGAATTAGCAACAAAACATGGGATTACTTCTTCGGAACATTAATAAACTTGAAGAAACTTGCAATGCCCATAAAATGGTCTACATGTTTCTCAAAGAACAAGTAACCGTGTGATAAAAACTGTTTGCGTATTGAATTTGTTACACGTATGCCAGTGAATGTTACACGTAATTTATTGTTATCATTTTATAAACCAAAGGCACAAAGATTTCGGCTGAATACATTTTTACATTGAATCGTCTATTTCTTCCAACAAAAATTACATTACCTTACATTTCATTCGCATTTTGGAGTAAATAACGGAGAATTGATTTTTCTTGACTACCTTCTTCACCGCATTCCGAATGCAACTTTTCCAATGCTGACAATTCGTGTGGTTGCAAATTCGGTAAGTAATAAAATAAACACAGAATTTTTATCTTTGCAAACTCAGGATTGTGATTCTCATAATTGCTGGAAACTTTAATATGCTTGTAGTTACCTAAAAATAAAAACGACTTTATTATCCCTACTAATATTATAAATGCGAAAGTCCTGATGTTTGTTTCACTTTCACGCAAAAACTACTTAACCGATCATTATGAAAATTTGTACACATATTCTTAGTGGTCCCCGAATGGTTATAGGCTACTTTTTACTTAATAAAAAAATTATTTTTTAAATAAAATAGAGAAATTGTTTAGCCAATAATACCTCTGCATCTGGCTATTTGACTACTTTAACACCATCAAGCATTCTAGCAATGAAGCTCAAACCTAAGTACTATAGTACCATCACACTGTATTATCACACTGTATTACGGACAGCTACGTCAACATCAAATCCAATTGACTACAGTATGGAGACTGTACACTATACTTTCATAGACTATACTTTCAGCCATTTTAAACTTCCCGCCATTCTACTTCATTGTTACTTCTTCTGTGACTACAGACGCGTACGGAAGCAACTCCATTATTTTAGATATTCGCGAGCGAAGCCGCGGGTTAAAGCTAGTAAAGTATAAAGCAATTCTGAAACAGTGCTAGATAATATGTTATATGAACCATAAGACAGTGCACAACAGCTCATAACCCAATAGTTGCATGTTTAATTGTACGTCAGATGAAGTACCTGTATTCTTTTAACCCACCTAAAATTTGTGCCATATTCTCTCTTAATCCCTCCAAAAATTCAACATTATTTTGTTTGCCAACTAGAAGTAGTGCATCAACTACATTTTCACTAACTTCAGTACCACCTAGAGATGCAGATATATTCCCCAACCATTTTTGGTATACAGCATTTCTAAAACACATAAAATAAGCAATTATATTATTATAAAATAATAAAAATGATTTGTAGTTTAAATTACTTGTTTAAATGAGGCAGCTGCGAAATTTCACATAACAGATCAAGAACACTGTTATTATTTTGCTTTGCATTGGCAGAAGCGGCGTCCTGATTGTATATTGTGTCATAAAAGTTCACAAACCGAATCAATATCGTTTCAACGTCGACTTTACGATGCCACTCCAGGTTGTTAAACAAAATGTTGCGAAGTACAATCAAAAGACAATCCATATTCGCATTATTTATATTTCCTCTGGTTGTTAAACAATCTGTAATTGATTAAATAAAATTAATAAATGTTTTATTAGATTCTATTACAATCACAAAAACTTACGTTCGAGATAAGTTAAAATGCGTTGCGCATCGCATATTTGTTTGCTGCGCACTAAACGTTTATTCAAATTGCAGAACAAGTAACAAATCAGTAAGTTCTCACGCACAAACTTTGTATCAGTACTGAGGTATTGCGTCAAAAGTTTATTTACGCCGGAACTCTCGGATTTCGGTCGATCAGGCGATTTAGTAAACGGAAACAATGCAATCACACTTGCAAGAAATTGTTTACACTCGTTTGTAAAAAATGTATCATACTAAAATTAATGTTTTATTTTTTAAATATAAAGTAAAATGATAATGACTCACCAAAACAGTTAAATCCTGAGCTTCATTTTGAAGAACTAATCTTTGTAGAAGTAAATGCTTAACATTCAATATACAGCTTAAGATTGCAGCGGCATCATTGTGTAATAAAGTAAAGTCGCTAAACGCACGTACATCTTTCTCAGGAGCTACTTCCATCCATATCTCATATAATAAACGAATCAAAGTGCTGAGATTTTTCTCGACCACATCATATTTTGATTCCGAATGTAATGACTCATTATTGTATGTAATTTTGCTGTTTAAATAACTATTGTGCATAAGAGGGACGTATCTGGCCGCCTTTTGATTTGCTGATATTTGTATTAAGCTAGAAATTGAATAAAAAATAAACTAGACTGTATTAAATACTAAAACTATACCTATTTGTTTTCAAACATTCATTTGCATCTGCATTAATAGCTTTAAGAAATCCATACATCCCACTTAGAACTTGAATATGCCATTTTACACTAGTTAATTTTGTGTTCAAATTCATGGATAATGTTCTCACAGATTTAGTTTCCACTTTAAACCTGGAAATCAGGGCAAACAAATTTGGTAATACTTTGTGACTCTCTTCAGCAACCATTTCAGGTACACTCTGCAGTAATATAGCCAAGAATCCAAGTGAATCCTCCTGAATGCCACGATTCAGATTTGTCATTGAGCATCTTAAGTAAGAAGATAGTATTGGAAAAAATGGTTTAATTTTTGCCCCTGGCACCTGTTGAATTATTTTTGTAAACTGCTCATCACAGTTTGCCTAACAGTTTTGTTAGCATCAAGTAACAGTGGTGGCAGCCCTTGCAAAACTTGTGCTAAGTGTTGACTGGCGAGTTCTTCAATATGGCTATTTATTATTTGTTTTAAGTCATTCAAACAATCATGTCTCACAGTTACATTATGATGTCTCAGCCTTGATAGAATGTCCTATAAATTATTTTCAGAAATAAAGTGTTAACTCTGCTACCTGATTAGATTTACCTTGACATTCAATTTCCTTTTGCTAAGAAGTTCTTGGGTATCTTTTTGTTTGAGTTGTTCTGGAAGAATGATTGGTTTAATTTTGAAGTCTGTTTTGGTTTCATTCAGGCCTTTGGGAAGGAACTTGGTTTTTTCGGATTTCACTTTTAGTTTAATTTTTGCCTTCTCAGTCTTCAGCATTTTCTTATGGCGATGATTCTTTCCCATGTTTAATAAATATTTCGGCCTTAAAATAATAAGTAAATGCAATTGTAAACGTTCGTGATATTTGTTTATTTCAGGTTAATCATAAAAACACGTGTTTTATTTTGAGTGAATAATTAGTTGCCTATGTTACAGTTATATATTTAGCCCAAACATTTTTAAAAATTGAACGAAAAATATACAAGGAAATTTTGTGGTATATTGTAACGAGGAATAATTAGTGTTACAAAATGTATCCTTAAATTAAATGTAATTAACACCAATTAAAATGATTACTTCTCAAAACAAAAATCATCAGCAAAAAGCAATTATTACGACTTACAACTTGTAAACTCTAATTACATATTTAAGAAACATTAAAACTTTTCCGTATAAATCTTGAGTAATGTTTCCACATTCTATACAATGTCAATCGTTTAACGCGTGGCAATTCAGTTTAACTTATTAATTTGATTGAGATATCAAACAAAGAATTGTATACGTATATTATTAACATGTCGGTTTGCAGCTAGATATCTCAATACAAAATATATTTTACTTCTGCCTTTAATTATCTTGTCAAATATTATATATAAAAAGAACCGTTGATATTATTATTACCATTGTTTACAATTGCAACATGAGAAACCCTTGGACGGCTTTTAAGGATCCCACATTACCTAAAAATTATTTTAGGGTGGAGGCAAATAAATTATTTTTTAAACTGCTTATAAAGAGTATTTTAAAAACAATTATTTTAGATCACAATTTTAAGATGTCTTGGAATCGAATTAATTAAAGAAGAAACTCTGGCATACAGCATTTATTCAAAAATATTTCTGTTGTATACTGTTTTATTGTACACCGGCGTTGAAATTTACGAAATTTATGCGCAATTGGGTGAACTCAACGCAATGCTTGGCGTGCTCAACTATTTAATTACGCATTTAATGGGTAAGTTACACCGTAATATTAAAATCAATAAGTAATGTAAGAAAATCATCGAATTAGGAGCCGTTAAAACGGGACTTTTGTATTGGAACCGCAAAAAAATCGGTGAAATGATGATGTCTCTTCATCAACCACCATTCAAACCAGACGAAACACGCGGTGGAAAAGAAGAAGAACGTTTAATTCGCGATGCAATTAAAAAGACCGAAATTATATTGATTGTTTATTTTCTGGTCGTCTCTGGCACCATATTCTCAGGTGTGTACAATGCGTGTATCATTCGCATACGGAAACCTAAAGAGCAGTGGACATTTCCATATGCGCCAACGATGTCTCTGGGTGATTGGCTTCAAAACTCACCTTATTTTGAACTGGGTATTTTATATCAATTTTGGGGAGTGTTGAGTTTTGCTGGCGTGATTGCAACCACTTATGTTTTACTTTCATCTATTATGGCGCACATTAGTGTTCAGATGAAGATTTTAGGAAACTCATTTCGGTACAATGCAAATAATCACTAATTATATTTCAAACTATTTTTTTCTTCATTTAGCAATTTAAAAAGTCGAGCAGAAATAATGGCGGGTTCGCAGAAGGATGACGCATGCATAGTAAACAAACATATGGAAACTCTAATGCGAGAAGCTGTTAAACATCATATTAAATCATTAGATATGGCTAAAGAGATGGAAAGCTTATGTAGTTTGATGATTTTATCAATTTTCGTTGCAAGCGTAATTTTACTTTGTTTTCTTCTGTATTTTGCGTCTTTGGTATGTCTTTAAGCATTATGGTGGATATATAATAACAAACAACATTGTAGTATCCTCTTGCAAGCGTTGAATTTTTTCAAAATTTCTGTTACTGGTGGATTATTGTATGTCAAGTTGGAATGTATTGTTTCTGGGGCAACGAGGTAAGTTTGGAAAGCGATGAAGTCGCAAAAGCGGCAGCAGAATTAGATTGGCCTGGATCAACCAAAAAAGTTACTAATGCTGTGGTCATGGTCATACGACGCGCCCAAAGACCACTTTATATAACCGCTGGAAAATTCGTTCCCTTGAGTATGGAAGTGTTTATGAGTGTAATACAAATTAACAGTAACAACTTATTTAGTGGGTAATTTAAATAATTTTACAGATTATCAAAGGATCTTTTTCGTATTTTATGGTTTTACGACAAACTCAAGGTCCTGATGCTTAATTACTTATTAATTTTGCAATGTTTAGCTAGTTACAAAGTTTAAAATTTCTCGATATAGTATATTTGGAATCCTATAGCTGGCTCATCATTTATTTACTCATCGGCAGCGAGCAACAATCATTTGCAGAAGTGCCTTCAATACACACGATGCAATAATAATCTTTGTGCAATATATAACTGCTGTTGTAACTGCAATGAGTCTAACATCGGCTCAATTCATAAGATGAATTAAAGAACGAAAATATAAATCAACTGAAAACCTGCACCTGGTCAATGTAGCACTAACCCTGAATTAGATGTTTCTTAAAGAATAATATAATCGAAATTGATAGTTTAAAAAACTAGAAAATAAAGTACAATTAGAAACTTGTTTATATATTTTTTGTTGAGTTATATACATACTTGAAGAAAGAAGGGTCGTGTATAAGCTCTAAATCTTCCAGGTAAGAAAAGGTCCTTTTGAGTACGAAGTAATATTAATAAAACATCCCTATGCACTGCCGGATCTTCTTTCCATGGAATATTTGAATAAATATGTAGAGGCACTGTTGCAGACTACACTTTTCTATTAATCGTAATGACAAAATAAAATTGCAAGACATACTCACTTTTTGTGAAATTCGTGATCCCATCCAAGAAATAAGAAGACTTGGCCCAATATTGAGCGCACCTTGCATTATAATAACGACAAAATCGATTTGCATTTCAATTGAAAGTACAACAGTACTAAATATTGTACTTATTGTAGTAAAGCTCCATTGACAAACCAATATTGGCGTGCTAATAGTCATAAAGCGCTTCCAATTACTAAAATTTAATTAATAGTAGCTTGTTATTAAGGTCATGATATTAAAACATACTCCAGCATAATTTGGTGGTATCTGATGCACAACTTAAGGTGGCTTTTACACTTTGATTTGTTTAATTTTGGTAATTGATCAATTAATAATCGTAGTGTATCAAAGCTTCGGGTTGAGAGGTCAAACAAAGCAATTTTGCACAATAAAAACATCAACACAATGTAGAAACCACCAATTATTTCAAACGAAAATAGTATATTAATTACTAATTGATTTATATTAGTGGTCACGTCAAATGGTAAATACTAGAATCAGAAATTTATAAAAATTCAACTACATACATGAAATTATGTGAAATAGTGTGAACCAAACCATGTTTACAATTAATCCACATCCCGGTATTTTTACTTTATCACATGGTATTATTTGCTTTCCAACTATACACATTACAGCAGTTGCAATAGTCAAGGGTAAAACACATTTAAATACTTTATGATAGATTTTATTAAGGCGATATACTTCATCCCAATCGCAATAAACTCGCATGAGTGTTTTTTGTCGGTTTACTAATTCAAGACACTCTGTACCATTCTTGGTATAGAGAAAAAGAATAGAAATGCACATTGCCACTGTTAAACCTTGCATGATAGTATTTCCAGTTCGTTCCACATCCAAAGCACCTAAACTTTGATACGATATTATCACATTAGCAACTATGAGCAAAAATTCAATGCACAAAATGAATAAAAATATCCGGATGTAACGTGGCATGTAATGTATTTCTATAAAATGGTTGGTATAATTTGGAATTAAATTGAAACGATACAATGTCGCTAGAACATTTCGTAATAGATTTGATTCGGACAAGTTATCCCGTCGCCGCATAATGGGAAACTACATGTATGTACGTAGAGTAAAAGCAGTAAACCTTCATATTTTGCCATTATCATTTTTATGTTACTTATTAATAATTAAGATATACGCATTAGAACCGCCCTACTAAGAGTGTTAGTAGTAAATTATATTGATGGTAATCGCGTAAATGAGCGCTTTTTACTAACAATAGCACCCGACGAATACTATTTAAACACTTTGTGCACACTAAAGACCTAAATCGATATCGATTTATTAAGTAACCGGCTCGCCCACTAGATCAATGGGAATTAAACTTCAAATTTTTGTACTAATGAAATAGAATCTTTTGATTTTAATAAGTTTTATTGTAAAGATTTTACGCCATAATGCCAAAATTCCTTATAAAACATTGAAATATTGCATTGGTGTTGTAAGGGATTTTCTATCTCTTGTGTCATTAAAGGAATTGTTTTTAAAGGAATCTTGTTCTTGACATAGTATGTGTCAACTCTATCAATTAAATTCGTAATTTTATTTTAAAGGTATTAATTATGTAAAGAATTGCTAATAATGCACTTCAACGCGCCATTTCGGATTCAACTATTTAACTATAACTATGATTGAATTTCAATGCCAACTTTTATCCTATAGAAAAGGGCTGTCTTTAGGATTTTCCCAGCAATTATTCAAATTTTTCTCGCCGTACAAATCAATCTGGGGCTTTAACGAACATTAAAAAAAAAGAGTTGGCTAAATTGGTCTAAGCGTTGTTGAGTTATGCGCTTACCAACAGAATTCATTTTTATATTATAGACAAAGGAGTAGCAGGAAAAGTCTAAAGGATTTTTCACAACGACATCGAAACAACTTTATTTAGCTGTTATAAGCTTAGAATGGGTGACTGTTTTAAATTGAATTAGTTAATCTCTGAATTTAATAATATACTCAATGTTTATAATCAGAATTCAGAGCAAATTAGGTTTTCTCTACTGTCGACAATCATAGATAATAAAACACATGCATTTGTAAATACGTAGTTCATTACAGATTTATTTGTCGCTATCGATACATGGTTATTTACGAATTGGTTCTATATTTTATTTCACTACAGTTTATTAGTAGGTATACTTCATTTTTCTAGCAAAGTGTCGCCGCCGATTAATTGATTCACTTGAATGAACACAACTATAATACCTAACCTCGTGCTCGTTTTCATAAGTTAATTACGATTATAGATATGTGACGAAGACATTAGAAGCTTATGTATTGCGTTATCTTTATTAAGACTTTAGGTTCAACGAGTCCGCTTCATTAGTGTATGACTACTATACCTTATCTTTCCGAAATAAATAATTACAATATTAATAAAAATCAGGAATATAACGTTATAGTACATTTAAAATTAACATTAATGTCGTAAACGATAATTTGGTATAACATTGTTAATTATATTAATTGTTAACAAGCATAATTATCGTTTCGATTAATCCTTTCAAAAAATAAATAGAAAAATAAAACTATTTACATAAAAAACTAGTTTCTCTGGTCAATATTTTTTATCTCGTAATACTTTCGTAATTAAAATTAAACAATTAATAAAATAGTACTTTCGCACCCAAGAAAAGCTTTCATTGCAACTCGTCTTTGGTTTTCCGTATATTTCTCTTCAGTAAATTTAAGCAGTCGTCCGTTAATATAAATCGTTGTTCAACTAAAAAAAAAAAAACATTTAATTCAATGTCCAGACAATAAATTACAAAATGTGTAGCTATTACCACACAAAACTTTACTTTAACTTACGCATTTTCCGGAATATTTCGTTTCGATTACATATCGCTTTGAACAGGAATCCTGCATCATCGTGCACCAGGATGTATAAGTACTATTATTACTACCGCAAATAGGGCCGTACATGTGCCTCGGCTTGCAGTGGTGCAGACAAGTGACACACCGCGGCGTACCAGCCACAGGGTCCTGTAGGCACGTCTGCCCGTCACGACATCGTATCTTCTTGCAGGTGGCGCCCGCGCGACACGCGCCTTTGTAAGCTACCGGAATGGCGGCCCCATGACGACACGCCTTTTCACGAAGGTGACATGTGCTTGGATATGTAATACCATCAGCTCCGCAAACGCGCCGACGGACTGGGTTGGCCGCTGGGCATTTTCTAGTACACTTGACGCAGTGCGGTGAGAGATTCTGATCCAAAAGACAGTGTTTGCCGCTAGGACATTTTATGTTATCACAGGAACCTATAAACCAATTTGATTTTAGTTTTATAAATTATATTAAAGAGGAATGGGTTTATACTTTGGCAAAAACCGTAGTAGGCGATGCTTAAGTTGCTATTGCGTCGTCGACACGCACGTTTCTTCAGTCGGCAAACATTGCGATAGCTACGGCCATCAGTGCCACAAACGGCGCCCTTCGGATGGTGTTTGGCTTCCTTCCCGCACTTCGGTGCGCAGATGCAGCGTGGTCGGCCGCCTTTCACAACACACACACGATCTTTCCCACAATCGACGCCAGTGCATGTTTCTATATCATGAGTCAATTTAGTCAATAATATAAATTAATTTAAGTTTAAGTAGTGTTTATTACCTTTGCAGGGGGTGCATGGCACACCGCCACCTAGGACACGCCAGAAGAAAAGGGCACCAGGATCGTGGTGCTCACCCGACCATGCGGTAGCGATGCCGAAACGGGCGCAGCATTCTTCTTTGGTGGACGACTCGCTTATCAGTTCCGTGCATTTGCCGTTTCGCACCATCGCCGACCAACAAGTACCTCCTGCAAAAATAATTTTGTTACATCACTTGTCTTCATAACGTCTTGACAACAACACAACATGATTATATCAGGCTAGTTCATAATTATAAATTGTGTTTATTAAATTAGTAACAATTTCCATAAAATTAAGTGGTACCGATCGATCAATTACGTTAATTGATGAAATAAAACAAAAACAAAATGTTTTATCATAGAAGAACTTTTTTTATAATTAATGACCCTCATAATAAGAGGCTAGTTTGCATATCAATTATCTAAATTAATTCAAATGTACCTGCTGCCTCCATTAATAGATCAAACCTACTAATTGACAGGTATTATAATCATAATTGCCATCATCGATGAAACTTTATACCCATCAGGATGCTGCGAGTGCACAGCGCTTGTTATCAGGACCGTCGTAATAATTTTGGGGAGGAAAAGCCAAAATGTCATGCGTATTGTTGTTTTAATTGCAGTTAAATTAAAATAAAATTTTCACCAAGTGACGGTCCTAATCTATACCTTGATGTAAGAACAGTTGTCTAAAGTCGGCTCTGTTCATTATTAAACGCATCGTTCTCAAGTTCCAAAGGATGTGTTTGGTAAATAACCCATTCAACGACCGAATGCATTTATACAAATATCTAGATATATATTCTAAGGCAGTGATAAAGAAACGAGTCGCATTTTCTAACTTTGGAACGCTCGATGTCCAAGTGCATATTTTAATGCCACATCATTTCCCGTCCTATTAAAAAGCCACCATTTGCACGTCGCCGATATTGCCTATTGCCAATTGCCAACAAACGAAGTACTAACGACTGATGGTTAATGCGCGAAAGAGGAAACAGCGCGTTAATAAAGAGCCAAGGAGCAACAAAACTAGGCGGGCGCGCAGTCGTAAGTAAAACGACCACCCTACGGCTAATATTAATATTATTAACCCGCACCTAGTTTATTTTGTTTTGTTCAAGTAGTATACCAATCGCTGTAGTAAAATACTTTGATTTTTCTGTCTCCAACTGACTGTGAATTAAATTTTAAACACGATGTATGAATAAGCGTAAAAACCCGCTGGTGTTCGTGCTCGTAGTAAATTTAAATGCGAACGTGCGCGATGCATTACGCACGTCGCGGAATGGAAGCAACAGGCAGCAGACGCGCACCGGGGCAAAGCAGATGAAGAAAAAAAATATGATAGAGTCCGAGCAGTCTACGCCAGCGTGTCCGATGGGAACGGGAATTGCAGAAAACGAAGGAAAGGAGCGCGAGCGCGCCCAGCCACAATGTGGCGAGCGTAAGCACGTAAAGTGCATTGACTATAAACATACGCTGCGGCCGGTGTGCGCGAATGAAACGCGTAAACGTGCTCGCGATTCGCGCATAGTTCTGCGCCATCCGGCCGAAAGGCTTTTTCTACGAATCCTACAACCGAGCGACCGTATCAGCGCGTCCGCAGACTCGATTACGTCTCGGGCAGTCGGGCCGGGCCGCCTTTCGCGAATGTGAACCTCAACCTCGGAGGCTTCAGACGAGAGGTAAATCGTGAGCACGTCGACGCAGTTCGCTAGTGTGCGTTCGTAATTGGACATCATCATTGAGAGACGGGCGGTTTAGCGTTACATTTACATGTCGGGAAACTTAATTTGATTGCAACATTGTTGCGTTATTATATATCATCGGTGCTTGCCACTATTTCTTGATCTACTTCCACATAATAGCCCGTCATGTACTCTTTAAAATCTGCATGTTATTAGAAAAATCATTTTTCCATTCAAAACTACAGAACCCCAAAACTGAAATTTACTACTGGAGTGGGTAATAATAGTGTTTACTTTGCGAAAAGTGAAAATACATTTGTACATTTTAATCTAAGCAACACGAAAACTACACAATTGCATCTATAATATAAAAATAAATCGCAAAATCTGTTGGTAAGCGCATAACTCAACAACGCCTAGATCAATTTGGCCAATTCTTTTTTTAAATGTTTGTTAAAGTCCAAGGATGGTTTTTACGGCGAGAAAAATTTGAATAATTGCTAGGAAAACCCTAAAGACAGCCCTTTTCCATAGGATAAAAGTTGGCATTGAGATTCAATTATAGTTAAATAATAATAGTGCATTATTAGCAATTCTTTATATAATTAATTTCTTTAAAATAAAATTGGGAATCTTAATAATAAAATTGACACATACTATGTCTAGAACAAGAGAGTAAAAACGAATTACATTTTTATTAAGCACTACCGGTACGAAGTCGCGGGCAAAAGCTAGTTTTTTATATAAATAAGATTTTATTCACCTCCCTGCGATTGTAAATAGCTGAGTTATAATGCAGCAAAATAACGGGTAACTTTTAACGAAATTGATTGCATTTTTATTCCAACACAACCACAATCTTCCCATAAGATTACGAACGTGTCGGAGCGTTCTAATTATATTTCTTGATTCTTGATTTCATGTTTTCGTCCGGGTCATCCGGCTGTAAACTCTCGGCTACAATTTCCATCCGAGCATCGCAATTACGATGGCGTATATCGCCGCGCGCCCCGACCATCACAATTATTACGAGCGTAAAAAGCTCGCGCCGTTGTTGTTGTTTGCGGTGTGCGCACCGGCGTTTAATGATAGAGATAATATAATAAACGTAATATTAGAAACACGACGGCCGTCGCACACCCAGCGGTCGCAGCGCATTTATGAATAAACAATTCCCGGCGGCGCGAGCTTCGAGCTGCGATGCGGAACGTAAATGCATGTCTACGCAGAACACAACGACGAATTGAAATCATAAGCGTGCCGCAATTATCCAGACAGTAAGAATAATAAGAAGAAAAACTTAACACCATAAATGTACTAGAAAATACACCTGCAGGAAAAAAATCACTCCACTTTCAAAATTTTAACTTCAGTGCATTGCACGATTGTCGTCCAAAGCACAGTTTCGAGGAGAGCTTTGATTGTCGCTGGTGTTTTTTTTTTCTTCCGTACCTCGACCAACTTTCCAAGTAAATGGCATTGGTGTGCATCGTGCGCGCGCGCTCGCGTTCTTATTCTTGATTTTGTTCTTCGGCGCGCGCGTGTGCGTACTACTCGAACACTTGTGGTCATTGTGTGTGCATCTAACAGTACTCGTCGGTAACAAGCATTATTTTATGGCGGCGCTGCCAGATGAAGATGAAGACTTCCACCGACTTTATGAATGCAGCGCATAAAAAGTGCATCGCGAGTGTCACGAGCAAATGAAAAACTTGTTTTCCTTTCCGGTCTCGTAGTATAGTATTTACAACTAATGCGCAGGCAACAATCACATTATGTAATTACGCCTTATTTGCGTTTCATTCATCTAGGATTCATTCAAATCGCAGGAAGAACCTTTCGCCAAAACAATAAACAAGACATTAAAACAACCTTTTTATTAGATATGAATCGAAAATTTAACTTAAAATTGAAAAAAATAAAACAAAGTTTTCGAAACTCTTAAAGTTTTCAGTAAGTATTAAGAAACTTTTAAAATTGTCTTAAAAATCAAAAAAATCACAATCAAAAATTTTCTTGTTTTAGAAAATATCACAAAATTGTATTTTATTATAAACTTTTTTACGATAAGACTTTCGTGGCCATACTTTTATAATTATTAAATTATTAAAGGATTTAGTAATTTCAGTTCAAAACGTACAAGTTACTATAATTAAAACGCAACAAGTTATTACAACTCTAATTGAATTATTACATAAATCTATCTGTTAAATGATTCAATCACATACATACACATAGGTCCTTGACCGCCAACGTGTGGAATGTAAAAACGCAAGGACAACGAGCGTCGTTATTAAATCATCGCGAGCGCCACACGGCTTTCAATCGTAAAAATATTTGCGCTTGTTTATATATTGCTGTGTGCGTGAGTTTTTTTTTTGTGGTGTTTGCCTCGCGTGCCAAATTTATTCCTCCATTTGATTACCCACATCATTAGTGCTTAGTGCCGAATTCGAATGAATAAATATTACAGCATTGGAATGTGCGCCAAGGAAGTTGAACGTAAATATTTTTTTCTTCTTTTCGATTTAATTGCCCATCACGATCTCGCACTCGCACATTACATCCATCAGTACGCGAATTGATGGAGGAGCTGCGTGAAGAAGTGAAGGTCGAGACGTGTCCTAGTAAAATGTGAACGTACCAAGTGTATGGATTGGTGAATGCAAGTGGGTGTAACGCACATTCCACTCGCATGTTCATTGATATTAATTGCAGCCACGAAATTTGTTGATTTGTTGCTGAACATTCGCTTTTAAATTATAGTTGGTGTGTTTGTGTGTGGGTCGGGGTTAGAAGAGATTGTAAATACATGCTTTGCGTAAACGTATTTATCTTGCCAAAGATTAAATACCGTGTAATTGCGCCGGAATAGTTTACCAAATAGCTGGTGGCTATTTGATGTATTAATAGGCGGGCGAGATTTCGAAGATGTGCGCCGTGGCAAACGGCACTATGTAAATACCGTGCCGATATTACAATTTCGCGAAAGTATATCGCACACACCACTCACTCGATTTTCTAAATATATAATTTCGAAGCCGAACGAGCGCGCGCGCTCCTCGCGCTTTAGGTTTATTGACTCCTGCGCTGGCGCGGCCCGTGCAATTTAGCGCCCGGTGCAATGTAAATATTTTTTGCATGACGCGTAATTCTTCCGTTCGCGTTCCGCGCAAACTTCTTTCGCCGGCAGCGCGCGCGCTCGCGCCCGAAGAGGAAGAAAGTCGACGACGGCGCTCGCGCGAGCGTCGACGTTACCGACCGCAAGAACCCGCCGCGTCTCCTTGTCGTAGACAGAAGGCAGACGTCGGGCAGGTCGCCGTGGTAATAACCTCGGACGGCCGGCCCCGCATTATGTAAGTTGGCGGCCATCGGAACGGCCAGCGGGAGCGACCGACCACGTCTGCCCGGCAAGAAGAAAAATTATTGCACATCTGCATCGAGCGGTTTCCTTTTGAAACATTTTCAATTTTTAAGATCTTAGTAACGTCTGAGGATCTCAGAAAAATCATCATGGAAGAATATATGGTAGAGATTCATTTTAGAGTAGAAACTTCAAAAATTTTGTTACCACTCCGATAATTCAATTCCGTTTGTCTAAATAAATCACAATGGTAATAATTATTTCCAAGAGGGGCATGACAAAAATTTAAAAAAATGCATATACCTATTTACTATTTGTGGAGGAATTATCGCGATTTGTTTTTTTCAAATGATTGCAACAAGAGTGAACTAAAATTGCACAGGAAATGCAACAAAAAAGATTTTAATCAATTATATCTTGCTATATACTTGTAAAAAATCACTTCTCAAGTAATAAATCGTCGAAATTCTTAAATTTTACAATATTGCAGTGACTATTCTTGCAATTTTAATCTTTTATTTACTCCCTGTACATGGAGAATTAGAAGTAGTAAACCTTGATGCGTTTTCTCTTCACGTCTTGCTTATCAGATAAAGCAGCTACGCAAAGGTGTAATTTAATAAACTCCAGCAGCAGCCGGCAGGTCAGTCGCTTTATGTTTTGTTTCGCGACGCGTTGTTGTGTTGTTCTTACTTATATGTATCGTGTTTCGAGCGTCCCGCGAAATAGTTATCGGTATCGGCCGCGAATCAGTTTTGTTTAGTCTCCTTTGCGCTCGCGGCATTCCACGCTGAAGATTATAAAAGTTACGTCTCAGCCGCGCAATCGGCAATTATAATTAATAACAACAAAACGTCTAGAGGAACGAGTACTAGAGAATCAGCGCGTATGTGAATTTTCTCGTAATTGCAGCCGAGATAAGCCAGCAATAAAAACAATCGGCATCCTCTTTGGCAGCCTTGTGATTATCGCATTGTGGTAACACGGCTATCAATTAATTTTCTGGAAAAAATCCGGCGCGCTTCTTTGTTTGATTATATTTCGACGCTTTCGGCAGAAGCAGGAAGTTTATTTTATTGGGTGTCAATTAATTAAAGGACAAGGCGTCAATGGATAGGAATCTGCAGTGTTTGACGTAGGTTATTCTGAAAACACAGCTTCCTGAAACTCCTCACCTACTTACTGTACAAATAAACTCATTGAAAGCTAAAAGCTAAAAATATATTATGGGAGGATCTAGTATCCTACGTACTAAAATTTCTAACTGCTTTTTTATTGTGATTAAATAATCTATAATATAAAAATGAATCGCAAAATCTGTTGGTAAACGCATAACTCAACAACGCCTCAACCAATTTGGCCAATTGTTTTTTTAAGTGTTCGTTAAAGTCCAAGGAAAAACCCTAAAGACAGCCCCCTAGGTATTTAGTTGAATCCGAGATGGTGCGCTGAAGTGCATTATTAGCAATTCTTTATAAAATTAATTTTTTTAAAATAAAATTGCGAATCTTATTGATAGAATTAACACATATTATGCCTAGGACAAGAGAGTAAAAACGAATTACACTTTTATTAAATACTACCGGGACGAAGTCGCGGGCAAAAGCTAATAATATTATAAGTGTCGTTTATCTCTGCACAATTACATAATTCAGGATTTTCTTCCACTTTATGTATTATTTATATGAATACGCACGACACCTTTTCTTCCCATGTTCAATTTATCGTAAATTTCATTGTTATAATGTCATAAATAAAGTGTTGCACTTACCTAATACTGTATCAAAATTATAAACTATATGTAAGAGGAAAAGTAAAGGTGTAAGCCGGGGGCCAGTGCTCATGGCGGGCGCAGTGTGTAGCAAGACAATCCCTGTCGGCCGCGGCCCTCACTCCGGCGTGGGGTTGCACGCGGTGCACAACATCAGCTCGGTCCACGACACGCTTACATATTCATTGGCGATCCGGCCGATTCCGGGCGCAACAATATCTGAAACAATACAATAATATGCTCATAAATCAGGCAGGTGCGATGGCCGCATTTGCATACTAGTGCAATTTTTCGACCACACTGGGGGCATTCCATGGCGTCGTCACATTTGAATACTGCCCAAAACACGCGCGAACGACCTTCGGTAAAAGTGCGCGCCGCATAAATTAACAACAATCGACAGTCCGGCCGAGAATGCGTACGCACACACATATTCACCGCGCTCAGGAATAAGCCGCGCGATGGCACGTAAAGCATCCGAGAGAAAACCTACGCACTCTTGGACTCTCGCTTGCGTAATATGAAGAAACTCCGCGGAATGTGATGCACTTAACGCGGCTGGTAACAAGTTATAATGCGCGTTGTGAAATCGTCAAAATTCGGAAGATATGCATTTCGGGACGCAGAGGTCACGCGACATCGACTCGCATTCTTTGTTTAGCATGCTCGCGAAATATTTAACCGTCGAAAGGGTTTATTTCTTATTTTTGGTGTGGTCATGTAGACAATTGGGTGTTGATGATTTATTAATTGATTCTCCAGACGGGCTCAAGTTTTACTTTTAAATAAACAAACGCCCCTTTTATTACAACTCACAATTTGATTTTTCCATTGTATGATCCACATATCTTTAGCACTATAAATCAATCTTTTTTTAAGAAAACAAGACTAATTGGTCGCATGTCGCGCCGATTCAGTTTTCGCACGCGGTCGAAATTGATCGCGTTAATTAAAAAGCGTATAATTAGTTTTTGGCAAGCGCACGCGCGCACTAGTCATGCCATACGTCGTTTTGTAATTCGAAATGTTTACGCTCCAGATTCCACCAAATACCTACATAATTTACATGTGATATTTAAAAGTGGACATATTATAGACCAGTGTCAGTACGTTCAGTACAATTTAATTATGTCACCGAAATTAAACTTTATGCACCTGCAGTTTGAAAATTGTAAATCTCGAAGGAAGCGAAACTTTTATTGCTAACATGGAATGTCGCCGTGCAATAAAACCACGCATCTTGTGTTGTAGGGTCATCATTTATTTAATACGGATGTAAGTTTTTGCGACTCTCAGTCGTTATATGTTTGCATGATGTTTAATTAAATAAGATTGTAAAACCACGTTGACTCGTTGACAAATTACGACACTGGAAACGCATTAAAACTTGGCAGTGCATCAGAAAACAATTTGCCTACACAAAATATACGATATCGCTAACAATAATTATATCTTTAAACATTTTCATCTTGCTTAGAAAATCGTTGTGACAATTATTACCAATTACGCTCGAGCGTTGAGAACAATTTAGATGATGAGAGTGTTTGTCATTTTCCTATACAGATTTTTTTCCACTTTGTTGCCAAGTGCACGATGCAAGTGTGACGCATGTAAGAGGATATGTTTATGACTATTTAAAGATTATTGTTAGTGTTTGATTTAAGCAAATTGAATAGAATTACAGGCAAAATTTTATAATGAATGTTTAAATATTTAAATGTTACAAAAATTAAATTTTTTAAACTAAAAATAACCAAGTTGTAAATTAAGTAATAATATTTAATTTATTAAACTTAAATTTCTACAAAACTGTTAACTGTAACCCCTTGCTTAAATCAATAACTTGCCTTTAATGGACTATTAACATGAACGTTGTTCTTTACATTCAATAACAACTTGGAGAACGTATATCACACTCTAAAACTTGAAAGATTAAATTGCTGTTTAAATTAGATACAATGTTGCAAGCAACAATTTCATTAGTTGGCATGTTGAAATTGTTTAGATTTTCTGAATGAATGAATTAAGATCTCGCTCGCTTTGGCGTCTCACGTCGCTTTAATAAATAACATAATAACAACATTGTGTTCACTGGGCGGTTTGGCACATTTCCATACATACCGCATTCACTTACTTACTTTAATCGGTGAATGTTTCAAAAATTTTCCGCTTATCTCATGCAAAGTGGACATATGTGCACAATCATCCGATCCCTTCATTTGCAACCAATTTTTTGAAGTGTTGTCATAAATTGTGTTTATTACGCGGATAGTTAAGATAGTGTCGCTTTGAGATGACGTTGGTGTATCCAGTCGGATGTTGAGGAGTTTTGATGAGTCGCGAGTTTTCGGCGCGCGCGATAATGTTGCGTTTACTGCATCCTCGCTGCACACGTGCGTAATGTGTGCATAAATTAAGCGCCGGCTGCAAGCCAACGCAAACTGGTAACAGCGGTAACGGACGGCGCAATAAACGATGGAAATTACGTAATCTTTAACTTGTTACTGGCTACTGGACAAGGTGTTAACAGTATTAGATTTATTACGCTTTTAACTCAAATTTTCCAAAGTTATTCGGAAAACATCAGATTTCAAAAGTTATTATTTAGTTAACTAAAAATACTGGAATATTGTTGTTAATGTTAAGTTTAAAGTTGAAGAAAAAGTTACCAAACAAAGATTTAAAAGATTATAGATTATTCAAAGTATTTTAATGGCGTGCACCATAAAAATTATTTACTACACTAACACTTAATTTAGAAAAAAATTATATATTTAATGTTTTTTGCCAAATTTGATTAGCAATTATAAAGAAATCTATTATTTTCATAGTGACTTGACATTAAAAAATAATTAAATTTGTCCACAAATTCGTTTTTCAAAAAAAAGTATGAATATGAATCACTGCATGTTTAATAAAAAAAAAAAAGGAAATTTTGATCGCTCACTAGGCCGATGACGAGCCGACGAATTTATTTACGACGACAGTGCTTGTCCCCGAAATCTGTGCCGCGCGAAAAATAAAACAAACACGAAGCTGCGCGTCGCGAAAAAATAATAACATAATGTAAAACGATTTATTATTGTAACCAGTAAGTAACTAAGCTTGAAGAAGGCGCGTCGAAAAAAGCGCACGTGCTTTCAGTAAAAGTTGGTATTTTCGGGCGGTGTGCGCACCGCAAAAACTCGTAAAATTTTATTATAGGTGCGCTGCGTTTTTTCGCATCCCGTCGACAAAATTCCTGCTAATTTAGCTGAAAATGTTTTCGGACAATTACACGCCGACGAAAAATGTTTCAATGTTGCTGATTTATGAGCTTTGAAGACCGGAAACAATAAAAGTATCTTTCTCTTCAATAAAACGCAAAACACAATTTTATTCTAGTCTTCTAGATTGCGATTAAATATCTACTGCAGTACTGCATACTTTCCGCAGAAACCGGGTGCCGAAAGAAAACACACGCCGACGACAACGACAACAATGTGCGGATCGCACGCTGCTGAATTCCCACTGCAATATCCCGGTATTAGATAGTTAACTCTTGCATACATAAGGCATGGATAGACTTTGTTATTGTAAACCCACGCAGAATAGGCAGAAGAACTAAAACAACTCTAACTCTAACTACGTAACACTTTGTTTTAACTTACCATCAAAATAAATGCGTGCGTATGGAATGTTCGAGTTCGTGTAGTGGTTGTGCACGTTTGAAATTTTATTTTGAGTTAAAAATGCTCAAAACGTTGCACTTGAGCGTTGGTTACCGAACGTTGTTTCGCACTCGGTGATCTCTCGTATTGAAAACGCGCCGCGAAACCGCGCGCTCGTCGTCGTCGATGCTGAATGGGTCCGCACTGCTGCTGCCGACTGCCCGCTGCCGTCTGTGCTTAAAAACTGCTGTGGCTGCGGCTGCAGAGAGCCTCTGCGGAGAGCGTACGTTGCGTGCTTTCCTGCTCGGCGGGGAATGCGCTCGACAGGTGCATCTCGCCGCGTCGGCGATATCTGCATGCGTTGTCCCTCCCGTGTGCGTGGTGCTCTCGTGCGCGCCGAAGAAACTCGCGCAAAGCTCTTATCTGGCGCATATCGCACCCCAACACATCTACATCGAATGGAAATGTTTGGAAAAATGATACTTTTGAACATTGGTTTCTCTTTTGCGAGTGGTTACCTTTCGTATCTTATTTTTCCTTACATTGCGATACAGTTTTATAATTATATCTTGAATGCGTGGAAGAACACTTGTCATTTGGATATATTTCATTTTTGACCAAGATATTGGTTTTCTACTGAATTCTTCAACATTTTTTAACATCCGCAATGTTGTAACACTCACTGGGACTTCATTAGTCCTGCGTTTTCTTATTTTGCAATATTTATTTAAAAAAAAACCAACAAGCTTATAAAATTAATAATAAATTCTCAATAATCTTTTACTTACGTGAAAAATCTTACCTCTAGAAATTTATTTGCAATCAGTACTCTTTACGATTTTAAAAACTCGTGGTATAATACTACTACACCTTTAAACATACTCGTAGTATAAGCATAGTAAACATAGTATTCTTACCGGATTCAATTCAGTTATGTTATTATTCGTTCGTGCAGCGAATCATTTGCATCCAAATCAAAGATTATATATTTTGGGCAGCCACGTAGTTTTTGATTTAATAACTTAATTATACTTGTCGAATATCTGTGCGCTTCAAGTATTCCCTACCTCACCACCATTGCCACGCTCCAACCGAATTAATCTATGACAATTTTAATGCCCTCAATAATTCTTGCTTCCTTCATCATGCGCTGAAAACTCGGATAAACCAACGTGGCATTTTAACGTCGGAGACGGAAAAATTGTAATTCCAGACTAGACAATCCCGACGCTCTTGTGCGGATAATACCTTTCTCTACGTTACGTTTCAATAGGAAGGAAGGATTTTTCACCGGCGTGGCGCTTTTTTTTGTGTTAGCAAATAGTATTCATCTAGCTCGCCGGCTGCACCAGACATCGCGCCGCGTTTCTACGTCGCCTTCGGTTTTGAAACGGTTTTTGAAATACGAGAGTCGAGCGGCCGAGATTATTCAACAATTCTAACCGTTCGAGTGATATCCACTAGATTTTCGACAGGCGCGCCGCCGTCCAAGTCATTTACTATGCGTGTGCACTCAACATATTTTTAAAATTCAAATTACGTGGAAATTGCCAGCGGGCTCTTGCGTTGTCTCACCGCGGCAAGTGGAGCGAGCGCTGGTGGAGCTTTTCGCTAGACACAGACATTTATTTCAGACCGAATGTAAAAGTATACATTTTGCATAGTATTTCTATTTTGCGCAAATTCAATGTTTCGTTTTAAAATAATTTCGTTTCACTACCGATTTATCATCTGCTTGAAAGTCTCCTAACTCGTTAAACTATCACGCGCAATTTGCACCAGAAACAATTCATCAAAACATGCGCTGCACATGCAGGCAACACAACACACACGCAGCTTATAAACATTCGAACTACTTTTTTTTCGCCATTTTTCACAAAACACTTCATAAATCAAGTTTCCCATTAGTTCCAGGAGGTCTTTTATCATAGGATAACAGAAAAATCTGAAGTATTATCCAAATGTGTGACATTAAACACTTATTTAATGTTCTTTGCTCTAACTAATGTAAACATGAGAATTGCAGGCGCAGCTAATGACCTACTCTTAAATATAAATTAGAAGTAACAAAACTTAACCATTATAAACTATACAGTAAGATTTATATTTATGCGTATGGGATGAACAAAAAGAAAATAAATTATTTGCAGGTTACCAATGATATTTATGATGATAGACTAATGTTACTTAAATCGACTAAAATAAAAAATATAGTTTGTTTCGGTAAAATCGACAGTACACTTTTATGTGTTACTCCCACTCAATCTGGTCAATTATTGACTGCCGACGCTCTATTAGTAGTAATTGTTTATATTCTGTGCCGAACTGCCGTCACCTTCTGCGTTGAGATACGGCATGGTTGGACTAAACATTGGCGACTGTGCAGCCGCCGAGGAACCATTAGCCATCATACAAGACGCAGGTTGCGATTGTGTTGTAGCCAAATTTTGAGGTGATGATGGGGGAGGCGAAGGACTGTCCAAAGCAATCACGCCCGAAGGACTGATCGGGTAACCAGACGACGACACAGACGAAGGACCGGGCGTTACAGATACGCGCGACTGATTGCTGCTAGATGAGATACTCGTAGTATCAGAAAATTTATTCGTTGAATCCGGTTTGGTCATAATTGCTCGTCGTTTTGCAAGCGGTTCGTCATCATCCGAGTCTGAAATCGTTAAATCTACAACAGATTTTTCCATAATGGGTGTGGTAGCTTCCTGATCCTTCAACTCTTCTTTAGCCTCAAGTTTTGTAAGCTCAGAGGATGATGTAGCATTTGAACTTGGTAGATAGTCTACACAAAAATATTATTTTAAAATTATGCATACTCATAGTAAATCATACATACCATCGTCGATAATTTCAATCGAGTCATCCAAACTTGCTGATTTTTGAACGGGTTTAGCGACCGGCGCTGGTTTCACCTCGTTCTGCACGCTCCACGAGCCGTCTTTGTGCAGCTGAATTTCTTTGATATCGGAACTTACTTCAGGAGAGTTGAGCACTAACTGGAAGTACCCGTCAACGTCTAGATCCTCGTACAACGCGGGCTTATCGCAGACGGGACACGTCCAAGTCGGTTTACGTTCGTTCATCTGCAGGTATAACGACGCGTCGAAACACTGCAGATGATTGCATGTTTTCGCTCGGCAGGGATTCGTCATTCTCATCTTGCCAAGGGGACACATTAGTGAGACGCGGAGAGAAGTCGTGGCAATTTCATTGTCCGCATCTTCATTTAATTTTTCTTGAACTAAAAAAGAACAGTAATTTTGATTCTCCTTATTAAGAACGCAGTTATTTCCTTACTTAATCCTCTAGTAATATCTGCATGTTTAACCCCACGCGTTTTCAATCGTTGTAGAAGATCAGACGATGCTTGTTTGTGAACTAGGGCTACAGTGATAGCATACACTCTGCCATAATCATGCATCCATTGCACATTTATAGTGTTTGCTGATGTGGGGCTTAATTTGATGTATTGGGTAATATTCACAGGCCGCGGTGGCCGCTTTGGTTCAACACCTGGTTTATTCGTCGGAACAGGATTCTAAAAATTGGATTACTATTATCGGTTTCATTTAGGCAATTAATCTGCACTTACTGGTAATGGGCATTGCTTGTTATTAACTTTAACAACAATACCAGGTGGGAAAAAGTCCTCCTGCTTACAAGAGGTCTCCATCAAACAGAATCTCATCTGGATCTGTTTGAAATATTCGCCGCGACTGTTGTGACGCACATCTCTCGACTGAGCTATGTCCGTAGCTTGCTGTGGAGTCAGATGAAAGTAAAAATTGCATTCCTGTACGCGTGTTGACGTCATAGGCATAAGTGTCGACGGTTTGATAAGCTCTGCGACGACATCAAAGAAAGGAAGTCGTTTGAACTCTACATCGGGATGGACCGGATAATTATTGACTATGTTAGTAGGCGCGATTCCGCGAGGTGCAGCTTGGTATTGCTGCGTATTGTGATAGCTCTGTTGGTACATGTTCTGATGCTGGGAGTAAGTGGCGGCTGCCACTGCAGCGGCGGCGGCTGACCGTGTTTGCTATGGTTATTAAGTTGACAATTAGGCGATTTAATAAAACATGTCAGTATACCTTACCCTAGTTACATGTGCACGCGTATCCATATTGAAGGGGTTTACAGCTGCTCGTGGAATGTTTGCAGGATGTTGTGGCATGTTAGGTGAGACGTTACCAGTTGGTGTGGTCGGTGGTGAAGTTGACTGAATTGGAAGTAGAGAACCGTTTTGTCTGAAAATGTAGAATGATTATTAGCCCTCATCTTCCTCGTATCTTCAAATGCAATAAAAATTACTACAATTTTCAATGTGCAGCAATGAAATTCAAACACGCGATCATCATTGAACCGATTCGAGTTAGCATACCATGTAAGTGTATGTGTTACTTACTGAATAGTTTTATGCAGATCTCTAATTTTTTGGTGAACTGACTGTGACCTAACACGAAGAAGTTCTAAAGCTCTCTGTTGAAGTTCAGTTTTACGCCCGGTTTTGTTGCGCCCTGCGTAACCTAATAGCATTTGCAGTTCAGAAACCCGGAAGGAAAATAGCATACTCTGCAAACAAAAGCAAACAATCCAATCAGCGTTTCGTTTGCTAGTTTATGTTGTTACAACTACCGCGTACAAATATTGTACGTACCCGTAATTCATCTATGTTCTCGGACATCTCCCACAGCAATTTTACTGTCCAAATGCAACGCTTTCTGTTCGTGGTTCATTTAAACAAATAATTAAGCACACTGAAGAAAAAAGACAATCGCACGGGATGGAACGCAAACAGCGATTAGAACGTCGTCAAGTTAACCTCGCCAACGACACTTTCCTTGCGCAGCCACCAGTCGCACTCTAGATTGTTCATGAAACACGCGCATTAATAAAACAACTGCCGTTGTAAACAACGTTCTTTTTAATTGGTATCATTGGTGTATTCTTTGTAATAGTTCATCTGCCAACATGGGAAATTTAGAAAACCAATCTTCTCGTGAAACTAGCGCGATAAAACCGCGTACCAAACCATTAATAATCTGTGTACCAAACGCTCACGTTAGGGAATTTTGTTCTGAGACAATATTCCCCATCTTTTTGCCCGCCATTTTAATTATTTATTAGGATTTATTTATGTAGAACACAAAATTGACAAGCTGCCAATGTTAAACAAAAAACATAAATGAATACAACTTTATGTTTTTCTTTTGTTTTACTACTGCATACTTATTGAATATTATTCAAATTTGTTTCAATGCTTCCCCTATGTAGCGGCGTAAGTGTCAAATTGAATCACCAAAGGCAAAGGTAGTCTGGCAGCCAATTGACAAGAGCTCATTTTGATTTTATGTACTTATGTACATATTTATTGTCGCATTGGGTACGATAATTTCCAATATTGTCAATATCAATGAGTACAATTGATGAACTGACCTATACTTATTATATTATTATATTATACCAAAAAAAATATTAAAAAACCTATCACTAGTATCATCTGTCTGTGAGTAACTCAACTACGTCGCTATTAGATGTTACTGTAATTTGAAAATTCAGCAGCCTACAGCACGTTCTGCGATCCTAATGTCAAAAAGAATTTTGTGTATAAATTTCATTGGCTTTTTCAACAAAATTTGTCGAGGAATTGCCGCTCATCAGTGTGGGGTATTAGGAACGCAGCAAGTGGACATAGACAGTTCCCGCCAGATATAATTTTAATTCGTTTCGGTTCAAATTCAATTTTTTCTATACAATTGCAAATAAGGTCTAACTGTTATTATTAATAACAAACAAGTTACTAAAATAATTGATGTAGAATTAAATTATCTATCAGAATCCGCAAACAGAATTTAAAAATTCCAAATTTTAATTTCGAACATAAATAAGAGCTTGTGCCATTTTGATCATTTTTCAATAAGGATGTCATCTTGTAGAGAAAGTTTCTCACTGCTATGTCAAAGTTAGGGAGTTCCACTATGCAATGAATACCTTATTCCTTTTCAACTTCCTAGCCCTTTTAGAAGTGAGCTAAAATGCCCTTTAAAAATAAGCATTTTTCATAAAATGTAAAAACATTGTGTAGAAAACACCCTGTATCTCGCAAATTAATTGACTTTATCAAAGTTTCTTACTGCTATATCAGGGCTGAAGAATTCCACTACGCGATGAATACCTTTTCAACTTCCTAGCCCTTTCGGAAGTGAATTAAATGCCCTTTAAAAATTAGCATTTCTCAAAAAATTTAAAAACATAGTGTGGAAAACATCCTGTATCTCCTGAATTAATTAACTTTCCTAGAGTTTCTCAGCGCCATATTAGAGCTTAAAATACTCTCTTTACGATGTATCTTATTTCAGAAATCTCGGCCGTTTTAAGTGCCCCGAAATGCCCTTCCAAAGGTGGCAATTTTATGAACATTTGAAAACATGGTGTGGGAAACACCCTGTATCTTGTGAAATATTATACTTTCTTTAAGTTTCTTGGTGCCATATTATAGGTTAAGAGCCCTTCTTCACGACGCAATAAATTTTTACCTGCTAGACCCTTTGCATGTATCATAAAATACCCTTCAAAAGTTGGCAATTTTGTGAAAATTTGAAAACATGATGTGGAAATCGCCCTGTTTCTCGTGAATCAACTGGTTTTTTAAAAGTTTCTCAACGTCATATTAAAGTTCGAGAGTCCCCCTTCGCTATGCATACCTTTTTTAGTATATTAATCCTGGGGAAGTGTGTTAAAATTCCCTTGGAATATCGCTGTTTTGTACAATAAATTTCATTTTTGGCCGAATAACTGAGTCGAACTTTTTTATTAACATTTTTTTGGTCAAAGAACAGGGTCAAACTTACTTTTTAAAATATTTTCGGTCGAACAAGAGGGTCAAACTTTTGTGTTATATTTTTTATTTTGATCGAAGAACAGGGTCGGACTTTTTTCTTTAATTTTTCCCGTGAAACCGGCGGAATTAAATTGCGATTATCTCGAAAACAAAAAGGGCTACGGAAAAAAGGACTTCATATTCTTGATTCTACAAGAATTCTCTATAAGATGGCATCCTTTTAAAAAACGACCAAAAATGCATAAAAAAATTTAACGAAAAGATTTTGTTATAAAAAAGGCAAAAGATTTCTATTTTTTATGATCGAAATTAAAAGTTGAAATTTTTAAGTTCTGTTTTCTGATTCGGATAGATAATTTAATTCTACATCGATTATTTTAGTAACTTTTTTGGCTAGCATTTACCGTTTAGGCCCTATTTGCAATTTTCATATAAAAATGTAGGTATGTAATTTGAATAGCTACAAAATCTGACTTTGTTAGGGGTATTATTATCAAAGAGCTTTATTTTAGAACAAAATTTAATTAAGATAAAGTATGTAGAATCACATGTTCTTCTATATTTGGTAATATAAAGTTGTAATTTCCAATTTTTATTTTTTGCTTAGGAAATTATAGAGAAAACGAATAAACCAGTTTTTCGCTCTTATCTCGAAAATCATTAGAGATAAAGAAAAACGGGTTTCATATTCGTATGTAGAATTAAATTTTACATTATATAACATGTTAAAATTTTCAATTATCAACACTAATAATTAAATATGGTCAATAACTTAAAAACTAATTAAGATGGCGCAACCAAACTTGAACTAATGAATTCCTGGTATTGTTTTTCATCAGTTTGGAAAGTTTGGGGAACATTGCAGGGGTAGTTTTATTTGATCAGTTTTGAATTTACCACCCATTTTCCAAAATATTGATGTTATCGGAAAACTGACTTCATATCTTTCATCCCCTTGGAAAACTCAATTGATTAACGTTTTCGATTTTCTTCTAGCGTAAAAAAATATTTTTGAGTCCAAAAAGAGTCAAGTGTAACCTCTTGATCTTTTTGAGTGGTCTTTGGTCACCTTTGGAAAATGGAAAAACTAAATCTGCCATTTTATAAATCCATATCATGGCATGAACAAAATAAAGAAAATTCTTTTCTAACTTTAATACTTTCTGAGAAAATTGTGGTGGAAATTTTTTTAGGCATATATTATATTTGAATGTTTTTAAACGTTATCTTTCATGGAATTTCATACTAAGCATTATAGTGTTTTCTGCTTTTGTTTATCTCTTCTAGTTTCTGAGCTAATTGATTCTTAAGTCTCCATGTGAACACACGGCTTACTTATATCCGCAGAAAAAACCCTTAGTGTTATTAAGTGAAAAATTGTTTAAATTTGATAATTAAGATCTCCGCTTCACAATGGGGTAGTTTGTATTTATTATTATATTACTAATAATTATCTTTAATATGTCAGGCGCATCCACCATTTTGGTCATAATTCATAACTAATTTCAAAAATATTACAAAATTTACTATTTATCACTAATTATCAAAGAGAGCAATTTTATGATGCGAATAATTTAATACATAATTGTAATTCAGACATCGAGTTATAAGTAATCTTTACAAGGCAATAAGGTCAAAACCAAGCATGCTAGAAGAAAATATTACAAAGATAAATTACTCAAATTTAATTTTTTGGGTTGTAGCGATAATATTCTGCAACATTTTTAACGTATAAATGGATGTTAACTCAGCAAGTTTTAGTTTATTTGCACTGAGTTTTTCTAGGTGTCTAGTAAGTATTTATCCTGTCATCGGTATATAAATGACATTTTGCTGTCTCAGTCTGCCCATTTATCGAAATTGGTAAAAAGTGTGCCTGCCGGGCCGGTTACACACAAGCAAACAAACAAACAAATATACTTGTGAAGCTATTATAAAGCGTGTAAACAGATTGTTTTAAACATTAATTTTACCCGCCACTACTAGTTACCCCTCGAAACTTTATCATCCTCCTCCCACTTTCTGCGATCCGAATACCAAAATCTGATTTTCAACAATTCGAGACCATTTTGATTCTCAGAGTGTACAAAATTGATATTCGGTATTAGGAACCCAGAAAGTGAGCATAGACAAGCTCCCCGATTATACTGACCTCTAGTGGCGACGGATCGAAGTTTATATTTTATAGCTAATAGTACGTTCTGTACAATAAGCTTTAAAACTTTCAGTTGTTGTTGCTTTCAAAAAATAGAGGGCACTGGCATGCACCTATCAAAATGAATCGTTCTAGGAATCTTGAATATGTGATCAGTTTTAAATAACAGAAATAATTATAATTAGAAAAACTATATATTATATTATTCTTTATTACAGAAAACACGGACCCTAAAATTTTGGGAGTCAATTTGTGTGATAATCACAAAGGTTATTTAGGAAAATGACAAAGAAATTTAATACTTACAATCTGATGCAAGAATTCAACAATGTCAGATTTAGGTGCAAAATTTTTAAAACAAGAATAAATTAGTCCTTCATACAAAAATGCAATTTTGGGGGTCAATTTAGGAGATAATCACAACAGTTATTAGGAAAATAATAAAGAAATTAAATACTTACAATCTGGTGCACGAATGGTCCTTCAACGATGTCAGACTCAGATGCAAAATCCTTAAAACCAGCAAAAATTAGTCCTTCGAACATAACAACGCAATTTTTGGGGTCAATTTAGGAGATAATCACAAGAGTTATTTAGGAAAATAATAAAGAAATCAAATACTTTCAATCTGGTGCAAGAATGGTCCATCTATGATGTTAGACTCAGGTGCAAAATCCTTAAAACCAGCAAAAATTAGTCCTTCGAACATAACAATGCAATTTTTGGGGTCAATTTGTGAGATAATCACAAAATTTATTTAGGAAACTGATAATGAAATTCAATACTTACAATGTGATGCTAAAATAGTCCTTTTACGTCGGACTCAGGTGCAAAATCTCTAAAACAAACAAAAATCAGTCATTTGGAACGTTGCAACGCAAAGGTCCAATTTTTGCGGCCCATAGAAATAATTGACCACAAAAGTTATCAGATTGAGAAATGGTTCTCCTATTATGACGGCTTCAAGTGCTCATTTCCTAAAACAAGCAAAAATTAGTTCTTGAAAACACAAAAATGTGTTCATCGGCTCCATTATATTAAATTTATAATTGTAAACATGATTATATGATGACGCGGTAAATAATAACATAATTTATTTAGTATATAATCTATTTGTTTATAGATCCTATTAGTATAACAATAAAGTGTCGCACTAAATAATGAACGGTATTTACAATACGTGACTTAAACAAATTTGGTTGGAAATCGAATAAATTAAACGTAGTTGTCAAAAAAAGAAATAGGCTTGATAACAATGAGCGCATCTAGTGGTTACGATATGTCAATATAATTTATGAACTCATCGAGTCACGAAGTTTTTGCACAAACTCCTCGATTGGTGCGAGTACTTCAATTACAATCAAAGCAGCAACAATTATGATGTTTATGATGATGTATAACGCCAATAAACACTTTCGTGATGAAGAGAACTGAAACAGTTAATATCTTATTAGTGGATGCGACTTCCAACAAACATTTGACTTACAGGCGCATCGGGGTTTCTATCATTGTACATCGAACTTCTGCCCGAACCACCCATCTCCTTCATTGGGAACGAGTTGATTCGTCTCTCCGCGGATTTCTCTGCTGCGTAACCGATAATCTAAAATATACGATTAAATAAGCAAAAAGAAACACTTGACAAAACAGTTGTTTTTGTTACATACCGAGAATATTAAATGCATCGCAACATGAAAAACTACAAATGCCACTAATACCCAATACATCCAATCAGGTAACTCTGCCTTGTTAAGAGTGACGGCAAAGAAAATAGTTACAACTAAAAAAAATACAGCTTAGTATTCAATAGTCAATAACACATAACATTGCGTTTACTTCCGACAATGTGAGCGGCGTTTCCGACCAACCAATGCAGCCAATTAAACAATGGCCTATTCTTGGTCCCAGGATGAGGTCGGAAAATAGCTCCGATGGGTTGGATGAAGCACAATATCGTTGTAACCGTGCCCAGAATAGCGTGTGGATTATTAGCAGCCGACCACGCTTTTAATTCCAAGAAAATTAAAATGAAGCCCGCCATTGTTAAACACCAGGTGAGCACCATAAAAATACGATGCCACTGTCACAAATTAACATATTACAGCAAATTGCACTTATGTATTTGGCAAAGATAACTTACGGCAAACCACAAATCCTTTCCGCAAATGCTTTTTCCTGGCCACATTTGTCTGTAATATCTCGCTAAAATAATACCGATAGATGCAGTGCCCAACCATGCAGCCAACATAAATGCACCATGAAGACGCAGCAATAATTTCGAAGCGGCTTGTATCGCTGAAACGTCCGACAAGTACTTTTTCTCTCCACTGACTATGTAGGCATCATTATGGAAGCCGACTTTATTCGGATGCACGCTGGATCCTGCCGCCACCAGCATGTGGTATTTGTCTTTTGCCAAGTCAAATATCCGTCCATTTATACTAGTCCGGGTCTCGCGTAACACCCTGCAGTACATTACACCGTCGTTGATACTTCCAGCCAGCAATTGAATGTTGGCCTGATGGCGATCGCGATTCACATTCAAATTGGGCCGTGGAACCGTGTAGGAAATGTAGGACTTCACAGAAGAACCTTCTTTGACGCATTCGATGACAGAGTCATCGCCCATTTGCATATCACTTGACAAACCAACACCCACCCATTGGGAAGATGGAGCCGCTTTCATTTCAAACTCATATCTATCTCCGTAAACTGTCACTGCCACTACTGCTTTGCAGTTCTTTGTTTTTACACAATCAACGGGCGCTCCAAAGCAGGCCTTTTTCGTGTCGCATCCATCATAAAATGGATCAAATTCAGTAGATGATTGTTGTTTACCTTCTGGGACGAAATTTGGAGGTGTGGTACTGGTTGGACGAGCAGGTGATACACTAGGCTCGTTGCTGGATCCTCTTGTAACTTGAATTCGAGGTGTTTCTACTCCTGTCCAGAATGTGGCATAGTTTTGTGCGACAGTTGCACTAAAATTAAACATTTAATAATGTTATTTAATAATGTACTTAATTAATCCAGATAGATAACTAACTTGAAAATGATTGGTCCCTCAAAACCACTAGGATTCCATGGGACTTCCACTGAAGGCTTGTCAGCCGTGTTGGAATGAGTTAGAGTATCACCAGGTTGGGAGCAGTCGATGGTGTGGATGGATGAAGCGCTTGGTTCAAAAGACCCGACCAATTCCCCGCCTGGTCCTCGTGCTTGCAGCATAAATCCTGCAAAGGGAATAGTTGCGGCTGATTGGATGGTCACCATGTAGCCGGATCCGTTTCGTCGCGCAGAAATTGCGAAAGGACTAGGTGTGGTTTGTCGTGGTATTCCACCACCGTGATTCGGCAACATTGTTTGGCATACGCTTGGTGGTGCACCGCCGGGAAGCGCACTCGCCGTGGCAAGCAGTAAAAATACCAAATACATTCTGTAAGCGACAAACAATAAACTACTAAATTAGAATTTCTCAGTACAAACATTCATGCATTTTAAACTAGGTGCACCGACAGGCTTCAAACACCAACACATTCTCATCGTCCAGAGGTCGTGCATAAAATTTCCTTGAACATAATTTATGACTCATAACATAAGGTGTGCTGGAGAAACCAAAACATTTAGTTACATTTAGATGCCGCGAAACCCATCAATCAATAATGGTGATATAAATAATGACAAAACGCTTCGAAAAATTTAATTGATTTTAATTTTAATTTCGCTTGCGTAATTTGCATTTTCAACTGCCGTTTATTTAGTTGTAACCATGTTAAATTAAATGCATATCAAACAGAGCATGCAACACCAAACCAGGACAAAGATTTGACAAGAAATAATCAGTGACAGTAATTTAATGTTGTCAGAAATATCTTAGATGAAGTTTGAAATTTAATTAACCGCTATTCTTATTAAAATAAATTCTTTTCACGTTTTACGTTCAGTAACCTTGACTTTAACAATATAACTCATGATAAAACTTATACGCAATAGCCGATGTGCAGCCGATTAGATCATGACATAAAGCATGACTGCACGATTCGCATTCCGAAAGGAAGCGAGGTTTTCAAAGTCTTAACCTTGCGCGCTCGCATACACACATATTTTCGCACTGACCGAAGGAGTAAACAATAACTAAACTTACATAAGCGAAATAGTTTTCGCATAATATTCGTCGAGGTGTCTACTATGTATAAAAAGGTTGTAAACTCTGTATTGTCTTTGTTCGCGGTGTCGTTTGAGGCTGTAAAACTATACAATTAGAGTTTTAGAGGATAATGCCACTGGTAACCATCAAATAACAAACATCTGCCACAAACTAAATATATTTCTATTAACCGCAATATTAATATACAAACAAAAGTATAATTACTTAAAATTCCCAATCGATATAAAGAAATTAAACAGCTCAACGACAATTGCTTCATTTTATTCACCTCATTTACATATAAATTAAATTCGTAATCATCGATTGCGACGGTAAATATATTCTTTTGACGTCGCGTCGCAAGAAATACGTAAATAGCCTACACCCTACTTGTTACTCACGACTCATGACTGAAATCGACTGAATTTAATTTATTCAGTGTACACCATAGAACGTAACATATAATTTGACGCAAACACTAATCGTTCGGGTACGGGTTAACCGCTCAACATACATATCGGTAAATTTTCAACTTAAGTTCGGTTTTTAAATAATAAAATTGATATGAAATAAAGTATTGTTATTCATACGAACGTGTCTTTCCGACATTTGCTAGTTTCAATTTAGATATGAGTTCAAGTTGCTGTTTATTTTACCAGCATGTTTTCTTACTTAAAAAACAAGTCTACAATAATTTGGGGAAACAATGAATCATAAAACCACATTAATTATTTCGTACGCATTTGTATGTGTCATAGATATTAAAATATTAAAGCGTGGAAAAAATATTAGGTTTTTCCATCAGTCGATTCATTTATAATTTAATTCACTTCACATTCTTTCATTTAACAAGACAGTTCAAATGTGATTCTAATCTGTTCTATTTTACCGGAACAGTGAAAAGCCATGGATATATTATGAGTTCGTTTACTACATTAAGTCCATTGAACGCTTCAAACGGTGATTGTAAAACTTTTTTGAGCGGTAGATATTTTACGTTGTGTCTTATAAGTAGACCAACATTTTGGTTCATTTTTCAAACTGCTAATTATAATTTTTAGTTCCGAACCTAGCCTCTAAACATTTTAGTGGGCCACTTACAAGTACAACATTGTTGATTGAACGCGTTTATATATATTTGCACATTTAAACTTTATTTATATTATTTGTCTACCAAATGATAGATTTTGATACCTACATTAGGTGAATTTTATTCATTCACAAATCATTTGTATTAATCTATTCATTTATTCTATTATTCTTATAACAAAAGAAGGCGAAAAAAGCGTGTTTACTACGAGAAAAAAATATTAATGCGGCATGCAACCAACTCATGCCACCAAACAATTTTCGTCTCAGACCATGCACACAAGACATCACAAATGAATGATATAAATCTACAGTTGTATTCATTTTGTTTGTTACTAAGAAATAATTTCTTTATGAATTCTTGTTGTTTGTCTATCACTGGTCTAAACGGCCTACATAAATCCTAACCACATCTAAACCCAAGGCCAACGATTAGCACGGACGCCATGGATACGCGTTATACACACGTGTTTAAAAAGAAAACGAAATCGTGTCAACGTGCCAGAAGTAAAATTATTAAATACAAATATTCCGCTATTGTTTATTACCAGCGCATTACCAGCATGCCTTCTCTGATATTCAACGAAAGCAACATTGACAAACTTTATTTGATGGCACTTGCTTTCATATTTATAGATCACCATAGTTTTATGCCTATGTATGCATCACCATGCATGTACTTTTACTTCCTTTATATGTTGACGGTTCTATGAATTCTTCAACCATGAATTCATTTTCCACTTGCTGTTTTATTTAGCATTTACCGCGCGCACACAAAAAAGCGATTTACGGTAAGCACCTTGACTCGCTTTTATCTATTACCGTAGAAACCGCAAGCATTCCTTCGAGTACTTTTGTGTTTTTAATGTTTTTTTGGTTCAGGTCATTATTTGGTCTTCAGAAAGGTTTATAAGAACTGCGTAGATATTAGCAGACCGGAAAATTATTTAAAATAACATTATATATTCGCAAATATTGATCATACTCTTGTAAAAAGTGTTGTGTCTAGTGTTAACATGCAAATCATCAATGTCAATAATAAGTAACTACCGGATTTCATTTTATTTTTTCTGTGTTGTTGGTAGCTTCACCATGATGCGCAAATTGAATTTTTTTTAAATTTTTCTTGTCCCCTGAGAAGCGAATGGATTTAGAAAGGTTTTATTAAATTAATTCTAAAATCCTCAAAAAATTGTTTACGTTTTGATTTTAAGATGCTTGACATTGCATACACAATTCAAACTACAAGAAATCGAAATCATTTTTATTAACAAACATTGTTAATAATAAATGCTGCCTTATTAAACCGGTGTAAGGACTTCTTTTTATGTATGTATTTCGAAATTATAAAATTCCACTTGCGACCTGACATACAGGTCTACACTACCTCGGACTACGTAACATTTTAACATTCCACTCTTCTGCGGCCGTGCGGCAATGTGAATGTAACCGAATTGCGTACGTAACGTTTAGCTACACCTTGTGTGCCTCCTTAAGAGAAAGCTTTCGAAATCGCATACTCGCACTGACGTTCTATTCATACATAACACAAACATTGAAACATTCATTGCGGCACCACACAATTACACTCGTACCTGGCGGAAAGATGTTCGAAAGATAATCCTCTGAAGTAAGATCCACTAATTCACTACAGTTTAACAAAATAAAACGCCAACCGATTGTTTATTTTGCGAGTATGTTGTCTTTGCGGCTTAGCACTCGTACACGCACATAATGTTTTCACTCACCGGCGACAACTGCAAAACACAGCGGAACGCGCGCAGGAGTGGTTTTTGGTAACTCGACGAATGCGTTCCGCGGTCTGACGCTCGCGCGACTTGCGGCACTTGCGCTTGCTATGGTCGCAGCCAGCACCGTGGAATCCACTACCTCCACTACAACGCGCTGCCATGCCTGCGCCATCAAGGTCGAAAAGTGTCGACGTCACTTCTTCGCGGCGGTAAATCCTTGCGCGCCGAATGCAACCAAAACCTGTCGTCCCGTCGCGTACGTCCGCAATGTGAATGGTGATAATTGCCATAGGAAGTCGTCACGACGCGACTCATGCCCATGACGCGCACAAAGCAAACAGGTGCTTAAAATGCTCACAGTGTATCGTACTGCGGTTCCTTCTTTTTGCTTTGTTTGGGTGTTTACAATTGGTCTGTCGCCGATGACAAATAATGTTAAAGTCGAAGGCGTGGACGGTGATTCGTGGGTAAATCCGCAACATACAAATCGGAAGTTGCGATCAAAGATTATGTTGGTCGCCCGTAGACCTTCGACAACTGTTAGTTAGTGTTGATGGTCTTGACCCGAATGTTATTCTTATTTTACATTTTTTTTACGTTCACTTGGTTTACTTCCTTAGATCTTACGTTAGGTCCAAAACTAGTCAATGTTAATATTTTTGCACAAAATTGCTGTGATTTGAAACTTTTATTTCTAGCGCTACTTTTAATTCCAAGTAGTTATAAATATATGGGTTATATTATAATAATGAGTAAGTGGGTGTATTGCACATAATTTTATTTACCCTTGTCGCCATTTCTGCCATTCTTTGTTTTGCTACTGTCGTTGTCATCCTTGTAGTTGTCGTCGTCGTGGTGTTCGATTTTCACCTTGGATTTTTGCGCCGGCGGCGCCTCCAAGCACATAATGTGACGCTTCAACGTGAGATGATTATTGGGCGCGATCATCAAGAGATTGTTGCCGTTTCGGTCGCACAACGGATGTTGTCCCAAGTTCCTTCGCAATCTCGCTCGCATCCGCAGCGCTTGTGAGTGCGTGGTCGTATATTGGTTTTGGATTGCATGTCGGACGATTGCGTCTTCGCATTTAATCTGCATGTTATTTTCATGGCCATTTTGCCATTCTAGAACATTCGTCAGGAGGCGTATGTACCTTATGGCCATACGAAGTATTTCGTTTTTGGATAGTTTTTTATCTGGAGGATGGGTTGGAACTAAATCGCGTAGTTGGGCAAACGCTCCGCTGACATTCTGTTGACGCCATCGTTCACGAGTGTTTGTAAATATTTTTTTCACTATACCTCGTGGTTCCGAATTTGTTGCCTATAGAAATTTTATACATGTACCTAATTTAATTAAATATTTTTTTAACAATTACTAACCGCATGAATAGTGCACGTTTTCTTTTCATCATCACTATCAAGGAGAGAGAACTCGTCCGACAGATCGTCTTCATCTGACATGGAATCATGGTCCTGCTGAGGATTTCGACGATAGTTGTTGGCCGGCGATGATGTCGTGCTGTAATCCGTGTTGTCACCATCTCCGGACCATTCCATTTCCACCAGCGCGTCGGTATTATATGTGATGGGCTTCAAACACAAAACAATGTACATTATTTAATCGACTTTTTAGATATTTGTACTGATTTTGTTATTTACCATTTAAAGTCACTGGAAATTGGTATTGAATTAAAGTACTCGGAACGAATTGCACACTGGCAGGTCAGAGCAAAACTGGTGACGGAAATAGTGCTCGGAAGTCATGGAAGCTGATTATCAACTACTAACACTCTTATCTGCGCAGAGCAGACACCCCCGCGCGCGCCAATGGGATTTTGGGCGCAGAGCAAAAGGGCGTGTCGGCAAAGAGAAGCTGTGCGTGGGATTCGCCCCCCAGTAAATTCAACATCCCTTCGAAACGATTTCTCTGGCATGTTAGAGTTTGTGCTTGTTAAATAAAGGGAATTTAGAATTTATAATGTACAACAAACAAAAAACGAAACGTGTGGTAATATATTTCTGGCTAATAATATGGGTAGCCGGTTTGCTTAAGTTAAAATAAAATTAAAATTAAAAACATGCCAATTATGTTTTGCAATTAGGTTATTTGGTTTGGTCCTGTTTTTGAGGTTTTTGAGGTTTTACACAACGATATTCAGAATTGTTCAGTGCGGCCGTTCAATATTATGCATATTATTTAAACAAAAGTTATTAATGAAATTCATGAGAGATAACAGTAACGTGATAATTTAGTTTATTATTGTATTTGAACGATGCCTTAAATTTATTTTGAACATTGTTGTTGTATCGCAAATATTTTCTGTTAAGTTCAAGGTAATAGAAAAATATGCGCATAAAAATTATTATCTATTAATACGACCCTAACAACATCTAAATCTAATTTATTGCATGAATGCATACATGGGAATTGAGTACCTAAACCGTTCATCCCTTCAACTCTAAACGAAAGTCACCCCTTATGAGCATAATGCGCTTCTAAATGTGCATTGTTAGTGTGATAGGCGTCAAAATATTCCCATTGTGGCGAACGCGCTGCTCACGTTAGTCAAGTACTTGTTTTTTATCGTCAAGCTAAACACAAACATTGCATAAATTAAATACAATATGAATTTATCAATACTGAAATATTATTTCAGTCAATGGCCTCTTGCCACATTTGTTCGTCACGTTTTGCAATATAAGAAATATAAAATATACCTACAGATAACAAATTGATTCTTGAATAACTCTTGACAGGACTTGAGATGGCACATCCGTATCTGACCCCGCCTTTAGGCCCCTAAGCTGGCTATTGTGCCTTCCGGTTATCAGATGGTGGGTAGAGATGCGTTAATTAATTCCGATTTTTGGGGATTAGCTGCGCGTGTCCAACAAATTGTCTTAGCGGATTAGGATTTATTGTATTTTGAAGGCGTTGGGAAAAATGCTCAGGGTCATAGAAATCTGCAAACAAAGCATCAGTTTCGGCAATTCATGTAAAAATAACAATAATTTAAACTTCATAATTGCATGTTTCGTTGTGATGAACATTGTATTAAACATTTTTTACATTTCGTAACGTGCGATGTGTTATAAAACAATCCACAATATCGACTATTATACAATAGCTTTTGTCGACACACCCTTAATAGGGTAATGAATAAAAAGTCACCCCAGAGCGTTCCCAGCACGGCGGCACGAGCCTAAAACCGCTTATCAGAATTGCACGCGCCTGAAATCATAAAATTCTCATTATGTTTATTTTTTCTCGTTAACTTGGTACTACAAATTGATCTAGAATTTTTTTTGGACCCTCGATTTTTGCACATTCTCAGGCAGCATATTGTTGAACTCATGATGTGGACAAACGTTTACTCCGCAATCGATCCTTTGCGCCAGACTCGACTAAAACTGCTTTCCGCGGAGTAAATATACCTGCAACTGTGCGATAAGGGATGCTGTTAGAATATCACCCTCCACACGTGCGGTTGTAATAAAAGCCATTTTACTAAGCTCGGAGCTCGAAAATTGAAATCAAATTCATTTGAATGGCATTGAAGTTTATCATTCATTTTAAAATGTATGAAAGAAATATTTTGAATGATATTTAAATTCTAGATAAAAAAGGTACAAAAAAACCAAATTGTATGACACAAATGTTTGTTAATTTTGTGTTTTTGCTTGTTGATAGAATAAATAATAATACATATGTTTAAATAAATGCCCACTTAGTAAATATCAATTTAATGAAAACATAACTAAATAAAAATAAAAATGTATCTTGACACAATAATATTAACATAGGTTAGATCTAAAAATAATTTGCAAATATAAAACATTCACATTATCACAACCATTTGTTTTGTTGAATATCACTTAAAGTTGATTTCGCACTCACTGAAATGCGAATAGGATGACTAATATCGGCACAAGAATCACGCAAAAAATGTAAATGGCTGTGCGTGGCTCACAGACCGAAACAACAACGTATTCCTGATTAAACAAATCCTGGTCTTCTTTGATCGGCAGTTCCATCACCAATTTCTCATCTGAAAAGAACTTCAAATCGAGTGCGCATTGTTCTGTACTATTGGCACACTCTGAAATTGGATTCGTCACATTATAGACGGTCTTTTCAATATGGAAATGCACTCGGATATAATTTGTTTGTACTTCATTTTCACTATTGAAAACGAAGAAATAGTATCCGTTTGTTGGCACTCTGGAATTATTAATAAAAGCAATTACTAACATTATAATTTGAAGATGAATAGTAAATACTTACTTGTATGTTATGCGATTAGCTAAATATGCAGTCTCTACATCTTGATCAGATAAACTTCTTTGACATTTCGTGTGAGGACTCAGAGGCAGATTAAGAATTAATCCGGCGCAGTTAAGCAGCGCTTCCTCCGAGGAACTGAAAGACGACCAAAACTCGCTGTTGCTCATATCATTCAGAGTATTTTCGTTTAATGTGGCATGATGATCGGCAATACCGTCGGGAACAAAACCCTTAAAATATAATCATTTATTAAAAATATAAAACTTGTAAAAATTAGTTTCTTACTTCCTCTTGTCCAACATCATCAGTTTCATCGTTTTTATTAAAGGTCTCACTTAGTTCAGCCGTTTGCAAGATTAATTCACGTCGGCGACGTCGGGCTTTATCAATGTTATCGTCAAATTGCACCGCAGGCTTGTGATACTGCCGACCTCTAATATGAATCACATTTTCTTGTTGTTGTTGGTCTAGTCCCGTTGATTTATTCAACGCATATCGTGCGTTTAGTTTCTCTAACAGATTACCACCTCTATCCACTCCTAAATTGTGAAGTTTTCTCAAAACGTCGGAAATGATTTCTTCCGAATCCGTTGTAGTCGATTGCATAAATCTTGGGCTCTTGTTTTCAAAGTCAAAATTACCCGTTTCTCCTTTGCCAATCGTTGAATTTCGATGTACGTGTACATGAGGCTTGCGCGGTGCTTTCTCATTAAGACTGTCCAAAATTTTCTTCAAAACTTTCGGATCTGTCACATCAGTCGTATCCAAGCCTTCACCTCCCAAGGTGTGATTTGTTTTACTGGTTGTTGCATTATGGATAGGATCATGAAATTTGACGTCTTCACGATGTCTTTTCATGAGGTTTGGTGTGTTTGACGGCGCGTTATTATCAACAGTATCAACTACTTCATCACCGGTCTCCGTTTTATAAGTTCCTTCACGAATTGCTTCCATCATTTCATCCAACTCCTCCGATGAATTGTCTCCGATATATGCGCATTCGTGTAAGTGTTTGTGTCCTCTGATTACGATAAGCGATGCACCAGGCCATCTAGGGAGAAAAAAGTTTGCACAGTGATTAAAGTTGTAGTAGTTAGATAACTTTTCGTCTACTCGTGTGTAACTAATGTCTAGAGTCGATTTGCGCATTTACTCAGATTGTATTTGGTTATTACATTAACGATAGGTAGATATCCATGTAAGTACTCGTAAGATAATATAATTAAACCGTCACCCAAGGACGTTTCACTATCGGTCGTTTGCTTTAGCCATCTTACTCAGCAAAAATTATAGATTTGCGGATCTTCTTAAAACGCACTGTAACATGAACTAGCAACAAGAAATAAATTATCTATTGCTCTAAATAATTACTAAAAACAATTGAAATTTACTTATCTTCCTACTATGTTGTTAGATAACTTTCCATCAAAATATTTTTCATTTGTGTCTAAGTTTGATTTACGCATTCGAGCAAATTTTATTTGATGATTAAATTAGACAAAGCTACACATATGTATTTTTCCATTATTGTAGCTATATCAGTTATATCCGTAGCTCACCTGACGCAACTGGAAATCGTGACAGTGGATCCTCTCAACAGATAAAAACCCCAATATTCTTTAGTATCATCTTCCAACTCCAAATGTCGCACCATTGTCATTGGCTTATGTTTGTAGGAAATTGTCGGCGTCTCCGGCAAAAGAAACGCATTAAATGTTGCATTTGTTCGTACGAGTTGGCGCTATAATTAGACGAACAAATCAATTAACTGCAATTAAACGTTATTTATGTCAATAGTACCTGGCACCATGTCGTGGATATTCGATTATCCAACATTCGCATATCCGACACCGCAAGCGGATACAATTGTTCAACATACACTCTGTATCTCATATACAGAATTAGTGATACCAGCAAGCATGGCAACATAATTCCCAAGACACAAAGACGCACAACCCTCAGGGGTCCTTTGAGGCTCTTCGTTTGGGCACGTTGGCCCGTTTGCGAGTTTTGGCGCCGTGTCAGCAAACATTCTGAAATGTGAAAAATACACCAAGTTTATTTTCGGTTGCGACGGAACACCACACACTATTCAACCAGGCGTTGTATTATTTACTATTAGTGTATTTGTAGGAAGGCATGTGATAATAAAATTGCAAAAGCTCTTTATTATCTACTTGACTAACATCGCATTAGCTTAATTGCGATAAATCGGAGACAAAGCTTCAATTTAAGTATTTTAAGGCAATTAACGTTAAAGCAGCCAAAGTAATCACCAAATCACTAAGTGTGTAAACAAATCAATTATAATAATGAGCAAAATCAGTGTATTTTTATCGCTGATCGAACCTTTTAATGTAGATATTAAATATTCTAACATATTCCAACTAAACGAAAATAAAATTAGCAATACACGCGTAGTATAGTCATAATTGTTTGGAAAAAAATTAAAATATTCTAATGTAACCGAGCGCGTCACACACACATATAAGGTGTAAGCACTTTTTACGAGTGTTGATAAAAATGATGCGCAACCGATTTCATACGTTTGTTAGCAAACGAAGCATTAAATGCAACAGTTATACTGGGTGTTACATTTAATAATTAAACGGGAATTGTATACCTTGATACTGCACTTGTTTATCGTCCATATTAATGTATGTCTCATTCACGACCGACGCGCGCTGCTTTAAATTATCAAAACAAAATAATGGAATTCAAAATTACCACGAGACACGGTCACAGACACTGAACTTAGAGATGGTTCCGTGTTGAGTTAAGTAGTCACTTTTAGTTTAGAGTTTGTATATGGATAATCATATCAGCAGGCATTATGTGCTCTATCTATAGTATGGGATGGTTGTCTCGTTCGTTCTTTGTCTAATTCATAATTCAGAATTCATAAATGTTGCAAATGTAATACATTTGCGCACCGCGTGTTTTTGTTTAACATTGTTTTACAACTTATTAGACTGATTCAACTTTTCCGCAATCTGTCAACAACTAAAGTAATATATTACCTTCGTAATTTGGAAACTTCTCAGCCATTTTAAATTATTCCATTTTGACTGAAATCCAAATGCTTTGTACCAAAGCTAACAATAGCACACAATTTATCACACTTGTGATTTGAGTTAAATAAATGTTCAAAAGTTCACGGTTGTATTACGCTACAATGTCTGCCAGTCACCGTTGCTAGTGTTGCTAGACGGAACATTTGGAAAAGACTAAATTTGAACACATTCCACATTAAAAACGTGCTATTATTATAATATAGCGCCCCGTATCTTCCTGTGTCTCTATCGCATTGTAGTTCTCGCTTTGTTTCAACGCGCACTTTACGAAAATGCGACGAAACGTTGATGCGAAGGCCGCCTGACGACTGCGTGAATTGCGTTGCGTTCCCAAAAAGCACGCACTTTTATATTTCCAGATTGGCGCGCGTGCTATGAACTTTGTGCGACGAAATGCACGATATTACTGTGATACTGTGGTGCACAAGATAAAAGTGTGTGCATGTACGCATACACTCGTCTAAATTTGTCCCAGATGCTCTCCCGTTGTGCGTTCAATGTGCTGCACCATGGACGAGACGCGTTTTCCTTCTCGGTAATTTTATTTGCTCTCGTTAATGGCGGCTTGTTGTCTAATTGTAATTAATCACACAGCAATGCGGTTGACTCGCTACCAGCTGCTTCATATCTTGTTTTGTTTATGTCCTATTTTTTTTTAATTCACTTCTTACGGCTACTGCAAATTAATCACGTGATATTAGAGATTTCAAAAGTAATAATAAGCAGTAAGTAAAAGTATTTTTTTAAACATGTATCTTATAATGGTGGATAAGTTATCACCGTATACACAAACACTTTTATTTTCGTCTTATTTTTTGCAACATATATTTACTGCAGAATTACTTTATAATAACTTTATAATACAATATATAAAACTCTCTATCTGTTTATAAAGTTATAAACCATGACGATTAATCCGAATTACAAGGCTGTAAAAAACAAGATTAAATCATCTTTATCCTTTAACTTCTATATAGCTATTTAGAAGACGTATATATAACAAATTGTATATAACTTTACAAAAAATTGTGTAGATTTATTTGAAACAATGTTGATTTAATAAAATCGTCTGAAAACTTTAAAATTGTATCATCTGCGTAAACTTTAGCAAGTGCATCCAAACAAAACACATATCTTTGTATATTGTTATTACTACTAATAAGGCCACTTTCATTACCAGGGACGTTATTATCATTATTATGCACATTAACAACCTTCACCAGTTTCTCCACATCTCTGACTAAATAAATATTTTGTAAAGAAATTGGTTTTGTTGATATCTGCTCATTGATGCAAAACTTCAAAATTGGCAGCTTGAACATACCAGTCTTACTTTTCAATGCAATGAATATATCCTTACCACTCCTAGGTGTCATATATTCATTTACTTCCATTAAAACTGAATAATTTGATTGCTTTAACGTTCTTAATCTGCAATCTTCAACAACAATTTCCTCAAAGTACTGAGGAAAATTGTAGGAGTAGAATGAAATGTTGAAATTGAGCTGCCTTGATAAGTTATTGATAAGTTTGACGGTTTTGTGTGGAAGTGCATTTGAGTACACAATAAACGAATCTACACCAACTAAGTTGTGATAACTAAGAAACTCTGATAGAAATCTCTTGGTAAGAAACTTAGTTGGTGGTACACACATCGTCATTTTAAACTTATTGCTTATGTCATTGTTTTGAACAATTATATTCTTAACTAGTTGTTTTTTGCTGTAGGAGACTGCATAAGGTGTTGCAGCTTCTGTCCATTCACAAATATAATAATAGCCTTCATAGCTGTTGTTTGTAAAAAGATTTTGATATCTTAATTTGCCAACTTTTGGTTTCCATTCATTATCATCAAACCATAGATAACAATTTTTTGCATGACCACTTTTTGGTGATTTAACCACCAACGATTGCAATTGTTGTTGACTGGTCAGGTGACTGGAAAATACAAAGACCGAGTCTTCTTGAGTCCAAACTGGATCAGGTCCCCAGTCATGATGATTCAAGATATTTCCAGAAGTGATTAGTTCGGAGAAGTTGCATGGCTGCCCAAAGAAATTGAATACTTCCAAAACATAACGCAAACGATTATACTCATGCCGATAAACCAATAGTAATGTTAAGCTAAAAACTGAAATTATAATGAGTAACAATTGATGGTATTTGCGCATTATTAAAAGTTAAAATTAAAGTAAATAATAACTAGGGTTAGAATATTACAAATAAAAATAAAAATACAACACTCAGCGTAGGCAACTTAGTTTGCACACTTTGTTCAGTTGTTAAGTCTCTAAACTAGAGGCAACCGAAATAACACAAGCGTGATAATTATTTGCAGGTTAAATTTAAAAAGAAGTTTGTAGAAATCAAGCTATAAATTAAACTTCAATTAGAATTGTTTACGAATTGGAGCTTTTTTTAGAATAATGACGCCACCAGACCAAGTGCTTGTTTGCTTGCCCGGTCAGCGTCTATGCCCCAGCAACAAGAAGCATTTATCTGGCCAAGGCACTTATGAAAAACAAGGCTATATCTATTCCCAACTAACTGGACTTGTAAAAATAAACAAGAATGAGGATGGAGCAGAGATTATTGAAGTTCATAGCGTGTCGGATCAAGGCCTGGTGCCACAACAGGATGATATTGTAACAGCTCAGGTTGTAACAATTAATCAACAAATGGCAAGGTGCGCCATCAAGTGCATTGATGATGTAGTTTTATCACGATCATATAGAGCCATATTAAGAAAGGAAGATGTAAGGGCACAGGAAAAGGACAAGGTTGAAATCTATAACAGTGTGAGGCCTGGAGACATTATTTTAGCTAGAGTGGTAAACTCAACTCATCAGTTGTATTTTTTTAAATATTTTTATACATTTTTTAATTTTAGTTGCCTATAACTGAAGCTCACACATATCAACTTACTACTGCAGAGAATGAACTGGGTGTTGTGATTGCTCATAGTGATGCTGGCCATCCAATGATTCCTATCAGTTGGACTGAAATGCAGTGTACTAAAACATATATTAAACAACCAAGGAAAGTAGCTAAGGTGGTGCCTGAAAATTACCAACAAGCTGTGACAAAATGATTTTGTTTATAAATATATTGTATAACTTGGTAAACTTTAGCTGAATTGTAACTTTTCTTCACTTTTCCGCATCTGTTCTAAGACATAGTGCGTATCCCGTTCTTCGCCGCCCGATTCACCATTGTAAGCTTTTGGCATGTCTTTTATACATTTTTCGTGCATATCAATTGTATCACGCCGACACATTATGGAAGGACATTCGGTTAACATTATTTTGTGTTCTTTAAGGAAAACTGCATCGGCCGTGTCTTCATGGTCGTACACTTGAGCAAAACAGCAGGTTGTCAAAAATGTGACGAGCATTATCAAAGGATAAGTGAGGAAAAATATCACGTTTAAGCAAAATTCGCTTCTTCTGCAAAGAGAATTTAGTTCATTTGAGCGCAGACACGTATAGCATGTATAGGATACTTACAAAGACAGTGCCCGTACAGTGCGTTTGTTGGTCTGCGGATGAACAGGCCATCCAATCATGTCGTATTTCACTGGAAAATCTACTAGTTGTTCTTCTTGATATTCTTTTAACGGTCTTGGTAAATCAATTAACGCACCCAAACCGCACATACCAACAGGTGGACAACAGTACAAACCCATAATACCTTTGATGAGTCCCAGCAATAAAAGAATGAAAATAATGATTAAAATCAAAACTAGGATGCCCACAGTGGGGTTGCTAAAAAGGACAAATGTGTCGTCACCGCCACCATGTTGGCAGCAACTTCGAATATCGCGTAGGCTTGGGGCGTTGGTGAGGTGTCTCACTTTTGCCTCAAAGTTCTTAGATAAGTCATCCTTGGGCAGCCCATTTATTATCATCTGCTCTAAAGCGTCACATTTAGAACGCACTGCGTCATTTAGACAGATGACGCTTACAGCAAACGGGTATTTATTTATTTTAAAGTTGTGAAATGTTTACAACTTCTGAATTTATATTCTAATTGATTTCTACCAGAACTCAAGAGCAAATTTACATCTTATTACGATATATGCGCATTTTAGAAAAATATTTAATCACACATTATCAAAAATAATGCGAAACAATTATTAGATGCAATGTGCAGGCGTTAACATTACCATTTTCTCTACTATAGGATGCTCAGTTTGATTTTCTTTTAATTAAATCATCTAACCCATAACAATATCGGTGAGCGCGCAAGTGGATTTGTTATAAGCTAGTCATCTTCTCCAGGGGAAGCGAATCTTGGTAACTCAGATGCATCAACAAATTGGCACAAAAAACTCATCAAAGAAATAGCGTGGAAGTAGAAAAAATATCTTAAGCTCTTAGCCTACAAGTGAGATTTTTTTTGATTTCCTAGGCAGAAGATGTAAGAGTATCAGTATGATCGTGTTTCAAGCTGTATAAATTTATATTTTCCAACTAATATTTCAAAAAACTTTACACAACCAACGCAGAACTACGAACAAGATTTCAGATATTTGCAGGAAGTCTACAACAGGTGTGTGCGTTATCTCCCAGGTTTAAAAAATAATATTTATTTATTTAAAGTAAAAATGCGTTCCACTAAGCTTCGTCTGCAGAATATCCCATTGCGTGAGATGGGTACCAACAAATTTGTTATGAATGAAGCTCCTAGCAATTTTGACTCCAATAAACCCATAGTGTCTGGAAACTACGCCAATGATCAGCTTACACCAAACATCAAGTTTTGGCAGCGCACGCGTCGCGAAGGGCACCTGCGCCTAGACCCTGCGCCGCAACGTGGCAAGGGCCTACCAGTCGATAACAGACACTGGAAAATTCGAATTTACCGCTTAACATGAGCGCATGCATATTCGTTTCCCCTAGAAAGCTGCTCGGAGCAAAAGCGACGCGACTCGAAGCTAGCGAAAGAACCGAACTGATTTTGGGTTAGTTTTTAACATCGCCGCCAGCTTGTTCCACCTGTCCGTGTCGGCGCGTACCGTAGGTGACGTCCGATCATTAATCATCGATTATCACGAATTGGAGCGCTCGGTGTGGTTCTCGCCGACGAATTCTCGTTTGTTCGCTGCTACGATTATGCTGCGGGCTGCGTGAAAGTGACCGAAAGTCCGACAGACCCAACGTTGATCTAAACGTGTGGAGTGTGTGCGTGCGTGTGGTGCAGGCCGAGATCGCTGTGCTGTGTGCTCGTAGTGTGTGCTTGTGGCCGCAGCAGGCGGACCTCCATTTTAGTCAGTCGCAGGACGCAGGGGACTGTGAGTGTGTGATTTGGAGCACGCCAGCGTTCCGACGCCCAGTGCTAGTGTAACCAAAGTTGAGACTTCGTGTGCCATCTCGATCCTAAATTCTATCTGACGCCTCCTAGCAGGATTCGTGGGCGCTGCAAATCGTTCCTGTTGCTGGGCAGCGTATTAAAACTGTTATTCAATTGACATTTTCGACCGAAATGTTTTAAAATCACTTCAATAATTTTCGATCTATTTCTATCTTTCGATCTGAATTTGTAATGTATCAGGCTGTGCTATAAAAAAAGTTATACATTTAGCCATTTCGCATCAAAGATCTGCTAGTGCATCTCAAATATATATTAAATTCGTCGATAAACACATCGCCCGATACAGAAAATATGAGTCGCAATCAAGGACAGCGTGTACATGTTCCTGATGATCTAAGAGAAGTCCTGCTCGAATTCACAATCACTTATTTGCTAGAGCAACCTGGTGATGTAATTAACTATGCTGCCGAATATTTTACAAGACTGCGAGATGCGCGTCAAACGGATGTAATCTATGAAGGAAAAACTATGGGATCCCCTTCATCTCCAGAGGAATCCATCATTGGAGAAGAAGGTAACAGCGGCGTTTTTCATTTATTTCGCGTTATTATTTTGTTTCTAACCTTGTGTAGGTAATGCTGGATATGCCATGTCTTACTATGAGAACTTGGCTCAACAAGCTTCTTTGCTAAGTCATGGTGGTTGAAGTTGAAGTTTTTTTCTAATTTGTTTCTTCACCTTGAAGTATAAATTCCAAACATGTATTTTTTCAATAAATATATTTGCTCCAAAAGTGGTTGTTTATCTAAGTTAGCTGGTTAGTAACAATCTGTCATTATGAGAATTATAATGTCGCCAATTTCGCTTTCAGAGCCACCCGTTGCGAGGTTCAACGTAAGGCGCAAGTCGGTCTTCGCCGAAACATACGATCCTGAAGAGGACGACGATGACGAAGGCAATAAGGTTGTCTATCCAAAGTCGGACGAGCAACGCCAGCAGCTTGCCGAGGCGGTGAAGAACATCTTGCTCTTCCGGCCGCTTGAAAAGGAGCAAATGAATGAAGTTTTCGACGCAATGTTTGAACGCAAAGTCGTCGCCGGCGAAAGTGTTATTAAACAAGGGGATGACGGTGATAATTTCTATGTCATTCACTCAGGCATTTATCAAGCCTGGGTGGCACCAGACCCAAGCAAGGAGGCCAAACTGATTCACACCTATCAAGGGTCGGGCAGTTTCGGGGAGTTGGCGCTCATGTACAACATGCCACGTGCGGCCACTATCATTGCACAAACGGACGGCTCACTATGGGCAATGGACCGGCAGACGTTCCGCCGCATTCTCCTGAAGTCCGCCTTCAAAAAGCGAAAGATGTACGAGATCCTCATCGACAGTGTGCCAATGTTAAAGGCGTTGCAGAAATACGAGCGCATGAATCTCGCAGACGCCTTGGTATCGAGAACTTATACGAAAGGTATGTTACGGCATTTGTTTTCGAAAAGCGCGCACATGATGTGATACGTTGCCTTATTTTCGTTATCTAGGTCAGCGGATTATAAAACAGAACGACGTCGCGGACGGAATGTACTTCGTCGAGTCAGGAACTATCAGTATTAAAGTTATGGACGACAGCGGGCAGGAAGTCGAGATCAACACCGTCGGCAAGGGCGGTTACTTTGGTGAGCTAGCACTGGTCACTCATCGTCCACGTGCTGCGTCTGCATACGCCGCCGAAGAAGTGAAGGTGGCATGTAAGTACACGTTGATTAAACCAGATTTACTGTAATGGGACCGTTTGACGCTTGTTTGCGAAAGGATCATGTTTAGTTAATCGTGTGTGTTTAAATTTCAACATGTTTACAGTTTTGGACGTGGAAACGTTCGAACGCCTCCTCGGGCCGTGCATGCAGATCATGAAGCGCAATATTCACGATTACGAAGAACAGATGCTCAAAATCTTCGGATCACATCAGAACATCCGCGACATTCGATGAATTGCCAGCCTTTTTCAAATCCAAAATCTCCTAATTGTATTCACATTAAATTATTACGTGGGGGCGCAGTAAAAAGCGGCGGGTTGCAGTTTCAATCAATGAAGGGTGTGCGAGTCAACTACTAGTCAAGTGTACATAATCGCAAAATGCAGATGAACCTTTTGTGCTTATCATGTATGTGTACTACCGGCCGTGCTCAACCAGCACGCGCGCGGCGCCACTGCGGGTCAGTGGGCTCGATGCTCGCGCTGCCGCGCGGCCGATTCGTCTGTATGTGTGTCCAAAAATCCAACTGAGTGTTAAATTTACCACATAACTTATATTATCGAGTGCAACCCTTCATGTGTATTGTATCAAAACAAAAAATTTCAATATTGAACATCGTCGCAATCGAATTACAACGTTCCGCCATATTTTTAAATTTAAGTTTATGAGTTATTATCGATCTGAAGAGAAATTTACATCTGCTGGTCATGTTAATGCGACACATATCATTCTAACGCAAGATATTAAATCTCAAAGCCAGCAGGTGGGATCTATATTATACATTATTTTGTTGTTGACTTTTATTTGGAGTTTTATGAGTATGTATTTCAAGTTATTTATGACGTTTATCTCAAAGAGAGAGAGAGAGAGAGAGAGAGAGAGAAAAGTACAAAGCAAGTTAAGAACAATCTTTAATATGTTGTTTAAATGTTAATTAAAGCCATAATTCTTTCAATTTAACGCGGAGACATGTGCAACTGAATGTATTATCAAAGATCTGACGTAATTACGCCAACCGAAAACGTAACAGTGCAATATTATTTCTTATTCAGACTGCTTTCTTTTTTTTAAATCAAAATTATAAGAAATCATTAATTGGATATAGAAAATAAGAAAATGACCTGCTCATCAGACACAAATATTTGCAATTCGTATTGTTGTATCCAATGAGAAATATATTCAACCAATAAGTATCAAAATGAGATTAATTACCATCATATTGCACAGATTTCACACAAAAATCGTCAGGAAGCAATATTTTCTATTCGCTGTGATACGAATTGCAAATGAATTTCCGTCGACATGAAGGCAGAAACAAAACTATAATGAATGGAAAACTATTAAGGCTGTTTATAATAATAATGTATTATAATATTTATCAATAATTATTGAATAACTACTATGGTTCGAATGAAATGAAAAGAAAGTCCAATGCCTTTATATTAAATCACTAATTAATATGAAGTCAAACATGTATTAGAGAAAATATTGCAAGAAAGATGAGAAACTATTTATTTTCAAAACGCAGAAATGTATTGGTAGCAGTATGGCATTATATCGGTTCGAGTACGAAATTAAATCATCCATTGATAGCACGAGAGTATCATTATGAAATTGTTAACAAATAGCAACTGGTGGATTTTCATATCAATAGGTATCAGGTGAGCGGTTAAATTTTATAGTATTTAATTGTATTATGTAAGCAAATGAAATTGATTAACCCTGTGTTTGCGTTCGCAGTAAATTGGTCGCGGAGCTTATTAGATCCTAAGTATCTCACTCACCTCTAATTTCATGTAGCTCTTATAATAATCGGTACTTTTTGCATATAATTACGAAACCACCACCATCACAAACACTACCCTGCTGTACACTAATGAGCTCCGTCTGATAAAAATATTAATATTCGCACACAGTTCTAATATTTAAATGTTTAGTAATGTAATAGCTAGGTGTATATTGTAGTGGCTTTGTCAGTATTTTCACTGTCCGATAAAAAGTGTGGTTGTTGATGATAATGATATGACTTGACGAGACTTGATTGATCGAACGTAATACATCAACCGTTATGATAATATTTTCGAATGCGATTTGATCTATTGGGGGATGCGGATAGAAAATTGAAGCGAATGTGAAACGATCTGGGTTCATACTATATGTTTAATTGTCACGTTGAATGTTGATTGTTTATCGTGGTAAACGTTGCCCCTCCCCCCATGAAAAATAATAATATGAACTTGAAACTTTTTACTTTGGACAGCATTCACATTTCTAAACTAAGCATATACTTTCGGTGAATATCGTAAATAAAAACACTGTAATCATAACTATCAACAAAATGAAACGTTTGTACTTTATAACTAAAAGAAACTGCACGATTTTGAGTTGGAATTGGTTTAGTTCTTATTGTGTCTTTATCGTATTATCGAATATTATGTAAGTAACCAAATGCGCACTATCCACAATAATAAAATTATAGATTTGCAATGATTGCAATACGCCCAGTTGAAGCGATGATTTCAAGTAGTTACGTAAATTTGAGTTGAAGGAATTTTCGATTCTGAATGTTTGCCATATTATGAATTGTCACCTTATTATATGCCATAATATTCTAAACACTTGAGGGCCAGCCTGTTGGTCCGCCGACAACAACCTGTCTGAGATTCCTTAGTCATATGTACTGCTTCCACGATGATGACTAAATGAGCTTATTAAAATTAAATGTATTCGTTATTTTCACTCATTTATGAAACAATTCCTTTCACCAATCCATAAAATTACATCACATTTTGTTTTGATCGCTAAATATGTTAATACGAATCTACTTTGCATAACAGGGTCCCAATAACGTCAATATTTTCGTTTATATTGTTTGAAAAATATAATTGCTTACCTTACGATGATGTGTTGTTACTGATAATTGGTTAATAGTCGCTGGCTGCATTTAGATGAACATTAGTATTATGAAAACGTGTGGTTCAGCGCGAGTAACGCGCAAAGAGACCTTGCCCGCGCGATATCTCTTTTACGACTAACTTGAGATGTCTCGAGACGCGTTTCCTGCGGTTAGTCCGCCAATCGCATAAATGGTGCGAATATTGTCTGCCAATCTTCGCTCGAGTTGAAGCAATTTAATCAGTTTAACCATGAATTGTGATAACGGACAAACTGTTAAAGCTAATTCAAAGAAGTAAACAACATCAATATTTTACTAACGTAAACTAATCAAACAAATTCTTATAATATCACAGACTAATCGATTTTAAGAGCTTGCCAGATTAATTAGTTTGAATTACTATATTTGGTGTGTATTTTGTTTGAATTTTAAATGATTATTGTTAAAAACCACTTCAATTAATTAAAACAACGCTTACACGCTTGCCATAGAAATACATCATAGAAAAATAAAAAAAATTTGTACTGAAAATGTGCCCAAACAGAATCATTTCACAATTTTGTGTAAATTGTTTTCTTACGAGTTATAAGCCAATCCCCACTTATTAGTTGAAACATCCCGTAGTACTTATAATACTATGAACAAAGATTAGAATGGTTAGTAAAATGTGGTTTATTCTGCATTCATGTTACGGATGTATCAACATTTTTGCAAGACGGAACAGTATGAGCATGCCTACCACCAACACAGACCCCACCCGTCATTTCACGCGTGTTAGTTGTCATAACTCGTGATTTATTAATGTACATAAATTTACAAATAAAATGAAAATTGTTTAGATGTCGATTTGATCGCTCGATCGATATACATAAGTAATACTTACTGCAGCTGCTAATAAAAAAGTGAACGACCTCACTCATTTATTAGATCACGAATTTTAGAACTTACACCTAAAACAATGTAATAATAAAATGTATACACTTTTCATTTATTTATAGTCGTTTTCGTTTTGTTTCGCTTGAGTCATGGCGGCGAACTTCACTTCACGCCAGATGGTGGCTGGGCAGCATTGGCGGCCGACCCTCCAGTTTGCTGTAATCCAGGTGGAACTCTTTCGCAACCTTCCGCCAGTTCTGCGCATCGAAGAAGTAGTATGTGCCGCGTTCGTACGTTGACGTCTTTTCCATGAGCACAACGCCGGGCACCTGTGTGATCCACACCTTCTCTTCCATGTGATAGCGCCACTCTCGGGTGTATCTATAACGTACGCATAAATTAATCCTAAAGAATAACTTTTCAAAATGCGAGAATTACAGTTCGCTGGCGGCGGCAATCTGTAGCACGTCGCCGACATTGTTATAGAACATGAAGAACAACAAGTCGTCCTTATACCGGTTGAGCTTCACTGACGCTAACTTGTCACGGATCGCCGTGTTGATGAGATACTCAGGAGGAACGTGGAAGTCGATGTCCTGCGGACGGCAGGGCTGTTCCGCCCACGGTCCGCCGAAGGTAGGATGTAGGTTGTCGGGCGAGTTGAGATTCAAGCCTAGCGCTGTCAGGTCCTGACCGAGCGCAAGTGAAACGAGGTTGGGGTCAGTCTCTGCGGCTCGAATGAACGTCAGCAATCCGACGATGCCGAACTGATCGTTAACCATACTGCCAGGTATATTTGTAACGAGCCCGTCCGGATACGTTTGGATGCCTGGAAGAAATTGATTATAAGTCTCTGTTCTCTTTTTCAGCAGTCAAAAGCCACAAAAGTTAGTATAGTCTTAGTATATTTCAAGACAGTTTTAGTGACATCCCAATTGTTTGAGTTCAGTTTGATTCCAATTTGACTTGTACCTGTTTTGGAATTATTTTTTTCTGAACCTCGGTCCACACATCCATCACCACCGCCCCCATTGCCCTTATCGCCTACGCCATTACCGGGCGACAAGCCCTCGCGGTTCTGTGTGCCTGGTAACGCAGGGAAATCCTCGTTGGACATCGTGAACTCGCTCGCCTCGGACGTTGGCTGCTTAACCATACCCACGTACGGTTTTGCACCGGGCATGGGACTGGGCTGAGGGACATTTTCGCCGGCACTTCGATTCGTCAGGGATGGAAACTCGCTCAAGTCAAGCAGCGGAGGCGCATTCGTGTCACCTGAGCCGAAGACTGTGTGTAGCGAACTGTAGCCCCCCAGGGCCATATTGCCCATCTGACTGCTATTCCTGTAAATACCGACTATTAAAAATCTTCCTCACTTCAACAATGTCGTACCACGCATTGTTTTCTTTCCATTTATAAACACAAGAGAAACTTATTAGGTTTTTTACAAGAATCATCCTTCTAGAAGATTATGATTCAACTGTCAAATTTATTTTGGTTGGCATGCCAATAATCAAATTTTGTTTAAAGTTATGTTACAAAAACAACTGCAGGGAAAATATATGTTTGCCTCATCTCCTTGTAGATGTATAACCAATTAGAGCAATATTCCCTTCAGTTTCAAGAAATATTACAATTGATACCATCCAATTTTGGCAATGATTGCCATGGCAACCAATAATCAACTAATGTGCTAAAACAAATAGAATTCAACTTCTTACCCAATTGGCAGTGTTCTCCTATCAGCTGTGGCCCGCTGGCCAAACACTGGAGTAACATGTCCAGACAGGGAGTTGTTACCAAAACTAATACTTGATCGAGCAAGGCTGTTGCCTCCTAAATTTCTCAAGTTCAAATTCGCCATAGCTATCTTGTGCAGGGCGCACTAGTTTTCATAACGATACCCAAAACACACAATGCGCGGATGATGCGATGCGGATGATCCAAGACGCTGATTTGCTTATCCAAACAACAGCACCGCCGAAGAAAAACGATGCAACCTCTAGCGTAGTGTGTACGCCGTTCGAATTCGATGGCAATGCGACGTGTTTCGCTGGTTGTAAATGCACAGAAGTATGTTCGTTCGTAGCGGCGGCTTGGCGCAGCTGGGCGAACATAAAATGCAATCCACGTTCAACACAGGTATCGTAATCGCTGGGAAAAGTACGTGCAAAAATACGGTGAGACTGATGTTTTTGTCCGAGTTGATTCCGCCATTACAATCAAAAGCAAAAAAAAGGCTGTCAAATTTAAGCTCGAATTGGTCGGTGACGAGCGCTGCCTTACCGACGGCAGGCGCAAATTTAAAATGCTTCTTGGTTATCAGATAGATGTAGCAGTACATGTAGTTCATTTTAAATAACAGCCCTAACATCATAATTATGAGATTCTTTATGGAGCTAGACTTTTCACGAGTTTTTAATGGTAGCCACTGGGGTACCAAATTTTTTTAGTATTGTACCGCTGATGCCACGATGTTTCGTATGTTTATTGAGGTACTTTCTGATCAGAATACAGAATGTTTTCAAGCATTGCAAGTAACAAAAAATTGAGCGACATTTTGAAAATTTACTATATTTTTAACGAATAATAAAAAATAATTTCAAAATTTACTACAACGCGTTTTCTAAACAGTAGGAGGTTAAAAAATAAGGAAATTAAGTTAAAATAGACATTATAGAAGGTACATAATATGAATAAATGTAAATGTCTGCTGATTTTAATTATAACGGGCAAAGTTTCTACGAATACAAATATAAATATGCACCAATTACCTATTACTACTTATGAGTAAATTAATGAAACACATGTAAAAGTTTTGATACAAGGTTTTTATTAATAAAAACATGTAATGTTTTTGTTTATATGTACTTAACATACAATATAAAATTACATTCATTATTAGTAAATACTTTTTAATAACAAAATTTATTATAAACATATACGCTAAATAATTCCGATAATTTTCTGGATTAGAAATAATCTAACACTCGTTAATACAGAATGACTTTCCGCTAATTGCATACGAAAAGTAATATCACACATTCTCTTACATAAATTCATACAAAACTGCTTATATTAATAATAGGGATAAGCAAAAATCTGAAAGTTTAATTTAACTTTCCCTCTTGTAAATTTTCTCCATGAACTTAAAGAATAGGTTGTGGGGAAGACCTTTCGATATTTGTTGAATATGAGTGCGAATTAAGTTGAAACTCTCCTCCTCGTAGATTGAAAACGTTGTAGGTAAACTTAGCTCTTCATACAGATTTCTGACTGCCTCGACGCATTCCGGTTCCGGCCTTCCATAGTTTTCAACTAACATTTGCTTTTGAGCGGGTGTGGCGCGTTGCAATGCTACTACAACTAACCAGGAACATTTGCCCTCTTCGATATCGTTGCCTACTTTGCCGGTTACACTGGTATTGCCAAAACAATCTAAGAAGTCATCCTAGGAAAATAAAAATTTTGTTATTACAATATGAAACCCCCATTACATCGTATCATCTTACTTGTACTTGGAAGAAATGTCCCATCTCTAATAAGATAGTTTTGGCTTGTCTATGTAGTTCCGGATCAAATTTACCAGCTAAATACATTGCCAGTGTTACCGGCAGCTGGAATGAATAATACGCTGTTTTGTATTTGACAATCGAATTGTAGCGCTTCATTGTGTAGGCGTCCAAATTAGGCTTGCCATCAACGTGAGACAGATTGTCCAGTGCTTGTCCCATGACAGTTTTCATGCTAACATCGTGGAACAATTCCAATAGATGAGTATAGCTTGGGTGTTCTCCAAAGTACAACTTAAGGATGTAATACAGTCCATGTTCCAGCAACAAGGAATCGTTAACGGCGGTCAAACCAACGCCCGGGGTTTTGTACCAGCATGGCGCCCCACGACGCATCTCCGAGCCATCCATGATGTCATCAGCGACCAAATAGAATGCTTGCAGCTGGAAAGAACGACGCAAATGATTAAAATAGAAGATAATCAGGATTTACGTAACTTAATTATGATAATGATATTATGACGCGTGCACGAATCCTTAAAACTGTATTATAAATATTGGGTAGCGATTGCGAGGTGGTTACAATATTTGTATCTGCCTTTGTCACCTCGCAAGTGAACAAGAACCGGATTACCCATGGTCGTTGCTGTTAAAGTATTCAAAAAATCAACACCGAATGGCAAGCTCACCGTTTATTTGGGCAAGCGCGACTTTATAGACCACTTGGACCATGTGGACCCAATCGATGGCGTTGTCGTTGTCGAGAATGACTACCTACGTGGACGGCGTGTCTTCGGCCAGGTCATTACCACATACAGGTATGGCCGGGAAGAGGACGAGGTCATGGGCGTCAAATTCAGTAAGGAAATGGTAATCGCCACCGGAGAGGTCGTTCCTGGTAACCGAAGTGAAAAACGTGACTTGACACCGATTCAGGACAAACTCATCAAGAAGATGGGTCCAAGTGCCTATCCTTTCACCTACAAATTCCCCGAGATGTCACCGTGCTCGGTCACCCTGCAAACTGGAGAAGACGACAACGGAAAACCACTGGGCGTGGAATACTGCGTGAAGATTTTTGTTGGTGAAAATGACGACGATCGCGGGCATAAACGCAGCACGGTTGCTCTCGCAATTAAAAAATTGCAATTCGCTGCAACCAATCGTGGAAACCGTCTACCGAGCTCCCTGGTTTCGAAAGGATTCACTTTCTCAAACGGCAAGATCAACTTGGAAGTCACCCTTGACAAAGAAATCTACTACCACGGAGAGAAAATTGGTGCAAATGTTACCATCAGCAATAACTCAAGGAAGTCTGTTAAAAATATGAAGATCTATGTTGTGCAGCATTGCGAGGTCACTATGGTTAACGCCCAGTTTTCCAAGTATGTGGCAAGTGTTGAAACACGCGAAGGATGCCCTATCACACCCGGAGCTTCATTCACCAAGTGCGTGTATTTGGTCCCATTGGCATCGAGCAACAAGGATCGCCGTGGCATCGCACTGGATGGTCATTTGAAGGATGACGATGTTAATCTGGCTAGCTCGACGCTAGTACCGGAAGGCAAATGCCCCGCCGAAGCAATTGGTATTGTCATTTCGTATTCAGTTCGTGTCAAATTGAACTGCGGCACGCTAGGCGGCGAGTTATGCACCGACGTGCCACTCAAACTGTTGCACCCAATGCCAGGCGCGGTCGAAAAGGAGAAGTCGCATCAGCTGAAGAAGATGAAGTCGGTGGAGCGCTCCAAGTACGAGAACAGCTGTTATGCCAACGATGACGACGACAACATCGTTTTCGAAGACTTTGCTCGACTCCGACTTAACGAACCAGAATAAATCAAACGAATTGCAAACGCATCGAATTATGCAATATACATGTACGACAATGTAGTCAAACTAGTAGAGAATATTTTCATATAAGTTATATTTATTATATGATTATATGTAGTCAATCTATTAATGTAGCCAATGCAATTTAGAATAAATCAAATAAATTCCAATATGTATTTTATCTGAACTAAGATGGATATTATTATGTATGCAACCAAATATCCAATGACACAATTTCATCCTAATAGATACATCAGTTACGTGGTTACACAAGTTTTGAAAATATGGAAATCACTTAAAAATAGAAATCGTTATGGAAAGTGACAATTATTATGCGTGTGAATATTGCCACCTCAATTGAAGAAACTGCGTAGATGCAAGTTAGCATTATACAATTATACGCGTGCGGTAAACAAAAGTATTAACGCGTAGAATCCGTGGCACCGTAAATTAACAGGTAAACAACAAGCAGGAAAGAATGTGTCCGTTAAACTCAATCAGCATGCTTGGCCTGATGAATAATTTGCAATTCAAAAATGTGACGCCGTGCGTTTCTCCTTCTCAGGCAACTTGTTTGATCAAATCATACGATACTGAAACCTGTTGTTTTGTGGCTTGAAAAAACACCTCCGTGCTAATATTAGCGAAGTTCAAGGTGATAAATATTTAGATTTTTCACGTAATCAGAATAAAGTTGCTTGGGTATAAATAACATTTGATATTATGCAAGCACTGATAATATTTCGTTGTGGTATTAAGTGCAACGAGCTCGAGAGAATGTTGATTACGCGGAAAAAAACAAGTTGATAGAAATCGATGTGATATCGAATACACTCAATAGTGACATGTTACTCATCCTGGGACATTATGACAAAATATTTATTCACTTACCATTTCAACACACCAACCGAGGATGTTGGCTAATCGCAAATTCTCCGGCGTTAGATTTTCAGGTTCTTCCAACATTTTATAGGCGGAAACGACTGCCAGGCCACGATTCTTCTTGCCGTTGGGCACATTGTATTGCAACACTTTCGCATACCATTTGGATACTTCCGGAATATCCGTATTGCGGTTTGGATCAGTTAGATGTCGGACTATATCAGGAAAGACGGCCATAAATTCCCTGCTTTCGTCTTTGGTCGCAATCAGTTGACCGTTCTGTGGCTTGGTTTTCGTTTGCAATGTCGACAACGCCCTGCAAATAAAACCATTTAAATAGATACAAATTATTAACTATAAAGGTTTGTGTAACCGGGTAATTATAGCTTATCATTGCATATTATACGGAAATCAAATACAAAAATAAGTGCGCAGTTTTATTTATGAAATGAGCTGTAATAAAAACTTTCGAAGACGTGTGGAGCTTGTTTTCGTCAACTGAGTGAAGGTCAAGCCGGTTCGACACCGGTTTAACCCACAAAAAAGCTGTTGGTAAACAGAAATCATATGATAGGGCTCTCCCTTTGGGTTGAACAGATCAACACATTAATTCAATTCATAAAGCGCATGTGTCATATATTCAGCAACTCTGCTGTTATATTTATCAAGGCTCTTCGCTAATTGTATTGTTTACATCTATAAATAGTTCATTTCGTGTAAATGTAAACAACCGCTTTATGCCGAGATAGTTAAAAACAACTCAATTAAAATGCTACGCCATCTTCGATTGAAAAATGTGTTTTATATAATAGCTGTTTTGCGATCTTCTCCAGCAGTGCGGCTGCCATTGGGGATCATCTCATCGTCACGTACGCAACGTAGGCAAGAGCGAGCGATTAACGAAGAAGCGTCGACCGCGAGAGGTGCGACCAAGCGACTGTACCATGTACATGAACAAACTTAACCGAGTGTTACCGGCACGGCTAAGTTTACGCATGTATGTATAAAACATACATATTTATGTGCGTTGCGGCTCCACGCGTGGCAAACAATTCTAGCACCTGATGTCGATGACCGAGCCCCTAGAAGCACTCACCTATTATTGTTATGCTCTCTGATTTTCGCCCATCTGCTGCAATTCAAATCGCTCTTGAAACGCGCAACGTTCTCGATTTTCGTCTGGATGATATCGCTGTTGGGTGTGCTGGAAGTCTTGCTGATGCACCGCTTCCCGCTAGACACGGCGAAACGCACTGCTTTCGAATGGAACATTTTGTGCTTCGATTTTGCCGAAACTTTTCAAAATCCAGTGACAAATTCTTCACACACGTGAAGATGAAACACGCATGAATATCTTACAACGAACATGCAACCAATAAGTGCGAGACAAGACTGAAAACAAGACGGCCCCCCCGATCGTTTATAAGCGACTCATTTGAGAGTGAGACACAAAGAAAATATAAGCGAGACGCGCAACTCGTGAGCACGCCGTGAGTACGAGCAGTGCGTGCCATGGCACACTCGGTCGCCCAATCGCAAATAAATAATATTTCAACTCCAACTCATTTTGCCATTCAATTTGTTGTACGCTGTTCGTTCTACCGGCTTATCATGTAATACAAACTTTTTTTGCACAAACCTACATATTACTTTCAACGAAAAATATTTCAGGCATCTTGAGTCGTAAATAAATAATATTTCTATATATATTCTAATCTAATGTTTAACTTCTTATGTAATTCTTGTCTGCCATGAAAAAAGACGGACAAGTCCAGCGTGCACCATTGCTGATTAATTATAATTATATTTATCTTTTATTTACATTGGCTAAAGTTCGTTGATGCTTTGCAACACAAAGAGTTCTTCAGCATATCGATTTTGCGCTAGGTTCGGGCAGTTGCTGACAAGCGTCACGTAGGCACCCAGCATTCTACATGGCCAAAAATAGTCGAATGGTCGTATGTCATCATGTAAGATATAAAATGACATCTTGTAAACAATCATTGAGCTTGAGCCTATTATTGCGCGAGTGCACTCACATTATCACACCAAAATTCAATAATACATTGGTTTTGTTTACAAACTAGTTTGTTAGGTATTGCAAATATGGCTAATTTCTCGATATGTACAAGGAAACTTCTATTTTTATCAATATTTTCGTCACAGCAAACACTCGAAGCGTTCACGTTCTTATCTCGTGTGTGTTATTCTGATAAACGTGTTGTTGGTAGATTCGTTTTTAATAACAATCCACTAGTTCTCTACAGCTTAATAAAAAATAGGCCACGCACATTGGTCCACTCGAATACAATATACATGATTGCCATACGTATTTTGATAATGCGATATTAATAGGTAGGCATGCTGCACTTCATTGTATTTGGTCTCATTAATTATCTGATCGCAAATGCATTGCTCGTAACATTTTTTTTTTTAAATTCAAACGACTAGCGGATTCAACTATTAAAATAGCAACCTACGAGTTGTTAAATGTCAATTAAACAGTCGTCTTAGTCACGAATTTATAATAATTGCAGTAATCGATTAAATAAATTTACAGAAGAAATTATCTATTAAATTTTATTTTCGTGTAGTTTTGACTAACACACTGTAACTCAAAATCAATGTTAGTCATGCAGTTGCTAAGCTGGGGTAAAAATGAAACTAACTCATGAACTCATGATAATGTAGTAAACGCGTAATGTATGAGAATATGTGCTCGATTGTTTGCTCGCTAAGTAGATGATGTACATTGCTCACGTAATAATCATATGTGCTCTTTGCTTTGTTGGAAATAGTGTCATAAAGCATCGGCAAATGAGAGTTTTCTTTGTGACGACATCACAGCTTGCCAACAACACTTTTGTTACACATATTTCAGTCAACAAATATAAAATAAATTAATACATGTGTCACGATTTACAAAATTATAAACCAAGAACATAAATAATGTTCATACATTTGCTAGTCTAAAAATAGACTTTATAATATAAATATTGATTTCTGTCGCATTTATCAGCAATCATGTCGACGTCATAGATAAAGACAATTAAACATTTCTTGATAATTTTTATAGTCTTCTAGCCAATTTCGAATAAATGTTATTTGACCCATTATTTTTTAATTTTTGAATAATCGACACAAATTGAACTGTGTTCAATCGGCTAACTTCTTTATTAAAAATAATAATTGCAATTGTAATTATTGCGACAAAAAAAGTCATTCAAATGAGTTAATATCCACAACGTATTAAGATAGCAACAGAAAATATGAAACAAAACAACACTAAATTTAATAAATTTAAAAAAAAAAAATGTATCACAACACGATAAAACCATGAAATTCAGAAATAAAAATTTCTTTTTATTTAAATTAAATAAGAGCGAAACAAAATCTCGTTTCCCCATGTATTTAAAGCATTTTGATTATTATGACAACCACCAGCAAACATAAAATGATAACACATTGTTTATGACCTTGGGGTTACACTACTTCACCGACGTAAGTACATTAAAATAACCCAAATGGTAAAGTTGACCAAGTTCAAATTGAAAGTTTAATCTATACTAATTTATTTTTGACGAAACTTGCCAAATTAATTAGCATCGATGTTTGACATTCATAGAAATCAGCACTTGTGCAAATTTCTAAACAAACATTATACGCATTTCGATCAGGCGTGATTATCAGCGTGCAAATATTTTTCGACACACAAGCATAATTTTATCATGCTAATTTATAAAGAGCATGGTGTTTATCATTAACAATGATAGAATCCTACATCTACATTAGCTTAATTGTGTACTTAAAACAAAACATATCAAACCAAATAAATAATTGATAAAATTATCTAATCAGTGTGTATATGTCGTAATATTACATGCATCTTCAGGCGATTTATGTTGGCCCCCAAGCAACCATTTTATAGCTGATAATGTAGCAATAAAATATTCATTATTACTTATTATATTTGCAAACATTTATGATGCAAGCCATAATATAAACGTATTTTAACTCAGATTAGTGTTACTGGCTCTTATAATTTTTAGTATTAGCTTTACTGCCATACAAAACTCGTAAGTAAAAATCAAGTTGTTCGAATATAATATATGCACATGTGTGTTGTACATGTACATCAACTACATATTTGCAAGTAATGCGAACTTCACGTGTTGCATGTGTGGTTTTAATGCTCCGTGCACGTGAGCTACGTCGAATCAGTGCATAAATTGTACACGCCGAGTGGCGTGACGTGAGACAAAACAATATCGGTCATAATTAAATTCATATGCATACGCTATAAATGTTTAGCAAGTTCAAACATTAAAATGCATTAATTTTTTGTGATAAGGGCAATGCGAAATATCTCATAAAATCTGATTTATAAAAATATAGATAAAATGGTCACATAGCAATTAAATGAAAATATTTTCTGCTCCAAATATCATAACAATTGTTCCCATTTTCATCACCTAACAACAGAAGGTTTAATGTTGTTCACCTCTTATTGTACGGCGTTTGATTTATTAATTTTAATTGAGATACGTGTAAATGTCGACTGATTGGCATAGTGTAACCGCAACAATAAATTAAATAAAATTTTCGTTATTCATCGACGTTTTAATCATAACTCGAACATTTTTATAGATGATACAGTAATAATGATAATACGAGTACTTGATGGTAATAATATAATGGCCGAAAATAACGGAATATTTTACAATAAGTGATTACTTTATTTTAATTACGTTACCACTTCATCAAAGACAAATTTGGGTAATATTACGTTATCTTCGTTATTGCCTCATCTCTTCCATGCGTATGTACTAATTTAATGCGGTTTATTGTTTTGATAATATATAATTGAAATTGACAAGCAAAACCAAATCCGATTCTCGTAAATCGCAAATTACTCTCTGCGCTGATTTCAAATTAGTAAAATGACCTTAGGAGACATGTCCTTGTAATCCTATCCATTTAAATAAAAATAGACTTGCAGGAATTTTACACAATAAAAAAAGCATTGACTCCAACATCGACAATTACGACAATAATTTATGCAAAAGTTATTATAACACCGTGACATTTTTCCATTATATTGTATTGTTTTGTAATCATCAAGTGTTCTATTAACACCACAAATCAATTATCAAATTGGAGCTACATTAGGTTGTAATAATCTAACGGAACATTTCGGTTGATGACCCGTACTACCAATCATCCAGTTTTCAGAAAGTAATTAATTTATCTTTTATTGAAAAAAGTATAACATAGATGTCAGCAGACTGTCGCCAAAAACATGCTTTAAAGATATTTTAAAGCGTTAAATTAAAAACCAATTCAAAGAGTAATAAAAAGTGGAAACAGCGCGCGCATTCAAATATTGTATAGATACAAATTCTTGCACAAGCCATATATCGCAGAATGCGTTCGTTATGTGTGTAATGACCATCCAGTGACCCGAACTACTTTCCCGGAAGTAGAGGACAAAAGCACATCCGCACACGGCAAGGCCCCCATCAGCATCCACGTACAGAGATCAGTCGGTGAGAATAGGTGATACTGATAGGAGGCAATAAGGGCGACACTAGTAAGTACCGCCAATCTTTTGATTGCACCTCATAGTAAAACAATCGCAGCTTCCCACTTGTAATCAATTCTCATCACGGTCAATGGTGGTGGTAGGCGACATAGTAGAAGGGTATCAATAAAATAATCAAAGAGTCTTTCGGTTTGATAGTACTCATTGCGCAATTGAAGTGACTTGACGCTTCGCACATCCTGATTTCTGAGCTCTGCAAGTGTGGGAATTAACCGTGAATGGATTTGAGTTTTCTATGCGCGCCTCTGCTTTTCAAATTTAATATTTGGAAAAATTCTGGTGAGTTTCAAATAATTTTTATAAACACTGGCAAACCTACTAGTAGATTCGGATTACGAGTATAGTAAGTTATTACTCAACTTACATGAAAGTAACTTTGCAACACCAAACTGTAGTTCACTGAAAATCACGCAACTTATAGTCATCGTGTTTCCCATCGCGTATTTATATTTAGTACATGCGCATTGTTATCCAAAAATATAATTTATTCAGTAAAGAGGTTCGGAAAATAGTTCAAAGACCAAAGGGCAAACAAGACGCATCTCGTTTGCATTTAGTGTATGTCGTAAACACTTTCCAAGCACAACTCCGGTTTGTCATACCCCAACTCTTCGGGAGTATCAATACCAAGTTCACACAACATTGGTGTGATTTCTTGGATAATCCACGGATAAATTTCAAGTACGCGTCCGCCACACTTGTCTTTTACACCCTCAAGAAAGCGTACGGCAATGGCATAATCGTTCACGCGACGACAGGCGTTTAAAACAGCAACGATCATTGGCGGTTCTGGAACAAAATCTAAACCCAAGAGGTCGTTCATTCCCTGGCGCACATCCCAGCCGTCCAAATCAGGTCTATTGAAGAAATCTAGAAATCTGAAATAATTTTTACGGCATATTATTCAACCCTTAAAAAATATTAACCATCAGGTAACCTTAGAATTGAAGAAAACATTTGTCACATAAATGGCCAAAAATAAATTAAAATAAGGGCATAATATATATTATCGAAACTTACCGTTTTTCGAGTTCTTCTTCACTCGAGTTAAGAACAACTGCATGATGTAATGGACGTACCTCTTTGGGCACCAAAATACGAGATGCGTTGCGGAAAAGCTGAGCGCCGACGGTGCGTAAGAAACTCTGAAAAACAAAAAAAAACTTACGATGATGCAAAATGTTTAAAGTACAATTACAAGTATTTTTGGCAAAAATATGTAAATTCAACGAGTGGTGTGAAGAATGTGTCATTGGAAGTCACGCATGGTTTCGCATGACCGATGGACAGATAGGTGAGATGCGCCATGAGCTTATTTCGTCCAGGATGCCAGCTTCCGGTTTCTTTGTTCGACCGTCCCCGCGACTAACACGCAAAACTCCGCAATCGACATTTTCACATATGCGAACATGAATTTCGTCCATCTAACGACCATTATTCTAATGTCAGTTATGTTCAGTTTTTCTATTCAGTGTTTGTAATGGGACTGAAACAATTACGGCGCTTACAATGTGTATTTCAATAGTCATTGATGGACCGCACGTAACGTTTGTTAGCGTGCGTGTGTAATTCTACAATAGTATATGTGGGAAAGTGAACGTACTCTATGAGAATTAAATTGATCAATCATATCAAAATTTCAATACTCTGATTATTTGCAGGCGGATATTAAATTATGTCCAGATAGTGAAGGCGGCTATCCACATTTGATATTGGATCCAAAATGAAAAGTTACCCTTACGTTCCCAGCATGGTGCAAGCAATCACTGTACTAACTGTTTTGAAGATGATGACCAAAGGTAAAATACTCTTTAATCCTATATTGCCAACTGATAATAATACCTAATTTAAATATCCAGCCCAAACATCTTGTGGCACTGGCTCAATGAATGGTAAGGTGATGTACGAACGACTACCCAACACGCAACTGCAAGGATTTGATGACGATATCGTGGCAGATACAGGGCCTCCATTTAAGGTTTTGGAAAAGTGTCAAGACTTATGCCTACGTGATCGTGCCTCCAATAATATCGTCCGAGCTTGTACTTCATTTGATTTTCAACCTGGAAGTCGCATAGGTACTTTTAACGGAGGACCCGAGTATGATGATTCAACATGTTATCTAACACGTGAGCAAGCTGCACCTGAGGGTATTGGTAATCTAATGCTAGTACCAAATAGTGTACATTTCACTGAAGTTTGTATATCTTGTAAGTATATTTTCTTAGACCCAGTCGCTGATGTAAACAGCAAATTATCAACATTCTCATTAATATAGCAAATCGACCCGACCGCGAATGTCCAAACAGACGTTACATTTTCGAACGCCATCCTCGTAAAAAGCTCAAATTGCCGGCCGCCGATTTAAAGGAGGTGCAAGCTTCCAATCGCAGCGAGTGCGAAGACAAGTGTCTGAACGAGTTTAGCTTTGTCTGTCGGTCTGCATCCTTTGATTCGGCAATGCGTATGTGCACCCTCAGTAGGTTTACACGCAGAACTCATCCGGAATTATTAGAAGATGAACCCAGTTCAGATTACTTAGAAAACACTTGCTTAAATGGTACAGTAGTAATAACAATGCCCAGACTATCAATATCATAAATTTACCATATGTTGTAGCTGATCGACGTTGCGATGGTTTAGCTGTTTTCATAAAAGAAGAAAATAAGCGCCTGGGTGGTCCTTTCGAAGTTGACTTATTTAGCAATATAACACTGGAAGATTGTCAGGCAATGTGTGTTCGCGCCGAAAAGTATTTTTGTCGATCTATTGAATACGATGAAATGACTAAGCAATGTACAATATCCGAAGAAGATTCAATTTCCCAAAAAGACGACATTGGTGTAAGCAGTAGTCCGACGCATCACTTCTACGATTTCGCGTGTTTAGATAGTCGTAAGAATCCACGAAAATGTAGTACTAGATTAGCATGCCTTATATGTTAGATAATTCTTCCATTTCAGCTCGAGGATCCGAATACCCCGACAATTCCGTAACTTCCCATTTGTTTACTGGCAAAAGACCTGACACGGCATTTCAAAGATATCGAAATAGCAGATTAGGTGGCGAACATCACTCAGAAATTTCTGGCAGATCATTAAGTGAATGCTTGGATGAATGTTTGAGACAACCAAGTTTCCAATGTCGATCTGCAGTTTACAGTGAGCGCTACCGCACTTGTCGTTTAAGCCGGTACAATCAAAAAGATGGAATGCGAATAATCTACGACGCAGATTATGACTACTATGAAAATTTAATGCGTATGTATTATCTATTTTGATAATCTTATAAATAAAACATTTTTTCCAACAGTCGGTACAGATGGGGATGGAAACCAAAAACCAGATAGGCCAGACCAAAGGCCAGGGCAAAGACCAGGGTACCGACCAGGTGGTGATAGATATCCAGGATATGACAACAGAATTCCGGATGACCGTTATCCAGATGATCGCTATCCACCAAACCGATATCCCCCAGGAAGACCAGGAGATAGATATCCAGACGACGATAGATACCCAATAGGCCCAGATCGTTATCCCCCCGGTGGTCGCTACCCCGATGATAGATATCCGCCCAGGTATCCAGGACCTGGTTATCCTCCTAGTGACAGATATCCAGATAGACGGTATCCACCACCACCACCTGGTGACCGCTACGGTGGCCGAGATAGGGATAGGTATGGTGATCGTGATCGCTATCCCGGAGGAGATCGAGATAGATATGGAGGCGATCGAGTCCGATATGGAGGAGACCGTGATCGTTATGGAGGAGATCGTGATAGATATGGGGGTGACAGAGATCGTTATCCAATTACTAGATATCCTGGATACCCAGGTGACGTTAATCGTGACCCATATGGAGGCGATCGTTATGGTGGTGGAAGCCGTTATGCTGACAGCGACAGATATGGTGGCAACCGAGATCGTTATGGTGATGATCGTAATAGTGGGCGAGATGACGGCCGATATGGAGGGCGGGATCAATATGGTGCGGATCGTTATGGCGGCCGAGATAGATATCCGGATCGTGACAGATACGGCGATTACGATAGGTATGGTGGAAGCAGCGATAGGTATTTACCCGGAGATGATCGAGGGACTCGTAGATACCCAGGTTATAGGCCTGGCCAAGACGATAGATACAGTGGAGACAGATACGGGGGAGGCAGGTTTACAGGAAAACCGGGCTACAGTTATTATGGCGATGATAGAGATGGCGGAAGCAGATGGTTCTTTAGACCAGACCGTCGACCTACCGGCAGACCCTATGATGGCCCGCAATATGACGGAATGCGTCGACCTTTTTTACCCGGACCTGATGGTCCACCACCTTATGATGGTAATCGCAGACCAATTTCACCTGGACCAGATGGTCCTATTTACGATAATTATCCACCAAGTAAACCGTATGCCTCGCGATGCGATGAGGGGGACGGTTTTAAGCAAGCCGGTGTTCGACAACGCATTCGCAAAGATTATGTACGTCGCTTCATAGCTGCTACTACATTACGACAATGTGAACTAGAATGTGTGGAAACAAGAGATTTCGTATGTCGCAGTTTTAATTACCGTGAAAGCCCCCCTCAATACGATGGAGAACGAGAAAATTGCGAATTGAGCGACCGAGATTCTCGAGATATAGACATCAACAATCCGCAATATTTCGAAAATACTGGCAATTTTGATTATTACGAACGCTCAAATAGTCGTCAAGGAAGTGATCCAGACTGTCTTGATGGTAAATTAATAACAATTCAAATAATGGACAAAACTTTAAATTGTCAATCTGATTTCAGTTACCCAAGTCTGTAACGACGATGGCATGGAATTTACGTTGCGAACGCCAGAAGGTTTCTACGGTAGAATTTATACATATGGCTTTTACGACAGATGCTTCTTCAGAGGCAATGGTGGAACAATGAATGTTTTGCGAATCAGCGGCGCAAATGGTTACCCTGAATGTGGCACTCAAAGATATGGCGATACAATGACCAATATTGTGGTTGTGCAATTTAGTGACTACGTGCAGACAGGCAAGGATAAACGATTCAATTTGACGTGCTTATTCCGTGGGCCGGGAGAAGCTGTGGTATCATCTGGATTCATCGGAGCCGGGTAACTTAAATACATAATATACATTTACATCAATCAAATTTATATGCTTTCTGTTTCAATAGGAGCTCAGGTAGTCCCATTCCCATAGAGTACCTACCAGCGGAAAACACACTCAGTTCCAAAGTTAGACTCATGATTTTGTATCAAGGGCGACCTACAACTACCATTGCAGTTGGTGATCCATTAACATTCAGGTTGGAAGCCCAAGATGGCTATAATTACGTTCAAGATATATTTGCTACCAATGTAGTTGCCAGAGATCCATACTCAGGAAGATCAGTTCAACTAATTGACAGATTCGGGTATGTAATCACAAATAAAACTATTCTTTATCATTAATCTTCAAAATTTTTACAGTTGTCCTGTAGACAGTTACGTTTTCCCGGAACTTGACCGAGGTCGCAGTGGAGACAGCTTAGAAGCAAGATTCAATGCCTTCAAAATTCCAGAATCGAATTTCCTAGTGTTTGAAGCAACTGTGCGCACTTGCAGAGAAGGATGTCAACCGGCATACTGTCAGTCAACCAGCGGCAGATCTGAACCATCGTTCGGTAGACGCAAACGTGACATAAATGAAACGGCCGCCATTGATACAGATAGTAATACTGTAATCATTACAAACGAAATTATGGAAAACGATACCACAGTCTCGTTCCCAGCCACCACCGAGGGTACTGATGTTACAGAAGAAACCAAATCGGATCCAGAGTTTGTCAGAGAGATGATTGAAGTGTTTGAATCGCGAGAAGAACTGCAGCAAGAAGCACGCCGCGCCGTTCCCATATCGGAATCGGTCTGTATAACTACTGGCGAATATCACGGCCTAATTAGTGCAATTTTAGCGTTAGCAGCTATCCTTATAACAATTAGTTTACTAGCAGGTATAGCCTATCGCCGGTATTGGACAGTCATGCACAAGAATATAATTGCCGATCGCTCCTCCTCTCGATTGTCATCGTCATATCCCACTACGAGAAGTAGCGGTGTATCATCAGGAATATCCATTTTTGGCAACGGCTTTCAGAAACCGTTTAGTAGTTTTGGACGCACGCGTAATTTTCCCAGCCTGCCTAAAGATTCCGACCTTGAATGTCCAATGCCAGCGCCGGGTGGGCTCTTTGAAGATCCAAGCGAACCCATTTATACGGACCCCTCCCTATTCGAACGTTCGCGAAGTTTGAGAAGTATTGCCGTATCGCAAAAACGCCGCCACTCGCCGGGACCACAAAAATAAGTTTCCGCTTCGAAAAAGTACAACGGACTGTTCGATATTCACGTATCAGGAGACCAAAATTAAGTTTTGAATGTGAACCAAATGAATGTTTCTGATTATTACGATAACCAATTAATATCTAATTTTATATTATTAATTATTAGGTATTTATTTGCACCAACTAAGTGTTTGATTCAAATTATCGATAAATTATGCGTCAATTGAACTATAATAAATATAATCTTACCTACGCATTACCATCTTGAATATCGAACAGTTCCGTTAAAAAAATACTCTCAATTGTACTTTGTTTATTCTTCTGTAAGCGAGAATCAATCGATGATAATAATTAATCGATAATTTGCAATTACTCAACATTCACACTGCCTGTTAGTGCATCCATGTAGTAAATGCTCATGTCAAATTTCATGTGATTCGAATGTGTAAGAATATGAACGACTTCAATGGTCGTAACTTTTTTTTAATATCAAGTAGTTATTATGTATTTTTAAAACACGCGCACCATTATTTTCTAATTAAAAGTTTAAATTGAGTAACTGTGTACTACAATTGTAAAGCACCCAAAAGCACGTTCAATCCATACTTCTTATCATCCAAACAATTCTAATTTGTAAATAGGAATGTAAGAAGCAATAAATATACAAAATTTATACACGAAAAAAACACGATCGCCAAATATATAAGCATTACGTGACGAAATTAAAAATTTTAAGAAGAAACGTGATATTTCTTCAAAATTGCATCAGCTTTCTCGTATAAGTAGAGGCTCATACGGAAACTGATAATGTACTGATCGTCAAAATGAAGCATAGGCTTTTTCTGCTTCCTTTATTTGTCCTTTTGGGCCAGCAAGTGTATACTAGTGACATTCTATTTATTTCCTCGCAAAACCAAAAAAATGGACATGGCTTGGATTTTATAAGAAACCAAAACGATAGTCATCCCACAGTAAGATTAAAGAAATATATTAATTTTTCGAATTATAATATCATTGAAATTTATAGCCTATTACAATATCAAGTATTAAATGTAGCTACGAAGGTGAAATTACTCCAAGTCCAGAGTTAATGAGGTATTTCATTTGTAAGTACCCAGCGCATCCCAAAAATAGCCCATTGAAGGCATACTTAAGGTGTTGCAAACCACAACGAATGTTTAACGTTAAAACGGGAACTTGTGATAAAATAAAGGGAGGCGGATATCTAATTTGTGTAATTAAAAAAGCACAATGCCCAAATAACTACATTGGTATAGCGCCACACCCATCACAAATGGATAAATATATTCAATGTTTAACAGACACAATATATGTTTTTCAATGTGCCATACCCAATGCAACTTTTGTACCTGACAAACAGGAATGCATGGTCGAGAACTGGAATACAATATTAAAACGTGACGAATCAAATGGGACAATTCCTCGTATCAATTGCACCCACGCACATTTTGATAATACACACACAAATGTAAAAAACTCACAATGTGCATATTTATGTGTAGAAAATAAAAACCATTATGATTTGGTCATTCAATGTAAAAAAGGAATCCCAGGAAACAAGTTCACATCACAAACCAGGACACACGATAGTGAGGCAAATAAAAGTAAACATGAAATATCAAAAAGAAGTAGCCATTCAATAAAGAATCATGAAAATTCTGACATAAAAACACCAGCAAGCGAACACACCATAGAACACATTGACCCCAACCACTCAAACGGCGACAACAGTCAGTCTCATGGTGGCGGCAAATCAAGCACACCCCAGAAAGATATCGACAACAGTCAGTCACATGGTGGCGGAAAAACAGGCACACCCAAGAAAGATAACGACAACAGTCAGTCACATGGTGGCGGAAAAACAGGCACACCCAAGAAAGAGAACGACAACAGTCAGTCACATGGTGGCGGCAAATCAAGCACACCCAAGAAAGATATCGACAACAGTCAGTCACATGGTGGCGGAAAAACAGGCACACCCAAGAAAGAGAACGACAACAGTCAGTCACATGGTGGCGGCAAATCAGGCACACCCAAGAAAGATAACGACAACAGTCAGTCACATGGTGGCGGCAAATCAGGCACACCCAAGAAAGATAACGACAACAGTCAGTTACAAGGTGGCGGCAAATCAAGCACACCCAAGAAAGAGAACGACAACAAGTCACATGATGGCGGAAAAACGGGCACACCCAAGAAAGATAACGACAACAGTCAGTCACATGATGGCGGAAAAACAGGCACACCCAAGAAAGAGAACGACAACAGTCAGTCACATGGTGGCGGAAAAACAGGCACACCCAAGAAAGATAACGACAACAGTCAGTCACATGGTGGCGGCAAATCAAGCACACCCAAGAAAGATATCGACAACAGTCAGTCACATGGTGGCGGAAAAACAGGCACACCCAAGAAAGATAACGACAACAGTCAGTCACATGGTGGCGGCAAATCAAGCACACCCAAGAAAGAGAACGACAACAGTCAGTCACATGGTGGCGGCAAATCAAGCACACCCAAGAAAGATAACGACAACAGTCAGTCACATGGTGGCGGCAAATCAAGCACACCCAAGAAAGATAACGACAACAGTCAGTCACATGGTGGCGGCAAATCAAGCACACCCAAGAAAGATAACGACAACAGTCAGTCACATGGTGGCGGAAAAACAGGCACACCCAAGAAAGATAACGACAACAGTCAGTCACATGGTGGCGGCAAATCAAGCACACCCAAGAAAGAGAACGACAACAGTCAGTCACATGGTGGCGGAAAAACAGGCACACCCAAGAAAGATAACGACAACAGTCAGTCACATGGTGGCGGCAAATCAAGCACACCCAAGAAAGATAACGACAACAGTCAGTCACATGGTGGCGGCAAATCAAGCACACCCAAGAAAGATAACGACAACAGTCAGTCACATGGTGGCGGCAAATCAAGCACACCCAAGAAAGATAACGACAACAGTCAGTCACATGGTGGCGGAAAAACAGGCACACCAAGAAAGATAACGACAACAGTCAGTCACATGGTGGCGGCAAATCAAGCACACCCAAGAAAGAGAACGACAACAGTCAGTCACATGGTGGCGGCAAATCAAGCACACATGGTGGCCAAGAAAGATAACGACAACAGTCAGTCACATGGTGGCGGCAAATCAAGCACACCCAAGAAAGATAACGACAACAGTCAGTCACATGGTGGCGGCAAATCAAGCACACCCAAGAAAGATAACGACAACAGTCAGTCACATGGTGGCGGAAAACAGGCACACCCAAGAAAGATAACGACAACAGTCAGTCACATGGTGGCGGCAAATCAAGCACACCCAAGAAAGATAACGACAACAGTCAGTCACATGGTGGCGGCAAATCAAGCACACCCAAGAAAGATAACGACAACAGTCAGTCACATGATGGCGGAAAAACAGGCACACCCAAGAAAGATAACGACAACAGTCAGTCACATGGTGGCGGAAAAACAGGCACACCCAAGAAAGATAACGACAACAGTCAGTCACATGGTGGCGGCAAATCAAGCACACCCAAGAAAGATAACGACAACAGTCAGTCACATGGTGGCGGCAAATCAAGCACACCCAAGAAAGATAACGACAACAGTCAGTCACATGATGGCGGAAAACAGGCACACCCAAGAAAGATAACGACAACAGTCAGTCACATGGTGGCGGAAAAACAGGCACACCCAAGAAAGATAACGACAACAGTCAGTCACATGGTGGCGGCAAATCAAGCACACCCAAGAAAGATAACGACAACAGTCAGTCACATGGTGGCGGCAAATCAAGCACACCCAAGAAAGAGAACGACAACAGTCAGTCACATGGTGGCGGTAAATCAAGCACACCCAAGAAAGAGAACGACAACAGTCAGTCACATGATGGCGGAAAAACAGGCACACCCAAGAAAGAGAACGACAACAGTCAGTCACAAGATGGCGGAAAAACAGGCACACCCAAGAAAGAGAACGACAACAGTCAGTCACATGATGGCGGAAAAACAGGCACACCCAAGAAAGAGAACGACAACAGTCAGTCACATGGTGGCGGCAAATCAAGCACACCCAAGAAAGAGAACGACAACAGTCAGTCACATGGTGGCGGCAAATCAAGCACACCCAAGAAAGAGAACGACAACAGTCAGTCACATGATGGCGGAAAAACAGGCACACCCAAGAAAGAGAACGACAACAGTCAGTCACATGGTGGCGGCAAATCAAGCACACCCAAGAAAGAGAACGACAACAGTCAGTCACATGATGGCGGAAAAACAGGCACACCCAAGAAAGAGAACGACAACAGTCAGTCACAAGATGGCGGAAAAACAGGCACACCCAAGAAAGAGAACGACAACAGTCAGTCACATGATGGCGGAAAAACAGGCACACCCAAGAAAGAGAACGACAACAGTCAGTCACATGGTGGCGGCAAATCAAGCACACCCAAGAAAGAGAACGACAACAGTCAGTCACATGGTGGCGGCAAATCAAGCACACCCAAGAAAGAGAACGACAACAGTCAGTCACATGATGGCGGAAAAACAGGCACACCCAAGAAAGAGAACGACAACAGTCAGTCACAAGATGGCGGAAAAACAGGCACACCCAAGAAAGAGAACGACAACAGTCAGTCACATGATGGCGGAAAAACAGGCACACCCAAGAAAGAGAACGACAACAGTCAGTCACATGGTGGCGGCAAATCAAGCACACCCAAGAAAGATAACGACAACAGTCAGTCACATGGTGGCGGAAAAACAGGCACACCCAAGAAAGAGAACGACAACAGTCAGTCACATGGTGGCGGCAAATCAAGCACACCCAAGAAAGATAACGACAACAGTCAGTCACATGGTGGCGGCAAATCAAGCACACCCAAGAAAGATAACGACAACAGTCAGTCACATGGTGGCGGCAAATCAAGCACACCCAAGAAAGATAACGACAACAGTCAGTCACATGATGGCGGAAAAACAGGCACACCCAAGAAAGATAACGACAACAGTCAGTCACATGGTGGCGGCAAAACAAGCACACCCAAGAAAGATAACGACAACAGTCAGTCACATGATGGCGGAAAAACAGGCACACCCAAGAAAGATAACGACAACAGTCAGTCACATGGTGGCGGCAAATCAAGCACACCCAAGAAAGATAACGACAACAGTCAGTCACATGATGGCGGAAAAACAGGCACACCCAAGAAAGAGAACGACAACAGTCAGTCACATGGTGGCGGCAAATCAAGCACACCCAAGAAAGATAACGACAACAGTCAGTCACATGGTGGCGGCAAATCAAGCACACCCAAGAAAGATAACGACAACAGTCAGTCACATGGTGGCGGCAAATCAAGCACACCCAAGAAAGATAACGACAACAGTCAGTCACATGATGGCGGAAAAACAGGCACACCCAAGAAAGATAACGACAACAGTCAGTCACATGGTGGCGGCAAATCAAGCACACCCAAGAAAGAGAACGACAACAGTCAGTCACATGGCGGCGACAAAACAAGCACACCCAAGAAAGAGAACGACAACAGTCAGCCACATGGTGGCGGAAAAACAGGCACACCCAAGAAAGATAACGACAACAGTCAGTCACATGGTGGCGGAAAAACAGGCACACCCAAGAAAGATAACGACAACAGTCAGTCACCTGGCGGCGGCAAATCAAGCACACCCAAGAAAGAGAACGACAACAGTCAGTCACATGGCGGCGACAAAACAAGCACACCCAAGAAAGAGAACGACAACAGTCAGTCACATGGTGGCGGAAAAACAGGCACACCCAAGAAAGATAACGACAACAGTCAGTCACCTGGCGGCGGCAAATCAAGCACACCCAAGAAAGAGAACGACAACAGTCAGTCACATGGCGGCGACAAAACAAGCACACCCAAGAAAGAGAACGACAACAGTCAGTCACATGGTGGCGGAAAAACAGGCACACCCAAGAAAGATAACGACAACACTCAGTCACATGGTGGCGGAAAAACAGGCACACCGAAGAAAGAAAACAGCGAGAACAAGAAGGCACATAGTGACGCTAAAATGGGCAAACCGGATAGACAGAGTAGTGATAATGACAATAGTTCGTCAGGCGAGATTAGTGGACGAGGCATTAAAATCAGAGTGCTTTAACTGTGAAATTATTGTGGTTACAACAATGAGTTGAAGTATAAGTAATCATATTATAAAAATAACTGAATAGATATGGAGGTTCACGTAAATTCACAAATTATATACATGCATAGTTGTATTTGAAAAGTATTTGAATATTACGGACGTGACCCACGCGCATGCGTACGCGTTTGACCGAAGTGTATAAACATAACCTGTTCAGGTTTTGAAGAGATTCCAATTTTCATTATGGTATAATTCAATCCACGAAATATTCGTAAGCATCGTTATGTTCATTCATTCTCATTTATACTGCTAATTAGTATAATATTTAATACAACCGATTGGATACATTGCGAACCATAATTTTAAGTCTTAAATATTGGAAAACCACAGTCCAGGATGGACAATAAAATAAAAATGTATGTATAACTCACCATCTTTGAATGCTTCTACTAACGAGAACGGTCCAACTTTATGATTTCTTGTTGTTTCACTTTGACGTATAATGCAATTGTAAAACTAATTTATCTAAACAAATGAAAACTAAACAATGATGCCGACGCGGTATTTTCATCAAGTATGCTATAATAATGTATGCAACCCAATATTCACATTTTGTTTGAAATTTAAGATGTTTGTATTTAATTCCAATTTTATTTTAGACTGGTATGCGGGGACATTGAAGGAAAGTTCAATATGCTATTTAATAAAGTTGACAATATAAACAAGAAAGCTGGTCCATTTGATCTACTCTTATGTGTTGGAAATTTCTTTGGAATTAACAACACTGAATATTTGCCTTTCCTAAATGGCTCTAAGAAAATACCAATTCCTACATATATTTTGGGGCCAAATAAAGAAGATCATTTAAAATTTTATCCAGCTGAAGAAAGTGATATCTGTGAAAATCTATACTATCTTGGGAAAAGGGGCTTGTATTCAGTCTCTGGTGGTCTAAAAGTTGCTTATTTGAGTGGTACCTTAGTTAATGATAAAGACAAAGTTGAAGCTTTCAACTACACCACATCTGATGTAATAGACTTAAAAGATATCTGTTTAAGAAATAATATAAACTACAAAGGAGTGGATATATTATTAACTTCACAATGGCCCGATGGTGTTACAGCTAAAACTAAGAATGCATGTACCTACAATTCAGTTTTAGATTAATTTTACTCTGATATTGCATTTTCTTTGCAGGAGCTGAGTGGTTTCAACAATGCTACAATTCAATCTGCATGGCTTGCATACCATTTAAAGCCAAGATATCATTTTAGTGGTCTTGAAGGAATATACTATGAGAGGCCACCTTATAGGAATACAATAAATGGCGATTTTGGCATTGCAACTAGATTTATAGGTATGGCACGTGTGGGCAATCCAAAAAAGGAAAAGTGGATTTATGCAGCTAGTTTAACACCCCTCGAAAATATGAAGATATCTGACTTATTGCAGAAAACAACAGATGAAACTGAAATGCCATATAATATTGCTGAACTAGATTTGCAGAGTAAGTTAATGTATTGACTAGAAATTCGAGATGGTTGTACTATTTGATTAACACATATTTATTAATACAAGTTTATTAATATATTGTTTTTATAATAGTACATGGACGAAAAAGTAAATCTACGGATCAAAATCAATTTTTCTATGATATGTCCCGAAACAATGAAGATCCACCCAATAAAAAGATTAAACGACCACGGATAGAATTTGATCAGAGCAAATGTTGGTTCTGTTTAGCTAGTCCTTCAGTAGAGAAACATTTAGTTGTTACCGTTGGTAATTGTGTTTACTTGGCTGCTGCAAAGGGCGGTTTAGTTGATGAGCATTTGCTCATCTGCCCGGTTGAGCACCATCAGAGCGCTGTTGGACTAGCCGAGGATATTCAGGAGGAAATCGACCGATTTAAGGAAGCACTGCGCAAGTTTTACGCTCGAAATGGAAATGTTCCGGTGTTCTTCGAAAGAAACTACAAAACATCACATATGCAAATTCAAGCAGTGCCCATACCACGAAAAGCATCGAAAGAGTTGAAAGAGATCTTCATGGAAGAAGCTCAAGGCAATGATATAGAATTACTGGAGTTAGAAGCTGGCATGCGGTTGGATCAGGTTGTCCAAGCAAAATCACCGTATTTTGCTTTAGAATTGCCGAATGGGGAAGTTTTGTACACGAAAATTAAAGGGGCGAAAGGGTTTCCTATTAATTTTGGCAGGGAGGTGTTGTCGTTGGGACCAGTGTTAAACTTGCCAGATCGAATTGAATGGAAAGATTGCACTGTTTCCAAAGAAAGAGAAATCGGTATGATTAATCAAATTCGCACAGATTTTGAACCTTATGATATAACGGATTAAATGATTTAAGTTAAGTATATTAGTAAGTATTATTTCATAAGATGATAATTGTTAATTAAAACATGTATTTTTATAATTCGCAAATTAGAAATACAGTATCGATAAAGTAAACCCTCCTCTTATGACAAACCAGCCTAAATTCTACCAGAAAACGTAGCTATTATTCTTATCATTTACGCCAATACATCATTTAAAAGCGGACCCAGGAGAGAAAGACGCCGTTAAAACCAGCGTTGTAGACTTGACCCTTGAAGAGTAATAAAAAGAAAGAACAATTACGTATTTCTGTGCGCAGTTTTTCTAATTGCTACATACATCAATTTGCCCCGCAAACGGTTTATGATATTAGTCACGTGGGAATGAAAATTACCCGAATTGTCTTTTTTCAGGTAAGTTGTGTAACCGAATGCCTTACATTTTTTGTGTGCAGTGTATTACATTGACATGTTGTATTATATTTGTTTGGCTTTTCGCAAATCTTGTTCTTTTTTATGTTTACTTGGCAACTTTCCTATTTCCGCGAACTGCATTTTATTACCTTATTTGTACGTTTTTCTTCTTCATTTCTTGCGTCTCTTCGTTGCCTGCACAGTGCCGGCAACACTTTGTTGGCACATAAAACTGTATAAAAATGCGGTTTGGACTTTTCGCCTTAAAATGTTCCTCGGCAATAGCGAATTTTTCCAACCCGGCAGACCGGCAACTAAGTAACTAGGAGTTAGTTTCGGTTTTTGCTATCAAAAGAAACATAATACTCTAACCTTCGACGAACAACTAAACAGCAACGTTCATTATGATTTTATAAATTTTACAGCATTGAAATGTGCCAACATAAATTTGAGTTATACCGGGTTTATTATAAACGAAAGTAATTAATGCTATTAAACGACAATCAATCTTATCGTTTGCTAATTATTAATGAAAAGTACTTGACGACGTACGTACCTATACACAAATGAAGTATGACGGCATACCGGTTTACATTATGTTTGATGAAAATGTGAAAATAACTTGAAACGAATTGCAGTGTGTCGTGTCGATCTTTCGTGCAAGATTATTTATACACTGGGCAATTTCCTCAATGAGCTTGCTGCTAATTTCACCTTTGCAGTTTCGTAGCTTGGCAGAAAATTAAAATAAAACCAACAGTGCACAACAAACAAAACAAACATCGATTAAGCTGTTGTAATAAATTTATTGCAGTTGTCGTTGAAGGCACATCCGCTTTTTGGGGCCCGAATGGATTGTAAACGTTGTCGGCGAGTACATTTAATTTCCACGACGACGCGTTATCAATATGCGGGTTCTAAGTTATATAGGTAATTAGGTTGGGCAATAATTGCACGAACCGCACATTTACATGCCGCCCAGACGAGCGTGTTGGGGCATCGTAAACAATGTCGAGTGCAGCGAGGGGAAACGGGAGAGTTGCTTGCTGGCTAGAGATATGCGACTTCACACTACCTAACAAACTTGGAATGCGTGCAACGTCCCATTACTTTAATTGCGCACACATTGAACGCTTATCTCTGCATTGGCGTATTTACTGTTCGACTATTAATTGTATATTATGCATTATGACCGGAAAATTGTGTTTTGAGTAATCTTTTAAACGTATAGTACAAAATAATAGCATTTTTGTCTCATTTTGTGTTAAAACCAAGTTTTTTAAACAAATAAAATTATATTTAATTAGAAGAAGATTACCTGTTATCTTCAAACAAGCATTAATAAATAATGCATTTAGTGCATAATACCATCAAATATCTGATACGTTGCGCCACTGCGTGATAATTAACAATAAGGATTAGATGAGGCGTAATATTAGATTCCACATTGACATATAGCGGTTTGAGTGCGATAACTTGTACACGCAGGATCAACGTGCGGTTGTTAGGGTTCCGGAGGGTTAGACAAATAATGGCCGGTTAATTATTAAGCTAATATCTTCACACTATCCGTAAGATCATATAATGAAACAATTTTGAATATAAAATATAATGAAACAGAACCAATTGATTTCGAAGCACAACATCGCCACTGAAACAATAATGCAAGTTTTCAAAAACTACTATGCGCATGCGTTGAGGAATTAATTACAAATTAATAGTATATTGGCCAATGATACACATTTCTCATTTTCGTAAATATTGCCAAAGTTTAGTTTTTACTAAACTCTCCCTGATATATTTTTAGCTTTTAGTTTTCAATGAGTATATTTCTATAATAAATAGACAACGCATAAAATAAACTTCCTGCTTTTGCCGAAAGCATAAAACTATAATCAAACAAAACGCGCCTACTTTACGTACACATCAATATACTAGTTTAAAACGCCCTAGAAATAAAACTGAAATGAATACAGGAAGATAGAGTAGAGCAAAAAAAGTGAAAACAGTGACAGACGGACAAAAAGAAGTGAAAAATGCTGGAAATTTAATAATGTCGCGAACGGAGTAGACTTCATTATTATCTAGCTGGCAGTGTAGTCTCATTACGGTTCTAATGAAATTCTGAGCGCCGAATATAAGTAGATGCTATTTGCAGTATCAAAGCAAATGCGCCACGAGAAGGAAAAAGGATAGGAGTGTAGTGAGTGGTGGTGCAGTTGTACAACGTAATGTAAAGTAACGTAATGGGAACAGCGACGATGAAAATAAGCGAAAAAATAACAATTGATGACGCAAAATATTATTAAAAATCATAAAAAAGAAATGAACCATTTCATATTTATTTTTATTTGCATTATTTTGTCGAATTATACAAAATGAAAAATTAATTATCACTGGCAAAAAAATGTTGGACGATGATGATGATGATGTTAGGTGTGGATGAGTTTTTGGATAGTACTTTAATGGGACTTCTAGAAGATACATGCTGATGGCGTACAAAGGAGTTCGTCATGCTGCAGGCTTATTGAAAAGGGGCACGAGAACAAAGATGCATTGAAACGAGGCTCGGGTGAATACAAGTCAAGAAAGGCAAAGAAAAAAGTCACGAAAACAATGTGCGCCTTTTCCGTTCATTGAGTGCTTTTGTTTTGACAGATAATACGTTCTTTTTAATTAGAAATCGATTTTTTCCTATTCTATATCAAAAGTTTTCATTTTTTTTTGTCGTGTAACGTTGATACCCACATAGTTTGTCATAGCTGTAAGTTGTCACAGCACAATAAATAACGTGGTCTTACTTAGTCCGCCTTCGAAATTTCCAACAGTGAAACTGAGCGAACAAATGGACTGCGAGATGAGGGAGCTACAATTAATAATATTTAATACATCGGTTTTCGGGGAGGACTTCTTGCTCCTTAGTAGTGGGGTTTAAACGCTCCCAAGTAAAACCCAACTTTGATGCAAGATGCAGGAAATTCTGCATTGTTGCGAATATGTCTTTGAACAAAGATGTAAAACATTTATTAAACACTAGCTTTTGCCCGCAACTTCGTCTCGGTAGTGTTTAATAAAAATGTAATTAGTTTTTACTCTCTTATTCTAGACATAGTATGTGTTAATTCTATTAACATGATTCGCAATTTTATTTTAAAGAAATTAATTATATGAAGAATTGCTAATAATGCACTTCAGCGCGCCATCCCGGATTCAACTATTTAACTATAACTATGATTGAATCTCAATGCCAACTTTTATTCTATAGAAAAGGGCTGTCTTTAGAGTTTTTCCGGTAATTATTTGAATTTTCCTCGCCGTAAAAACCATTCTTGGACTCTAACGAACATTTAAAAAAAAGAATTGGCCAAATTGGTCTAAACGTTGTTGAGTTATGCGCTTACAAACAGATTTTGTTATTTATTTTTATATTATAGATAACTTTTAATTTTACAATCATGAAAAAAGTTTAATATTCAACTAGATATCTGAATAAAACAAACATAATAATATTATTGATTAATATTAGGTATTATAATGCAATAATATAAATTAATGTTGTTTTATTGAGTTGGCATATTTTGATTTCCGTCGTCTATGTTTATAGTGTGCAAATTCGTACGCCCGCCAGCGATAGAAGCGTTCACTTTGTAATGAAATCATTATCGGATCACTGGCTGGCACCACACAAGCACACATATTGCGCGCGCCATGTCGCCATGTCGCCATGTCGTTGTATGCTCATTTCAAACATGCACGAAACGGCTGATCCCGAACTGCTCGCGAGGTTGGCAGGTTGGGAAATCAATTGCGTCTTTGCCGTGATGGTGATAATGCGATAAGCGGAGGTCGCGCCAATTATATACCAGCAAATCAATACGGCTGCAGACGGCAGTCAACGGCAATTGAAAATGTATTTCAGTATTTCAAAACTCAGCCCGATATGTGTAGCTGCTACGCTTTCTACATGTGCCACACTAATGCAGTGTCAGTTTTGCTAAACTTTCAAAGTAAACACAACAAAGTTTTACTCCGAGCACGCCAACGAACTTTCTCGTACAATTCGTGGGTGGAAGTACAGTTTTTGGGCGGGCGGAGGATCCAGAAGGAAGAGAAACCTCTCTCGGTGATAATAACACAAATACTTAAACTTTTTGAACTTGTACGTGATTTTCCATTTAAACATTTTCCAACAGCGTGTACGTGTTTCTACAATAATTAAAGTCAAATATTTACACTTGGTGGTTACATCACCCATCAAAAATTACATTGCTCATAAAGTCGAGTCATTAATATGTTGAGAATGACTTTTAGGAGCAAAATTTGCGGTGAAATTAGTTACCGATTTTGTAAATGTTGAACTCTTTACTCAATTACTTCTACCAATTATCATAAATGATTTTTCTTGATTCAGTAATTCTCTTAGGAGATGAACCCATCACACACGATTATTCTATCTGATAATTTTTCATGCAGAATGGAGAATGCTATTTATAGCGACCGTTGGAAATTTTGTTCGATAACTTGCCGACGCCCGTCTTAAACCACTTTGGTAAGTGTGAACTGGATGAGCGCCTAATTGAATTTTCTTAATACGTGCGCAGCTCCTTCAAATATTTTTCCGGACCGGTAGCGTTTGGTGTTCGGGCGCGGCATAAATTAGTCGACGCGGTCCTTTTGCTTTCTTTCATTTTCATTCGTCGTTGTCTTTTGAAGCACACAAAA